GATCCTGATACAGATCTATAGGTTTCTGAATATCGCACTGTCGACCGCTGCTTCTTTGTAAAATTGATAGATTGGAGGCTTGTTATCAGGTTCACAGAAACTCGAGGACGTTTGGAAATGGTACTCTGCTCCTGCTATGAGATAAGAACGAAATTCAAATCCGTGCCATCGATACCTCTTGCCGTTTCTACGATCCTGATACAGATCTATAGGTTTCTGAATATCGCACTGTCGACCGCTGCTTCTTTGTAAAATTGATAGATTGGAGGCTTGTTATCAGGTTCACAGAAACTCGAGGACGTTTGGAAATGGTACTCTGCTCCTGCTATGAGATAAGAACGAAATTCAAATCCGTGCCATCGATACCTCTTGCCGTTTCTACGATCCTGATACAGATCTATAGGTTTCTGAATATCGCACTGTCGACCGCTGCTTCTTTGTAAAATTGATAGATTGGAGGCTTGTTATCAGGTTCACAGAAACTCGAGGACGTTTGGAAATGGTACTCTGCTCCTGCTATGAGATAAGAACGAAATTCAAATCCGTGCCATCGATACCTCTTGCCGTTTCTACGATCCTGATACAGATCTATAGGTTTCTGAATATCGCACTGTCGACCACAGCTTCTTCGTAAAATTGATAGATTGGAGGCTTGTTATCAGGTTCACAGAAACTCGAGGACGTTTGGAAATGGTACTCTGCTCCTGCTATGAGATAAGAACGAAATTCAAATCCGTGCCATCGATACCTCTTGCCGTTTCTACGATCCTGATACAGATCTATAGGTTTCTGAATATCGCACTGTCGACCACTGCTTCTTTGTAAAATTGATAGATTGGAGGCTTGTTATCAGGTTCACAGAAACGTGAGAAGGTTTGGAAATGGTACTCTGCTCCTGCTATGAGAGAACGAAATTCAAATCCGTAGCGTCGATACCTCTTGCCGTTTCTACGATCCTGATACAGATCTATAGGTTCTGAATATCGCACTGTCGACCACTGCTTCTTTGTAAAATTGATAGATTGGAGGCTTGTTATCAGGTTCACAGAAACGCGAGAAGGTTTGGAAATAGTAATCTGCTCGTCGTAGCGTCGATACCTCTTGCCGTTTCTGCGATCCTGATACAGATCTATAGGTTTCTGAATATCGCAGGGTCGACCACAGCTTCTTTGTAAAATTGATAGATTGGAGGCTTGTTATCAGGTTCACAGAAACTCGTGGACGTTTGGAAATGGTACTCTGCTCCTGCTATGAGATAAGAACGAAATTCAAATCCGTGGCATCGATACCTCTTGCCGTTTCTACGATCCTGATACAGATCTATAGGTTTCTGAATATCGCACTGTCGACCACTGCTTCTTTGTAAATTGATAGATTGGAGGCTTGTTATCAGGTTCACAGAAACGCGAGAAGGTTTGGAAATAGTAATCTGCTCGTCGTAGCGTCGATACCTCTTGCCGTTTCTGCGATCCTGATACAGATCTATAGGTTTCTGAATATCGCAGGGTCGACCACAGCTTCTTTGTAAAATTGATAGATTGGAGGCTTGTTATCAGGTTCACAGAAACTCGTGGACGTTTGGAAATGGTACTCTGCTCCTGCTATGAGATAAGAACGAAATTCAAATCCGTGGCATCGATACCTCTTGCCGTTTCTGCGATCCTGATACAGATCTATAGGTTTCTGAATATCGCACTGTCGACCACTGCTTCTTGTAAAATTGATAGATTGGAGGCTTGTTATCAGGTTCACAGAAACGCGAGAAGGTTTGGAAATAGTAATCTGCTCGTCGTAGCGTCGATACCTCTTGCCGTTTCTGCGATCCTGATACAGATCTATAGGTTTCTGAATATCGCAGGGTCGACCACAGCTTCTTTGTAAAATTGATAGATTGGAGGCTTGTTATCAGGTTCACAGAAACTCGTGGACGTTTGGAAATGGTACTCTGCTCCTGCTATGAGATAAGAACGAATTCAAATCCGTGGCATCGATACCTCTTGCCGTTTCTACGATCCTGATACAGATCTATAGGTTTCTGAATATCGCACTGTCGACCACTGCTTCTTTGTAAAATTGATAGATTGGAGGCTTGTTATCAGGTTCACAGAAACGCGAGAAGGTTTGGAAATAGTAATCTGCTCGTCGTAGCGTCGATACCTCTTGCCGTTTCTGCGATCCTGATACAGATCTATAGGTTCTGAATATCGCAGGGTCGACCACAGCTTCTTTGTAAAATTGATAGATTGGAGGCTTGTTATCAGGTTCACAGAAACTCGTGGACGTTTGGAAATGGTACTCTGCTCCTGCTATGAGATAAGAACGAAATTCAAATCCGTGCCATCGATACCTCTTGCCGTTTCTACGACCCTGATACAGATCTATAGGTTTCTGAATATCGCACTGTCGACCACTGCTTCTTTGTAAAATTGATAGATTGGAGGCTTGTTATCAGGTTCACAGAAACGCGAGAAGGTTTGGAAATAGTAATCTGCTCGTCGTAGCGTCGATACCTCTTGCCGTTTCTGCGATCCTGATACAGATCTATAGGTTTCTGAATATCGCAGGGTCGACCACAGCTTCTTTGTAAAATTGATAGATTGGAGGCTTGTTATCAGGTTCACAGAAACTCGTGGACGTTTGGAAATGGTACTCTGCTCCTGCTATGAGATAAGAACGAAATTCAAATCCGTGGCATCGATACCTCTTGCCGTTTCTACGATCCTGATACAGATCTATAGGTTTCTGAATATCGCACTGTCGACCACTGCTTCTTTGTAAAATTGATAGATTGGAGGCTTGTTATCAGGTTCACAGAAACGCGAGAAGGTTTGGAAATAGTAATCTGCTCGTCGTAGCGTCGATACCTCTTGCCGTTTCTGCGATCCTGATACAGATCTATAGATTTCTGAATATCGCAGGGTCGAGCACAGCTTCTTTGTAAAATTGATAGATTGGAGGCTTGTTATCAGGTTCACAGAAACTCGTGGACGTTTGGAAATGGTACTCTGCTCCTGCTATGAGATAAGAACGAAATTCAAATCCGTGGCATCGATACCTCTTGCCGTTTCTGCGATCCTGATACAGATCTATAGGTTTCTAAATATCGCACTGTCGACCACTGCTTCTTTGTAAAATTGATAGATTGGAGGCTTGTTATCAGGTTCACAGAAACGCGAGACGGTTTGGAAATAGTAATCTGCTCGTCGTAGCGTCGATACCTCTTACCGTTTCTGCGATCCTGATACAGATCTATAGGTTTCTGAATATCGCACGGTCGACCACAGCTTCTTTGTAAAATTGCTAGATTGGAGGCTTGTTATCAGGTTCACAGAAACTCGAGGACGTTTGGAAATGGTACTCTGCTCCTGCTATGAGATAAGAACGAAATTCAAATCCGTGCCATCGATACCTCTTGCCGTTTCTACGATCCTGATACAGATCTATAGGTTTCTGAATATCGCACTGTCGACCACTGCTTCTTTGTAAAATTGATAGATTGGAGCTTGTTATCAGGTTCACAGAAACTCGAGGACGTTTGGAAATGGTACTCTGCTCCTGCTATGAGATAAGAACGAAATTCAAATCCGTGCATCGATACCTCTTGCCGTTTCTACGATCCTGATACAGATCTATAGGTTTCTGAATATCGCACTGTCGACCACAGCTTCTTTGTAAAATTGATAGATTGGAGGCTTGTTATCAGGTTCACAGAAACGCGAGAAGGTTTGGAAATGGTACTCTGCTCCTGCTATGAGAGAACGAAATTCAAATCCGTAGCGTCGATACCTCTTGCCGTTTCTACGATCCTGATACAGATCTATAGGTTTCTGAATATCGCACTGTCGACCACTGCTTCTTTGTAAAATTGATAGATTGGAGGCTTGTTATCAGGTTCACAGAAACGCGAGAAGGTTTGGAAATAGTAATCTGCTCGTCGTAGCGTCGATACCTCTTGCCGTTTCTGCGATCCTGATACAGATCTATAGGTTTCTGAATATCGCAGGGTCGACCACAGCTTCTTTGTAAAATTGATAGATTGGAGGCTTGTTATCAGGTTCACAGAAACTCGTGGACGTTTGGAAATGGTACTCTGCTCCTGCTATGAGATAAGAACGAAATTCAAATCCGTGGCATCGATACCTCTTGCCGTTTCTACGATCCTGATACAGATCTATAGGTTTCTGAATATCGCACTGTCGACCACTGCTTCTTTGTAAAATTGATAGATTGGAGGCTTGTTATCAGGTTCACAGAAACGCGAGAAGGTTTGGAAATAGTAATCTGCTCGTCGTAGCGTCGATACCTCTTGCCGTTTCTGCGATCCTGATACAGATCTATAGATTTCTGAATATCGCAGGGTCGACCACAGCTTCTTTGTAAAATTGATAGATTGGAGGCTTGTTATCAGGTTCACAGAAACTCGTGGACGTTTGGAAATGGTACTCTGCTCCTGCTATGAGATAAGAACGAAATTCAAATCCGTGGCATCGATACCTCTTGCCGTTTCTACGATCCTGATACAGATCTATAGGTTTCTGAATATCGCACGGTCGACCACAGCTTCTTTGTAAAATTGATAGATTGGAGGCTTGTTATCAGGTTCACAGAAACGCGAGAAGGTTTGGAAATAGTAATCTGCTCGTCGTAGCGTCGATACCTCTTGTCGTTTCTGCGATCCTGATACAGATCTATAGGTTTCTGAATATCGCACTGTCGACCACAGCTTCTTCGTAAAATTGATAGATTGGAGGCTTGTTATCAGGTTCACAGAAACGTGAGAAGGATTGGAAATAGTACTCTGCTCCTGCTATGAGAGAACGAAATTCAAATCCGTAGCGTCGATACCTCTTGTCGTTCTGATCATGATACGATCTATGGGTTTCTGAAGATTGCAACAAATAAATCTGGTTTAAACCAAGAAGACCTTGGTTTTACCAGACGTGTTTTTGTTAAACAATGGATGACGTCTGTGTTGTGTATCAAATCATTGTTAAGCTCACCTTAAGCCAAGGGCATTCCTCGACAGTGGCATAATAAACATTCCTGCAAATCTTCGGCGATGAATATGTGTATACAAACTGCAAGTACAATCTCCAAATCAATCCACATTTTCTCGTCGTGACATTGCCGTTCGTTATTTTCTTAAACAACGCCATAATTCTATTCACCATATTGCTGTCCGTCTCGTATTTACATCCTGAAACAAATGTGGCATTAGAAACAACGGCTACGGGAGAATTATTACCAACATACCACCCAGAAATCCTAACGTAATAAATAAAAAAAACTAAAAAATACTATACATTTTGAATGTATGATCGGTTAACAAATCCAAACCATATAAATACAGATTAGAAATTAGTTATCTTACTGACATTTATGAATTGCAATTAGTGTTAACGCACCAGGCATTGCTAAATTTTAAATGTTTAATCACACAAAACTTATAAATATTTCTCTTAACACAAGTTTTTACTCAGTATTTCTAAAAACCTCTGTAGTTATTTCCTTTTATAAAGTGATTTACCAGAAAATTATAGACCCATAAGTTTAATCTACTGCTATAGCAAAAATAATAGAAACAATTGTTCAAATTGGATCATGAGGTTCTAAAAACCATCAAATTTCTAAGTGACAACCAAAGTAGATTTCAAAAACAAAAAAAAGCTATACTATTTTCATATTATTCCAGCAATTATACTCAAACGATAAACAAATTTCAATATCACTTTTTTGCGATTCTTCTAAAGCTTTTTATTCCAAATAAGTAAAATATAAACGCAGGAGTACCTCAAGGATCAGTATTAGGGCCGATCCTATTCTTAGTCCATATCAATCATTTAATAAACTCAAATGGTAAATTCGTAGTAAATGGTATGACATAACTTTCAATGTTGTCAAAATTTATGACATTTAAATGCTCCATTGAGTTTATAAATTTATATACTGAATTGATACACAAAACCGACACCACCAGTCCAGAGAAACGCGGGAGCGCTTCTGGACTCGTCGATTCGAAGATAAACACACGCACAGAGGGAAGACGGGGAGAGACAGAGAGAAAGTGGACCAACCGACAGCGGATGATGAGTCAGCAGTGCGAAACGCGATAGTCCGGTCAACATAGGCATACATTTGTAACAAATTAGATGCATCTGTTAAACGATAAAACGGTATTTTTGTTACATTATACCTAAACGCTATAAAATTACAATGACTTCCTTAAATAGACAGTTGAAAAAATATATAACCTTTGTAACCTGAGGTAAATAAAAACTAGTCATATTAAATACAGCATAGGTTACGCATCTTTTTGGAGAGAACATCAATAAAGGCCTGTATATTACCTGTAATAGTATCAATGGTGGTGTCGGTAACGCTGTGCATCCGTTGCGTGGCGATGATGACAGCAAATACGGCGGCAAATGCTCTTTCCGATTGCAATAACAGCTTTTGCACAGTCCACCACCTCGGTCCCATCGAACAGGTCAAAGTTTGTTCCTTGGCCAGGGCTGCCAGCAGGAACAGGTTGTTGGGGAACTTGCGAATGCCGTTGCTCAGAACTTGATCTAAAACCTTAAAAATAATAATAAATTAAGTAGTTTATCAAAATTCTCGTGCTTTCCATTGATATATTACCTGGTACATTCCTGCTGCCGGTCGGCGATCTTTGTAGTTTTTTAACAGCACCGCGACTTGCAGCTCCTGAACGACTTCCTGGTACCACAGATTTTCACCTTTCGATCGATCAGTTTCTTCAAGTTTGCTCAATACCCTCGCTAAGAAGTTCTGGCATGCCGTCGATCCTATAACGAATAAACAGGAAATTGCACAAAGCTAATTGACAGTCCTAAGATCCTTCCTTACCTTCATGCAAATATAAAAACCACGCTTGACACGTCACCCAATCCGTGAAAAACTCCGGCTGAAAATGTCGCACGGGTTGCAGCGTCTTCATTTTATTCCCTAGCACGCCCGCGCTGACTCTATCAAATTCCACCTCGGCCCTCTGTAGAACCGACTCCGTCACCTGAGACACTTTCTGGCGGAGCGCCATTTCGCAGAGGAGTTTTAGGGCTTCGTTCGGGTCGTCAGGCCTCGACTGAAGCGACAAGTGCACCAGATTCTTGTACAAACAGCACCTGAAAACGAATTATTTACAGATCGGTTCTGAATGCTGATAAGTGTCATGTTTTGTGGTTTACTTTAAAAACAGAAGTAATTATGTATGCATAAAGGTTTGCCCGGTGGTTCCCTCTCTCTATGCAATCTCTCTATACTCAGTTCGAGCGCGTTTCTGGCAAAGCTAGGCGAGAATGTCGTGAGATGTTTGAGTGTTTGTAGAAATAACCGCAATGTTTAAACGTTGATATCAAATTCAACAACATTTATAGTCCACATTACCTGTTTGTTTGAGCTTCATCCCAATTTTCTAGCTTAAATTCCTGGCTATCGTTCATGCCAAGAGCCACATTGATGATGTTCGTACAGGAGTCAACGTTGCCTAGTTCGTACTCGATAAGCGCGTACTCCAAATAAAACACTTCATTTTGGCGGTTCTCTTCTTTCTTCAAGAAATCTTTGATCGTCTTTTTGAGGTGGTGCTTCTTGAAACGTTCGTCCATCTTCCAACAGCCCAGTTTCGCCAACAAGGCTAGCAACCGCTTGAACCTGGATATAGACATTGATATTTCTAAGGGGTCCTCCGAAAAAACGCTGCATTTCAACTTTCGAACTGTTTCATTCAATGATGTTCGAGACGCAATCAAAAGCTTAAAGCATTCTAAAAGTAAAGATCCTTATTACGTCGACGTTAAAATTATAAAGACCTTAAATAACTTTATAGTATATCCTATAACAAAATTGATAAACATGAGTATAGAAAATAATGTATTTTCTGCCTTATTAAAACTTGCAAAGATGCCGCCACTCTTCAAGAAAGGATGTGAGAATGATCCATGTAATTTCAGACCCATTTCTATAATATCAATTATAGCAAAAATGTTCGAAATACTTCTGAAGAATCAGATATGTGAATACTTCGAAGGTAGCAATTTATTCTGTAACAACCAGTTTGTACCAACAGATCAACGAAAGCAGCAATACACGATTTTATCAGTTTCATCAACAAATGTCTGGAAGATAATATGCTCTCGCTAACTTCTATGATCTTACAAAAGTATTTGATTGTGTACAACATCACATTTTGATTCAAAAGTTGTCGCTGTATGGTTTTAGTAATAACAGCCTGCCCTTAATTGCGTCTTATTTATCAGACAGAAGACAGTATGTTAGTTTTCAAAATTGTTTATCTAACAATGCACATATTAAGCACGGAGTTCCCCAAGGAAGTGTCTTGGGACCGATTCTTTTTTTGATTTACATCAATGATCTGCCAAACTGTAGCATCAATCAATATATACTGTATATTCCAAATAGTAACTTTGATCATGTATTACTCGATTTTCAGCAGCATTTTAACAAGATTCAAAAGTGGTTAAATGCCAACAGTTTGTCAATCGACATAGCGAAAACTCAATCTCTTCTACTTAGTACTCGTCCACATAGAAGTAATTTAGTAGAATCCGTGACATTTCTTGGAGTGATCATTGATGTAAGCTTAACTTGGGAATCACACATCAGCTCTTTATCAAAGAAGTTATCTAAAATAACATATAGTAGTAGTAGAAAGATTTATTTAGCACATTTGGCTACATAAACAGAATAATTGTAAACAACTTAGAACTAGTAAATTCAAGCCATATGGTGAATGATGTAAATGCTGGGCAACCTATAATTGTAGATTTAACAAGTGATTTCTCAATTTTACTTTAAATTTTGTCAAAGTTTTCTGGTCTTTTATCTCTGAGTATAATTTATTATATTCAATCAACCCTTGATGGAATACAGATTTGTAGGATATGTTATACTTTTTGATCATTAAATGAGTCATCTTTATTTCTGGTATGTAATGATGGTCGACATTTGATGATGTTAAATTAGTTAGACTTGATGGAAATATATTATTTTTTACTTTATACAAGATATTTAATAACAATTTTTACATTGAGCCATTTTAATTTGCTAAGCATTTGCCTAATTGGAGTATATTTATCTTTATTTAGTATTATTCTCATGCATTTATTTTGTTAAATTTGCAGTCTTTCAAAAATGGAATTACTTGCTAAATATAGAATAGTCGAACAGTACAAGAAATTTGGAAGAATGATGGTATTATAGATAATTTTTCTGCCATATGTACTCAGACATCCAGAAACTCACGATAAATATCCAACTTTACTACTAATCTTATTTATAACTTTTTCATAATGAATATCAAAAATTAATCGAGAGTCAACAAAAACCCAGGTATTTAAAATTTTCTACAAATTCAATATCTTCACCATCAATTTTCAGTTGAACATTTGTACATTGTTTTTTTTTCCGATTAACAAGGCTTTCGTTTTACTTGTATTTAATTTTAGTCTGTTAGATGCTAACCATTTTGAGACAAGCTTCAAGTCAACCATTTTGAGACAAGCTTCAAGTCTTCATTTATATAAGAGATACCAGACTGAATATTTTTAGTACTTATATAAATCATAGTGTCATCGGCGAAAATCTGAATTTTGCATTTTTTGACTATGGCAGGTAAATCATTTATGTATAAAATAAAAAGAAGTGGTCCCAGGATACTGCCCTGTGGAACACCCAACGTATTTTCAATTTTTGATGAAATAGTGTCATTAACTTTTGTAACTTGCATCCTTTTAGACAAATAATTTCTAAACCAATCTAAAACACTTCCTGTTATACCATATGCCTTCAATTTATCTCTATCAATCGTTTCAAATGCCCTCTTCAAATCCAAAAATACTGCTATGACAACTTCTTCTGAGTCTATGGCTCTTCTCCAATTCTCAGTTACCAACTGGAAAGCCGTTTCTGTGGAATATTTTTTTCGAAAGCCTGCTTGAGCCTCCACTAAAATCTTATTTTCTTCTATAAACTGCATTAATTGGTCATGTACTATGGACTCTAAGAATTTTTCAATGTCTGGTAACACATTTACTGGTCTCATATCGCTGCATCTTTTAGAATTTATTTATTTTGGGAACTGGTGTTGTTGTATAGCATTTGAAATCTTCAGGAAAAGAACTGCTTCTCAGTGAACAATTGATCCAATTTAATACAGGATATCCCAAAATTTCGAAACAGTTTTTCAGCACGTTTTAGTAGTGACTTCGGCACAGTTGTTATTTGATTTTAAACTGTTTACTTTTTTTCTTAGATAATTCAATGATACACTGTGAAATTTTGAAAGTGTATGCAACATTTCCCCTTGGAAACTGATTTTTATATAGTCAGGTGCAGTATTGGCAGTACCCACAATATCAACAATACTTTCCACAAAATATTCATTTAGTTTGTCTGCAATCACCAAAGAATTTGTTTCGGTACCGTTTTCGAATTGAACTTGATTTACACAATCATGCGGCTTCGAATTGATCAGTCTTTTTAAAGTCTTCCACATCTTTACACTGTCGCACTTGTTATTATCGATTTGTTTATCGTAGAATTTCCTTTTTTCTTCTCTAATTACATATACACATTTATTTCTAAGAGTTTTATATACCTCCCAATCATCATTTGATTTTGTGAATATACATTTATTGTATTGTTTGTCTCTCAAATTTTGAGCTGCCTTAATATTTTTGTTATACCAGGGTGTATTTTTTGTCGAGCAAATCACTTTTTTATCAGTTGCAAGATCTAAACAAGTCTTTATATTTCCTATTATGTTGTCATATATTTTTTCCATATTCTCACCAAAATTCCAATAGCAGCCAGCAAGTTCTCGTTCAAGTTTTTCGTACTTAATAGTATTTACGATTTTCTTAATTTTTTTATCAGAAAAATGCCCTACCAAGGGCAGCATTGTCCAACTGTGATCACTAACTTTAGGTGTATGTACAGCTTTAATCCCTGCACATTCAAAATTTACAATAACAAGATCTAACAAAGTCTTTGATAATGATGTTATTCTGGTACACTCTTCAATTTTTTGCTTGAACCTATAGTTATTTATGGTTTCTTTCAATTTTCTTGTTTTCATGCTATTACCATAATAATTTAAATTAAAATCACCTAAAAGTATTATATTGTTTCTAAAATTCCACATTTCTTCGCATTTTTCTTCAAAAAACGTTAAAAATGTATCCGCATAATCGATGATGATATAATAAAATGAAAAAATTATTACTACTTCATAATTTTTTAACCATCTTATTTTACTGTTCATCTAAATTTTAAACTAGGTTTTATCAAGTTTTTTTACCTTTTATTGACACTGTGTGTTTTACGTTTGTCTTATTTACGTATTGTTTGTTATTTTTACATACTCTAACTGACCTGTGCAAACACATTTTTGTGAAATAGTATCAATAAATTATTATTATTATATGTTATATCCGATAATTTTTATATACTTTCGTTAAAAACTACTCCATTTGAAATAGGAGACTAAGATGAAAAGAATGGAATCATGTTATGTTAGTCAAAGCGGTTTTACAAAAATCAACAAAGGACAAAATAAAGTCAGACTATTCCACAGACTCATCTTGTTTATAGGCCAAAGAAAAGCCACTATTAACTCCACTGCAAAAGAAAAATCGGCTTAGATGGGCTAAAGAACATATACAATGGACACCTCAACAATGGTGTGCAATACAATGGAGTGATGAGGCCTGATTCGAAGTTTGTGTTGGTGACAGTCGCAGTAGAGTTATTCGCAAAAAAAATGAAGCATTCCATGTTGACTGTCTGAAGAGAAAAGTGAAATTTCCAGCATCCGTTATGGTCTGGGGCAGTATGTCATCAAAAAGAGTAGGAAAACTTCATTATATTGATGGAAATGTGGATACAAACAAATATTTGGCAATTTTAGAAGAATCGCTTTTACCAGTGATGGAAGAACGCCTCAAAAAAGGCTACAAAATGGATGGAAGAAAATAATGTACCACTTTTGAAATGGGTTTCTAGCAGTCCAGATCTGTCACCTATTGAAACTTTGTGGCGCGTGATGAAAAAGGTTCTATGATAACATCCTGCTCGTACAATCACCGAACTGAGACAAAAACTGCAAGAAATATGGGATTGTTTTACACCAAATTTTTGCCAAAACTTGGTTAACACTATGCCCCAAAGAATTTCAGCCGTAATAAAAGATAAAGGTGATGTTATGTTATGTGATATTCTATTAGTTATAGGTCTAAGTGATTTCAAATATGTATTTTTTACGACTAGAGTGTATCTAAAATGTTTTTGAGAAATTAAATTGTTTTAGAAGTAAATAGTTTCGTCATGTTTAGTTTATAAAGGCGTATTTTCGCACAAATCTTGAAGCGGGCCAACTGAAGTGGGAAGGCTCGTAGTATGCTAATCTAGTTTAGATTTGAATAATCATACCGGAATGACCAAATTATGACAGCTATCCGATCGTCTCCTGTAAGGCAGTCCGTACAACGGCCCATTAACTTCCAGAACGAACTCCAGGTACTCCTCTTTGCCGGGAAAGCTTTTCATAGACGGGTGGGCCCCACCGCAGGTGCTGATGTTTGTGCAGGTGAAAAGCTGACATCCACTACATCTTCTACTGGGTATAGAGGTGTTACACACAGCCAGCAAAGGTGTCTATAATGTTTAGTATATGCAAATAAAAGAAAAAGGAATGCCTTAAAAATGAACAATCATTAAATTTCAAAGGTGAAATGTTCGCCAATTATGAAAAAGATGTTCAAATGTATGATGTCGTAGTTTGTCAGGAACCACTTCAAAATAAGCTACGTCTCATCAATTTTATGGAATGAAAAACCTTGTTCCATTTTGACTTCACAAGGTCATTTGAGACTATAGATACGGAAACATTGCTAATGAAATTGCATCACTATGGTTTTAAAGGATCGGCATTGAACATTTTACAAAATTATTTAGTAAATAGGAGCCAAAAACCTAAAATTGGAAATATTATGTCAAGCATTCAAAATAATTTAAGGTGAAATTGAAAAATCACTTTATGCTGCATAGTGATGTAATTTTAATAGAGAAAAATGTAAAATTACAGAAAATTGATTCAAAAAATGTGTACACGAATAAATATACAAAAAAATCTTCAACAAACAAACAAAAACGGTTTAGATTCACTGGTCAACAAAATTTTAACTTTGTCGTGCCACACGGACTTTTTTGATATTTTTTACTTTAATTGGTGATTGTAAGAAAAAATAAACAGTTAAAAAAAATTTGCTAGACAAGGATTTTATTCTATTGAGTAATTTAAAATATTAAGAAAAAACACAGATCTTGTAAATCAAAAGTTATTTTTTTTATAAATGACAATAATCTAAGATTTTCTTGAATATTTAGCTTCTGGTTGGTCCCTTTTAATTGTCCAGCAGTAATCTGCTAACATATTTGGGTTCCATTTGCCCTGGTACCGCTTTTCCATATTAGAAATGTCCTGATGGAACCTCTCATCGTGCTCGTCGCTGACAGCCCCTAAATAGTCAGGAAAAAAATCCAGGTGCGAGTCTAAAAAATGGATCTTAAGTGACATGTTGCAACCCAATGCTTGATATGACAATAATAGCTCGCTAACCAACTCTCTGTAGCTGTCACTCTTGTGGTTACCCAAAAAATTTGAAACAACATTTTTAAAAGCCTTCCATGCAGACGTTTCTAAATCGCTTAATTTTTCTTCAAATCTTGAATCTTTTATTAACTCCCTAATTTGAGGGCCAACAAAAATACCCTCTTTTATCTTTGCATCACTTATTTTAGGGAATTTTTCTTTTAGATACAAAAATCCACCCCCATTGCGATCCATTGCCTTCACAATTTTTTTTATTAATCCTAATTTGATATGCAATGGTGGTAGAAGCACATTATTTGGCTGTACAAGGGGTAAATACTTTACGTTTTTTTGCCAGGAACTAACGATGCACGCGTAGGCCATGTTTTTTTTATATAGTGATTAGTTCTGTCTCGGCTATCCCATTCACATAAAAAGCAGCAAAACTTTGTATAACCCAGCTGAAGTCCAAGTAATAGTGCAACAACTTTAAGATCACCGCAGATTTTGAAGGAATATGTACTGTAATTTATTTTTTCAAGTAAAAGTTTCATATTTTCATAGGTTTCTTTCAAAATTGCAGCATGGGCCAGAGGTACAGACGGAAGCTTATTTCCATTATGCAATAACACTGCTTTTAGACTTGCTTTCGAAGAATCAATGAATAAACGCCACTGAGAGAGATCAAAATCTATGTCCAACATTTTCATAATCTCATTTATGTTATTGCAAAACACCAAATCTCCATCCTGAGAAAAATACGTTCTGAAGTGTTGATCACGGTTTCGAAAATAGCTAACTTTTGTATTATGATGTAGCAAATTCCATTCTTTTAGACGTGATCCTAATAGTTCTGACTGCTTTTTTGACAAATTTAAATCCCGAACCAAATCATTTAGGTCTCCTTGAGTTATCAAATGTGGCTCGTTTACAATTCCTTTTAACTCAAAGTCATCGTCCTCGTCAACACATTCACCTGAAGTGGACGGTTGTAGATTGTTCTCAACAGACGTAGTTGCAACTGGTATTAGTTCTGGCAATTTTTTACAATGAGAGACTGGTCTTATAGCCGAAGATAAGTTAGGGTAAATAACTGTGGTTTTTTCTTGTAATTTATACCTTTTATGTCTGTGAGACAAAAATAGCAATCTGAATCGTGATCTCGCTGTTCAGTCCATATCATGGGTACAGCAAACGGCATAGGTCGTGCACCTTTCTTCCAGTCAGTTAAATTTTTCACACACGTTATGCAACAGACATGAGGGGCCCAGGATTTGTCTTGATGGGCAACAGAAAAACCAAAACATTGGTGATAACACGCCAACACAAGATTCGTAAAATTTCGTCGTTGTTTTTTGAATGTTAGTTCTCCGCAGACATAACAAAAAGAGTTAGGATCATTATTACACTTCTTCGACATATTCACAGGGTTAATCACAAAAAAGTGTTCAAATTCAACAACAAATCTTTTTATAAGGATTTACTTGTAAGCGTTTCTGTTAATTTACTGCCGTAGTACTAGTTATGAGTACTACCGTATCACAACAAATATGAGGCTAATAGACATATGACAGCTGTCATGTAATAATGAGGGTAGACTGATAAAACAAAATTAGCTGTCAAAGTTCGTGTGGCAAAACCAGTGTTGACCATATATGGGTATACTAACCAACAGAGTCCAGACTAGACGGCACGTGGTCGAAGCCCAGCTGTTGGAAAGTGGTGTGTCTGCAGGGCAGGAGTGGTACCTTCAGAAGTGCCAGTACCATCGCTGTCAACCTGAAGATATTCTCAGGAATTGTTATGGGATGGATCAGCTCGGCGACGTCTTCTGAGAACACCAAACGCTGGGGATCGCAGCAGTCCGCTTCCAGAAGCTGACCTGCGAAATTAAACGCAAATATCGGATTTTCCAATAGGGACTTGACAACTTTGAACTTTCATCTTTAAATGTCAAAACATGCAGTGAAGAAAACATTTTCATCGTGGTGAAGTAAAATTTACTACCGAAATTCCGAGTCGGTGACTGCATCTTTGAGAGCGTTAACGCCAATTTTTGGTCGTCATTCTCGTCCCAGTAGACAAGCAATTCATAGTCTAGTAAAAAAAATTGAGTCCACATATTCGCTGCTGGATGTTCCTGTGCCAGTGAGACAACGGATTGGTCGAAGTACCGAGAATATTGCTGCCGTTCAAGCTTCGATTCCACGGCGTCCTCAAGAATTGTGCATCGCTCAGACCACACTATGGCGAATTCTGCGATCAGATTTTGGCCTGCACCCTTATTTGATCAAGTTAACTCAAGAACTAAAGCCGTTCGATCATATGAACCGACGTACGTTACCGAATTGGGCTCGAGAAATGCTGCAAGAAATTGACCAATTTCATCGCAAAATCATCTTCAGTGATGAGGCGCATTTTCTATAACGATGTGGAAAAGTTAGTTTTCAATTCTCATATTTTATTTTATTTTTACGTAATGTATGTGTGCATATATGTATAGGTGTATGTATGTCAGCCAGCTATCAAGTTCGTTTGTTTTGAAGCGTCTTTAGCTGCTTGTCAAAGTTTCCTTTGATTAAGTGTTTCAATTTATTATTTGGGTAGGTCACATTATATTGTAGTTTTTATAATGTGCCTAATAAAGACATATTATTATTATTATTATTATTTTCGTCTAATACGATTAGACTAATAGGTCCGGTTAATATCGTTGCAAACGTGAGTGGTGACTGGGCGAACTTACCGTTTTGTGGTTCTGTGTACGGCAGCCAATGACAAGCCTCTCTGAGTTTCTCTGTGCGAAGCCAGAGCTCGTGCAAAGGTAACTGGGACGTAAATACGACTTCCTCTAGATCAGCCAACTGTTTCTCGGACACTGTGCTTGAGACAGCAAATTTACTCCTTCAAACAATTCCAAAATATAAATATAGAAACAGAAAATCCTGATCTACAGTATTTGACATTTCAATGTTACCCCAAAATATCCGCTATCTCAAATCGACAGATAGCGGAAATAAACCGTCCCAATAGTGCTGAATATCACGCTTTACTTGAAACATTTGATGAAGTTAAAATTTGTTTGAAAATTAATAAAACGTGTACCTTTCCATGGTAGAAGATTCCGTAGGCGCGAGGTTAACTTCCAGGTACATCTTGAGCAACATCCAAAGGTTCTCCAGGAGGCCAGCCTGTTTCAAAAAGAGCCCGCATTGGTACAACATCCTCAAGATGCTCTCCTCCATCGTGGGACGATCCATGGTTGCGGCCCTTCGGAGTTGGTGCAACGTTGACAGGCACCTGCTGTATAAGCTCATCACAGATGCTGTGTTGAACAGCGACATGGAGCACTGAGTAGCTTCGATGTAACCTGGAATTTTAAAAATTGTCGTAACACTATAGACAAATAAACGTTTTACTTCCCAGAAGTATTGTTGGTGTTGATGATTTAGTTAGCATTAATGCTACAATTTTTCTTCCATTCAATGACACCTCTTCGTCGGAAAAGCAAGTGTTGAATAGAAAATGTTCATCGTTTATAATTCGTTCACTCATATCTTCACAAAATTGTAATCGCCGATCAAAATCGTCTTCATTAAGTTCTTGTACCAGGTGCATTTTATACGGATGAAAACTTTGGGCCTTTAGAATCCGTTGGACAGTACGTCGACTAACACCACACACAGTCTCCAATTTGCGGGTACCTATACGTAGGATCTACATAAAGTTGCCCTAAAACCCCCACTTCTATTGCTTCGTTCCTTATGGGATTTTCAACGTTGCGTTTTTTATTGGCGACTTACCCAGTTTCCCGAAATTTAGCTACAAGTTCTAGAACATATTTTCGATGCACGTTACTGTTCCCATGTCGCTCATAAATTATTTCTGCTGTTCTATTAGCGCACTGATTATTTCCGAAAAATATATCGATAATTTCAACTCTTTCTGCTGTGGAATATACCATGGTTAATTTATGTAATAAAGCGTTACAAGTTATTTTAGCAACAAAGTTTGGTCAAATCAATCGCAAACTATGAACTAAATTCCTATTTAAAATAAGTACAAGATATTTCCTTATCTTTCTTCAAGAAATAACTTTTTTGCCACAAAAAACGCTCCAATAGCCATTTTCAACAACAAAATGATAAACAAACCATGGACGTAGTGAAGAAAAGCATTTACTTATTAAGTAAATTCTTTTAGTCAACTTTCTTCTGAAAGTAGTACAAACTAATGTGGTGTACCTATTAAAGTCTACTTTAAGCTAAGTGAATAAATATTCAAAACTACTAAACTGAAGCTCATGTATTTTACATCATTATAAAGGGAATTGAAAGACCTTTAAAATAAGGTATCACTCGATCTCCCTTTCCATTTAAGATTTTCGTTTGAAACACCATTTGGCTGCAACCTCAACGACGAGTAAGATGTTTGACAATTTAAATCTTTCCCGTATTGGTTGCTAGCATCATAATTGTGTCTTCAGCTCCTGATGAAGGCTCCATACAGAATTGCCGAAAGCTAGAGATTACCGTCAAAAGAGTTAACTAAAGCCTAAAAAGTTTGCCATTGTATTTTTTGCCTCAACTGGTCGTTGGCGATGGCAATGACTACTGCTCATATATATATAAAGAAAAAATGATCATGCGGAGAAAGGTATATAAAAATAAAAAGACCTTATCCCGAGCGAAAAATAAGACAATGTTTTGCAGTTTGTTTGAAAAAATCGATAATAGCTGTTACATTATTTTACAGTTTTTTCAAATACACCTCATATTGTTCAAAAATTTTACCAAGCACCAAACTTCATCTGCTTGTAGCTACATAGATCGCAAATGGGACTTTTGAACAGTAAAGAGGTATAGCTGTAAGACATAAAAAATATTTTGGAATGTTGTATAGTTGTAAAAATTTTCCAAAATATCTGAAAAAATTACAACCATGCACACAGGTGCGTTTGATTGGTTGAAACGCACCTTGCCATAATATGATGTTGCCCTTGTCCTTATCCACCAGCATTTCCAAATAAGATAAAAGTTCATCAATTGGAAACGTAGCATTTGCTATTTTCAATCTTTCTCTGTGCAAAAGATCACAACCGGGGTTCAGAGATAAAGCCTTCTCAATGATGCTCAGCTTCTTTTCTGCCAGCACCCTAAAATTTTTGCAATTAATTCATGATAAATATTATCACTAATACTATCCAAGGTATCAGTAAACTAACATTATTGTTTCTATTTTCTTCATATTCTAAACGTCTACCAAATTACACAAATTTTCTTAATTGTAACTAGTCAGAATTTAGAGATTAACAGAGCATCGGATATAAAATACCTTGGAATATTCCTGGATCCACACTTGCATTGGGATGTTTATATGCTCAGTGACTAGAAGTGTTGTTTGGCAATGAGGTAGTCTTACATCCAGAATGAAACAATAACATTCTCACAAAATTTTATTGACAGTAATAAGAAGAAAAAGTAATAATGTGTTTGGCGACCCCGCAGCTGAATACACTCCTGTATATGTCTAAGCATCGAAAACATGAGATGATCTAAGTCTGTCTCCCCACTCTATCCCACACATGTTCGATGGGGTTTAAATCCGGTGAACCATCGGTCAGTTGGACTTCTTGATGTTCCTCTATTTTCTTCTATCCACACACGACACACACGCATTACCTCATTGCAGTACAATGGACACGGCGGCCAATTTCGCGATAGGATAAACCAACATCTCGACAGGCAATGATTCTATCCCTGTCAAAGTGGCTAACATGGTGAGAATTTGGACGTCTTGGAACTCGAGGCATTTTGCTATGCTTTACATTAGTAAATGAAGGGCAATAACTAACAATATCTGTACTACTCAGCTCTCAGAAACTCAGAGATAACAGTTTAACAAAGCATCACACAGCATCCTTTAAATATAGTCATCATGTTGCCAAAAAATCAAGTAGCAGAAATTATCTTTTCTGGGTGTAACACCTCTAATGTCACTGAGTATATTTGATGTATTTTAAAGAAAGTCAGATATGTCTCATATAAAATTAAATACATCAAAAACATTTAAAAAAATATCTGTTTCACCTTATACTATACATGCTGATTCAGTACAACAGCAGAGATCAAGACCTTTTTGTTGTTGTCTGTGGCTTATAGTTTTTGAAAACAATTGAAATCATACATAGGGTTTTTCAAATTTTCTTGTGAAAATTATTACTTACCTCTGTGCTTTGGCCATGCTACCTTTCCTCCTGCACTTTTCAAACTGGTGAACAACATCCTGAAACGCAACGTATTCCAACCACATAGCAATATCATCTGGCTTATCAGTCAACCATCTGTTGTAAAAACCTGTTTTCTCAGACAGTTCCTGCTCTTCCCTCAATCCACTGCTAGTTGAAAAGCAGTCGTCTTGAGAAAATGTGGGAATCTTTGCTGAAAAATAACGTACAACCTTATAAGGGTTTATTCAAGAAACAATCGCAATATTTTCAAAGCAGAAAATACATCCAGAAATAACAAAAAATGAGACTAAATAAAAGCAAAACATGTATATTAAAACCCAAAGTGAAAATAATTGGAAACAACATACAAAATCAAGAAATGAGTGTGTAGCGGTTCTCAGGAGGGAAAAGCAAATACGATGATAATGATTAACTTTGAATTTAAGTTTACTAAAGAGTCAGGTTAAGATTCAGTACTGACGTTCGATCCGCGCGGCCTACTATGTTTCTATATGCAAAACTTAAAAGACATCCCTTATATCTCTGTAAATTGATATCAAATTACCTTGTATACTTTGCTTTGTAAGAACCTCATCATTTTTCACCTTTTTCTCAATAACAACCTTGTGATACCTTTTGAATTTTCTTTTTGAAATACCTGGGCAGCTGCTCAAGTAATATGCAATCTTATAAATAGGTGCAGAAGGTCTAGAAATTTTATCCACGGAGAGCAACTCCCTGTACCCTTTCAAATCAATAACATAAGCATCTGTATGATCTTGAATTTTAGGAGGATCCTTATCAAGCTTCAATTTTTTCCTGCTTTCTCTTTTTTGTTTGTGTTTACGTTTCTTTCGTTTAGAAACATCATTGTTAGTCTTCTCATCTGTATCGGAATTATCTCGAGGTGTTTCCTCTATTACATCGTCTGAGGTAGAGGTGGTTGGTATAGCAAAAGATGGTTGAAAACTTGAATTCTTTAACCAGCATTGATTTGCATCTTCTTCCTTGTCCTTATTGCAGGCTTGCTCAGCAAATGCGGCAAAAAGAGACATTTTTTAAGTGGCATTCATTGGTAAAGGGTTCTAAAGTGTTTGCAAACAGATATAATTGATGACTTCAAATCCAATACCGAAAACGATTTATTTTCACACAGTTTTTCTTGTTACTATTCAAAACACAACCTTTTGTAGTTGCTTTTTACACACATTTGGGAGATTGACAATCAGCTGTTTTGTGACACCTTTTTATGACAGGTGCTGAGCAAGCGCCACCTGTAGGGAAGTAGCGAGACATCTTTTTTTGCTTCAAGCAACTCTTGAAACGGTAGTTTTCATGTTCGTGATATAAAAATTTGCCAAATGAACAATTCGTTTTTCATAATATCATAAAGGCATCTAATTTTTCCGAAAAAAATTGAAAAAACATGTTACTAAGTAGCATTTTAACATTTTTTTCATAGGAATAGTATTTGACAAGACTATTTCATGAGTAACAGATTATTCTGCATACACATAGCTTACAAAACATACTACCTTACTTGTTATCAAAGGTTTTGTAATTTTTGGTCAAGCTGTCAAGTTTTGACGGTTAAACAAAATTTTGTCCATCTATACCCTATTTCACAAGAATTCATCACGGTAGAATGACAGCTGATTATCTAGTAATATCTCAAAATTCCCCATATCGGCACAGGACACATAATTCTGAGGGATCGGTCAACGACAAGTAGACAGAGCCGAATTTTGTTTTGGTTTTATGTACGCTACAGATTCATTTTGTACTTGCCAATAGCTATTTTATTTAGAAAGGTTCATTTGCATACAAAAACAAAACACTAATCAGGTTTACATCCGATTCATTATTGCCAATGTTGCAGACTAACACAAAAATGTCACTTGCGGTATCCATTTAAAATTGCGCATTTGTGATTGGCAGAAATTAAGACGAGGGAAATAGTCAGTGATATTCATTTTACTCTACGACCTTATGCCATGATTTGACTCAGATACATATTATAAAAAGTTCATTTGTCCTGAATTGCGTGCAAACTACAGTCAAGCCACTCGACGCCATATTTTTCTTATTTGTTTCAATTACATCTCGGATAACCCCGCATCCTTGACTGCAACATTGGAAAAGCACCTCATCTGCACAATTGCGCTGTTGCAGTGTTCGTCGGTGCTGCGCAACGATTGGCAAGCTTAGCACATCGCACAAAATCGAACCGTTTGTTCGCCGTTTCTGTTCAGCAGCTCTCGATTCTCAGCATAACCTAGTTGACCACATGGTTCGGTTCGGATGTGTAGATGTTTCGGAAACTAATTTACAGCCGACTATTTGGCACGGATGTTTGGTGCTTGCATTAGTAATCCACCGTCTCGGGTTCGATCCTGAGAAACTTTTTTTCGATTTTTTGAATAGATACTCCATACCAAGCATTATCTATGAGATACAAACAAAATTAGAAACTTGAAAAATGTAGTTAACTTCTTTTCTTATAATAATATTCAGCCCCTGATGACAGCGTTTTCTAGGCAGCTCGGAGTTAACGCCATTTTTGTGCAAGTCATATAAAGAAATGATGTAATTTTTCAAAAAATCTGTATTACATTACAATACATTGATATAACTTCTATAATTTACCAACGTTAAACAATACTATGACATTCTTTATCCTTATTTTTACTCGTAACAGTAATTGCCGACAAACTATTTTTGTAATGATCAAAGTAACAATTTACCAAACATCCTTTCAACACCAACGGTTTCAAATTTTCTCCATTTTTATATTGCATAGTCACGTAGTAGCTACTCGTATCGTTGTTCCTATTCTTTCTCAACTCCCAGATTACTGTAGCTCCAAACACAGGATACTCGTAGTCAAACAGTCCCATAGAGTTAAGTACGTTTACGATAGTGCCATCATGGGCTGATAAGGCGAGTAATTTTGTCTTTTTATGTTCCTCGATGATTTTTTCGAAATGAGATATGAGATAGTGGAAAAAAGTACCGGCTTTTAAACGAGCTAGTTCAGCAGTGTAAGTTTGAGAAGCGTGCTTTAAGACGGCGAAGTGTTTGAGTTTGTCAGGGTACACATCTTTTGTCCACTCAGGTAATGTGAGGTTTTTTTGAGTTTCGATGTTGAGAAGGCTGAAGAGAGGCGCAGCTTTTTTGAAGTGGTTGATGTTCCAACCCGAGTGATTAGAAAGAAAGCTGAAAATTCAAGAAACAATTACTAGCTCAGATTTTTTTCTGGACAACCTAGATCGGTGTATTTGTAGTTCCACACCTGTATAGTTCCTTATTGTCTTCATCAATCTTCATGAAATAATCGGAATTCATCAGATCTTTGTACAGCCTGTCATATTTCGGACAATCAGTATCCATTGCAAGAACATCATCGTTATCTTTCCAAGTCGTATGTACAGGTATTGGTCTCCAAAGCAACGACTTGTTCCAAATCTAAAAGCAAGCCCACTTTTCAGAACGATGTTGATCCAAATTTCAAGACTTTTCTAAGATCCGACCGGCTACATTTTTTTTCAAAAATATTTTTTTCTGTTATTGATTTTTGGCTTTTATTTGTTTATTTATTTAGGAAAAGATCCAAAATAGTATAAAGAAAGGTATGTAAAATCAATATTAATTAAAAAAGAAGATTATAAAACTGCGAAAGGCAATATCAACTGTTACGAATAAATATTCTTTCTTTAAAGGTTTCAATTTTATGCAACCAGTCATGCTTGATAATATATGGTGAAGATACATTTGGGATGCATGTGAATTCAGCATAATTTCTAACAGGAGGTTCTTTTTTCTCATCTACTATCGATTCTCCTTCAGAAATACGGGCCGATATTTCTAGCCGAGATATGGATGCTACCATTAGACAAGCAACATTTTATTTTATATTTTAAATTATTGTGGATGCTCTGCTACTACAAAAAGGTAACTATGCCTCACTTTGAATTCATTAAAATATCCACTGATAGATGGCGCCACCATGTTGCCGGTACTGCCACTTATCAACTATTGGTAGTTTTGAGAATTCTTCACGAATCATCAAGGTGTCGTAAAAACGTAAAAGATTTAAAAGACTCGTTTGTAGCAAATTTTATTCTCTACAAAAAACATTAATGTTTTATATACTTAGATTCATAGTATGACCATTTGACAATATGCAGGTTGATATCTAATATGATGAAAAAAGCTCTGTGCTCTTATCTGAAATTGTGTGAAAGTTTTTGCAACAGAATTTGATGGTGAACACAGTCAAACGCTTTTGCGAAAAATCTCACCATAAAATATAAACCATTTTCCAACGCGGAATTAATGTAATGGATAAAAGCATTTATGGCTGATGTTGTTGATCTATGAAAATACCCCAATTCAAGGATAAAAATATAGTTTTACCTCTCGTCCCTGTGGTGGAAATAATCCAGCCAAATGTGCTTCAGCTGACGTCAAAGTTCTCTCGTGGTCGGTAGACCGTACGTATACTTGTTTAGACGAATATTCCTTTGGCAAAAAGTCATGATAACGTTCCCTCACCCATTTGCCTAAATCATACTGTTCTTGAATCCCAACCTAATAAAAAAACAGCTTTCTTTGGTATAGATCAAAATGTATGCTCCAATCTTATCGGCCATTGTTCAAGCGTCATGTTTAGTCTTCTCTACGGGGTTGCTGTTGCATAAAAATAAGAAAGTTATGGCATGAAATAGCAATATCATACGCTGTAACTAAAGCGACATTTCATTTAGATGTACTTGACTCAAAATTATTATTTTTTCGAATTTATTCTCGGATTATTAGAATCTAATACTCAAACACCTGCTGGTAAACATTGAAATGCTGGTACAGCTTTTGAGTTAATAAAAGAAACTTACGTCATTGGATGCAGTTCATTTGACAAGGGACCAAGTAACCAGACAAACAGTACAAAATTGCTTCCGCAGAGCAGGATTTAGTGACGTCTTGTTAAATGAGGCTAATATGCCTGACCCAGAAGATGACTTACCACTTGAGGTACTTTCAGATATCCTCAGAAATGATAATGTATATGTATTAAAATTGACTGATAATGAAAACCTTTAGGATTTTTTGAACCTAGATGAAAGTTTGTATTGAAAATCCAGATTCATGCCAAAAAATTGAAAATCCAGTTGAAATACGAGAATTTTCCGAAGATTCTGATGTCGATGAGGTTCCAGTACCAACAGAAGCTTTTCCAAATTCCAAATTATGGTAAAGCTATTACCCCGACCAAGCAGCTCAAGAGTTTTGTCGAAAATCGGGGAGATACAGAGTCTTTGGAGCTCCTTTCTAAATTAGAAATACAATTTCAAGGCGCCATTTTAAAGAAAAAGAGGAGACAAACGACAATATGTACTTTGTTTCTGTATACAGGGTGACTTTGAAGTTGAGTCATGTATTTTAACAGTGAGTAGATCTGATCAAAAGAAATGTTTTTTTCCTTTACCATTTTTCTGGTAAAATTAAAGTAACAAAGTTATAGCCCTTTGGAAGTTTGAGTACCGCCCTGTCTCAATGATAATATTATGTGCTCGTGTTTGGCAACAATGGATATAATCCGCCATCGGTTCATCGCATCGGAAACAAAAAAGCGAAAGAATTTGGAACGATGTTTTTACAATTATTTTATTCAGTTGTGTTGGATACAGTCAGTGTCAGTCGGTAACCCGTCAGTGAATAGTGGTGTCTGTTGCGTGGCTCAAACGAAATAAAAAATGGCACATGTTTATGCGGATCGGTTTCCCAATCGGGTGCAACCAACCCCTCGTGCCTTTGTTAATGTAGTACAACGGGCTCGTGAATCAGGTGACTTAAGACGGCATGCCGGTGCTCCAAGACCTCGCGATCAAATACAGGTCCGCACTGAAATACTTGTCGGGAGGATACTTTATAAAACAAGGTATTTTTTTTTATTTTTTTTTATTTTTACACACATATTTTGGTTTATCTTCCTTCTACAATCATTATCTGAAAATTAATGACTCAACTTCAAAGTCACCCTGTATGTAGGTATACTTACATTGGTAATTTGGCTTAAGCCGTCTGGCCAGTATTTGCTTAGATTTCCGTACGGATCATTTGGGTATATTTTTTTTGGATTTCGCTGTCCATGCCTGAACAACTGAAAATAAATTATTTATACAGGGTGTTAATAAAGTATATACCTAACCAAACATCAACAGGATCTCAAACCTTTCGGTTATTTTTTCAAATAGCTACAACTCTTCAGCTCAATTTGTTAAGAAGAAGACAGCTTGCGTTTATTATTTCTCCAGCCTACACGGTCTGTGTGGTCAAAAACGAGTCATGTCGGAAGTAAAGATTAGGTATAAGATCGGACCAAGGACGGAGCCCTGGTGAACTCCTGCTCCGATGCTCCTTAATGATAAAAGATAACGATCAATTTTGATTCGAAACTTTCTGACCTACAAAAAGGATTTTAATAATTTAGAATAACCAAATTTACTTAGCATGCAAGTTGGCTGTCAATTTACAAAACATTATGGCAGACCGCGCTGTTGCCAGTTTGGCTCTGATGATGGAAATTTATTTGCTATTTGGCGCTACAGTCAAATATTGACAAACCGTGCATATTTTTACGTCTCTCCGTATTTTTGGCTATTCTAAATATACTTACATATTGACTGTTTAGAGACTTTGGCTATTCTAAATATACTTACATATTGACTGTTTAGAGACTAGTTAATTTTATACTCACTGTAACCACTGAAATCAGCTCACCATCTTGTTGAGAACAAGCTATTTGAACGAAATAGCAACAGATACACAAGGAGATAAGTTTAAAATACATATTGGCTTAAAATTATGTCAAGTCCTGAAACGAATACGCCTAAATGATATTTAATTTGGGGAACTTAAGTCCTTTCAAAAAAATGTAGATTAGATACGGTAAAATCGTCGATCATTCATTGCACTCAAAGTTTTTTCACGCCGAGGATATTACTTATCAACGATTGCATTTTAATCACTTGCTACTTTTAATTCATTGCATTGAATTATGCATTAATTTTTGTGTAAAATATGCATTAATTGGACTATCGACCTTTACGCTCCTCGTTTTTTTTTTCATTTTCGAAATCGGTTGAATTTGGTTCTACATTCTCTGATATCTCAGTCAATTGTAAATAGCAGCCTAGGTATACATATACCATGTTCAACTATATCGTCATGTATTTACATAATAAAAATTCGATAAAACCCGGGCCAGACAAAATGGCATAATGTGAGAAAACAGTAGACGAGGATCATGTGTCAATAAAATAAAAATGTCAGGTAGGTATACCTATCTATAATTGTGACCAATCGCAAGTACCTACTTCAATACCAATGATAATCTTTATTTTCCTACAACACATTATCAAAAAAACCACTCCCAATAACAAGTTCGTCCTCTGATCACAAAAAAACTACCGACCGACCCACCAATACTATTGGTTGTCTCGTTAGCAAATCAATGTTGAGCACTCTCTGTGTGGCTGGTTTTTCTCTAACGCATGTGCACAAAAGACAATCAGGTAAGAACGTTCGACGAAGTGAGTCATCTGTCATCTCTTTGTTTTGCGAGAATATTATATAGAAATTAGATCCTTTACAGCAGTTTATGATAAGCATTTGAAATTTGATTATTTGTATTATGATGTTGAAAATGGGACACAAAAGGGACAGATAGATCGAACCTTAAAAATTCGGAGAATCGTCAAACGTGCATGCACACAGCCTCCTTCACTGAAAGCCATGAAGCATACATCTGGAAACGCCGCGTGTGGGTCTATCGTCCTATCGCCAATCTCGTCCATTTTGCTCGTGTTTGTGTTTTGTTTCCAAACCTATTTTACAAATTATGATCCCTTCAATTTAGGACTGTCAAGCTGATCAAACCAAGACTTAGGATCTGAAAAACATAACTAACTTTATTTAAAACCCTAAGAACATTACACAATAGTCTGAATGTAAAGCCATTGTTAGCTACATTAACAGATAGTTGTGAAACAAACCAATGCAGCAAATTATATCATGTTTCATTCATGTTTAAATCTTGTATGACCTCAAAACAATACAGGAAATACGTAATAATAGTCCCAAGGAGGGAAGTGTAATTGGCTATTGTATATTTAGTTTAAATATTATAGTTCTTGGCCTTTAGTTGACTTATTGTTGGTGTTGATCAATGGTATATAGGAATCTGTGATGAGGAAAATTAATAAGTAAATCTACAAATTTAATAACATTTATTTCTCTAAAACATTACAGAGTGACCTCTCCCCCATATTCCACAACCCCTTCCATTTCTTCCTTTTCATCGTCACTCTCCCTCATGTCTTCAGCCATAGCTTCTGCCTGTTTACGTTCTTTAAGGCCAGCTGCAGGTGACCTGATCAATGACAAGTCTCGCTGTACCTCCTTGATGTCCCTTTCCTGTTCTAATTCTCTGCCCTTTCTTAACCTGCAAACAAAAACATATGATAAAAATAAGAAAGGAGATATTCCCTGTGTGTAACGTTTTATCATAGGTTAACACTTTTGACTAGAAACACATATACTAGGAACTATCTATCATCTACAATACATACCTCTGCATAATATACGTTCCTTGTCGTTTCTGTTTGATGTTCTCGACCTTCTTCATGGCCTCCACGGCCTTTGTCCACATTTCTCTGTCATATTTAACTGGTACATTTCTGCGTTTTTCGAATTCAAACGATGGGTCAATAGCCAATTCTTTACCCACTGTTTTCCTGTACGCTTTGGTCCATTTCACCTTACGTGGATTCTTCTTCTTTTTGAACGCAGCGTGGCATTTTGAACGGCAGAATTTGAAAATCTGAAAGCAAAAAGGTATCAACAATATGATGCAAATTCTTAACTCCTCCCGAGTCATTACTTTACAGTCATTTCTAACAAACTGGATACCGTGGCCAGGATATATTCTGGAAGAGCAGAAATAGCACGTTTCTATACGCATTTTTTATCCTAAAATAAGTAATTCAAGCAATAATAAACAACACCATTTCCTAGCACGTGAAGAAAGGAATATGACAGCTGACAACTGTGCGCTTCATTGACGTATGTGCGATAGTGATGAGAGCTTTCTCGTCTGTGAATCGAATCGAAAGAAGATTTGTTTATAGAAGGTATTCGATTAATCGACTTGGACCGTATTTGGACATCGAATCCATACACCTGTTGCTTCATTTACTTTGGCCGTTTATTTTTGTTTTCCTAGTCCTACAGGTTGTAGCGATTTATTGAAATACTGACATCCGCTATTAATACCGACCTTACAGGTTTTTTGTTTATCATCTAAAACCACCGCTTTTAAAGAATGTGCATCTTGCTACGCTCAAAGCTGCTGTAATAGTCATATGAACATGAGGTATGGTTTCAATCTGAAAAGAAAAACAACAAACTATAATTACAGTTTTCTTTCTCACTCGAGTCATTCAGGAAGCAAGTAGTTGAATTAATGCCTTATAGATGGCGTTGTCAATATCACCAGCTGTCGCCATCTATTGTCATTATTGTTGAAGTGGGTAGGAGCTCAACAGCTTTCTTTTTAGTTTATTTTATCGACACCCCGTTTTATACTTTAGTTCAGTAGATGTCACTAATAACTTTAAGATAGCGCCATCCTCCATAGCATAGTCTTAATAAAGAATGCAGCTTACGAGCTTACAGTTTCCTTGCAGTTTGAAGGCTGTTCAAGCTTTTTGATTTTCAAAAAGATAACGGGTGAATGGTTAGCTTTTTATTTTTGTCTACACTTTTCTGATTTTCCCACTTTCTCAGTATATAATCTGCTAAATTCGTAGAAGTACACAATAATGATCCGTACGAGCATTTCTGACCGATCGCGATGATTTTCTCCTTGCAACTTGAGTAGAGTTTGGAGACGCGAGTACCAAAAAACTTTGCGACTTTAAGGTGCTAAAAACCAATTTTTACTATCGATTACTACATGACAGCAAAGCCTAGCACAATGAGTTGATTTTGGGGCGCTGATTCGGTTTCAGCGACCCAAAAAGCGTATTATAAGACATGTTGCGCTCACGTTCCCGACTGACCCATTTTGGGCCTTTTTGGTAACAATAGCCCTATACATGATAATTATATGTTTAAATGCGGTTCAAATTACCTTTATTCCAGGTATTTCGGGTTACTGAAACCGAATCCGAACTCGTTTCACATGTATCTGATCCCGTTTATCATATAGACCTAGTTATTTAGCGAAAAATTGCAAAACTATGCGTTTTTTTGCTACATTAAGGTGCTAAAAATCCGTTTTTACTATGGATGGCCACATGTGAGCTAGGCTCTGTACAACAACGTAATTTGGGACGCTGAATGTGAACATAATAGTAGAAAATTTCGAAAGTGTCATCGGACCGTTTTCAGGGTGAAAAATTTGCAAGAAACTATTATGGATGACCTGTAAGTCTTAGAACTAAATTGGCATCGAATTTGGAATCTAGGCCCCCAATTTACCTATAAAATAAGCTTCCATCTCGATCATAGATTTGCACGATTCTCTTTATTCTGGAAATGGATTTTTAACTATTTCGCAAGCGACATTACAAATTGACATTCGCGAACTATGATTGAGGGCCACCTCCGACTTGCTCTTGCCATATACCTCAAACTCCAAACAATTGACCCACTGATTCCTGTTACTTATTTTATTTAAAGACATCTATAAACTAACAAAACATAGAGGCATCATATGCTACAAATATTCTCTATCCATAGGAGTCTTCTTTGCCTTCTTGTCTCTAGCCCTGGGAAACCACCTATGCTTCGTAGTATGTGTGATATTCATAAGCTCTTGCCGGGCCTGCTCTGGGGTTTTCTTGTTGAAAATGGACATCACCTCTGGAGTAAGGTTCGTTTTTAAAACTGATGTAGATTTCTCGACGGTTCTTTCGGGCAGGGGCCTGGTGCATTCGTATGGAAAATCGTCTTTAGGGTGCCATGCTACAATCGTGGTTCCATCGTCTGTCACTACAATTTTGCTATGACTAGATATTTGGCGGATAATCGCTATCGGATTTAACTGAGAAATCGGTTTTCTTAGTATTTTGGTGATCATTTTTGGAAGATAGGTAGAAACATAACCAAAAAGCAGTTTGAGATCAGTGACGTGTGACGTATGTCACATTGTCTAGTGATGGGCGTAACGATTCATTTGTTTGTTTTTAGAGTTGCTTTCGGTATTCGTTTTTGGTTTCAAAGAATACTGCACTCGGATTTTTCTCAACTCTATTCTAAAGCTTGACATTGAATACTTGACATTGACAACAAACGTAACCTCACATCTTTCAAGAACCACTGCAGGGAAAATTCAAAATCGATTTATAATGGAATCAAATAATCAATGATATACTGCAGTATTTTGTATGAATGTAATTCTGTATCATTGAGAGAAGAATGTTTATTGCTAACAAATGCGTGCGATAGTTTTGTTAATGCCAAATTACAAAAATGACTTGTTTCCTTAGTAGGATAAATTATTATAAGCTGTGCGGCTTTTTTAAGAACAATAATGCCAAATGTTGCTGCCAAGTAAGCTTCATGGAATAATCGAAAAAAACTAGCACTAAACCGTTTAATTTTCAGTCATTTTGGGTGACTAAAAAAGGTCCCATCGCAAGGCACTACAGTACACCGCAAAAAACTCAACAAGTATACTTGATTGATGAAAAAAGCGGTGAAGAGTCTCAGGCTATCAACAGGGTGAATAAATATACAAATAGATCGTACACTTGCGGAGAATTGAATACAAATCACATCGGAGAGTCTGTTGTGCTGTGCGGTTGGCTAGAATATCAAAGAATGAACCGATTCGTTGTGTTGAGAGACAGCTATGGAGAAACACAGATGCTAGTAGGGGACAAGGTAGGGACAGCTTTGTCATAGGTGTTCAGCAATTCAAAATATACAGGGAAATCTATGGATGGACACCAACTGAAAGTGTCAGCTCTAGAGAGGTGCCCATATAAATGAAATATAATAAAAATCGTGTTTTTAATGAAAACTGAATGAATTAAAGGAACTGGCATATTTCAGACATTCAAGAGAATGTCCACCCAAAAGAGGGTTAATCTAACGCAAATTTTATGAGAGTTTGTTGGGACCATGAGAAACTCTATACAGGGTGACTTGTAATGTCACATATTGCTGTTAAGGGGTGATAGATTAAGTCAAAAGCAACCGATTTTGTCCTATCCAGAAGTTAACCGTTTTTGAGTTATTTGAATTTTATTTTTTTTATTTTTTATTCCGATTTCAGACGGTTAAATTTGAATTTGTCGCATAGTGGACATTCCAATAGTTCACAATAAGTAATAAAATGTGGAAAACTTGCAAAAGTTTTAAAATTACGCTTTTGAAATGTATGATTTTCTTATTTTTTTACTAACTTATTCGATATGCATTAATTTATTCAGGATATAGAGACTCAAAATGTGCTGGCAAAAGTACCTTACGAATCAATACTTGAAGTAAAAGGAACTGTTTTGGCTAGGCCCAAAGATATGGTCAACAAAAAGCAAGCTACTGGTGAAATTGAAGTATTAGTAGATAAACTTAAGGTTGTGAATGAATCTAAGGACAATCTACCTTTTAATATCAGGTAAAAAACATTTAAAATCTCAATTTTTCATTTATAAGACAGTAATGTGAGAATTATTTATGATTCCAGGGAGTTTCAAAAGGCAAAGGAGCCCTTACGAATGCAATATAGATACTTAGATTTAAGGTTTCCTCAAATGCAACATAATCTTAGGACACGCTCAAAATTTCTGATGAAAATGCGAGAATTTTTAGTTAATAATCATTTTGTGGATGTCGAAACCCCTACATTATTTAAAGCCACCCCTGGGGTAAGTTGCTGACATGCTTTCTAAGCAAGAACTCACAAAAGTTGAATGAAAGCTATCCGTTTGCTAAGTCATATTGCAAAACTTTTATAGTACCCTTTGTGGTAAACCTGATTATAGAAACAAAATCAAGGACCCAATGAATATTAATAACTGATTTTATATCTTTTCAAGGGTGCCCAAGAGTTTGTAGTCCCAAGTCGACATCCCGGTTTATTTTTTTCTTTGGTCCAGAGTCCACAGCAGTTCAAACAGATGCTAATGGGCGGTGCTTTAGATAGGTAACGTATCTGACATTAATGTCTAATGTGAAAGTAAGAAACTTTATAACTGGAATGTTTATTTCCCACTCCAAAATATGCCTAAACCAACCTTGGATGTCCAAACTCTTTGGCCACTATGGAGTCTGCTGCTATGCTAATGTCGAAAAAACTAACTAATGTTTGAAAGTTGTGTGAAAGCCCTTAACTCAGCTTTGACGTTTTTGAACGCTTGGATCATTATAGTACCTTATTTTTGGTAGGTATTTCCAGATAGCCAGATGCTATAGAGACGAAGGTTCGAGGCCGGACAGACAACCCGAGTTCACACAACTTGACATTGAACTTTCCTTCACAGACGTCGAAGGCGTTTTGAAACTCGTCGAGGAGATGTTAGGGTATGTCACCACATTTTAGGAGGAAGATATTTCCTAAAACTTTTGAGCAACAGGGTATTAAAATGTTAAGAAAAAATCCGATTTATTATCGTAACTTTAATACTGTTCTGGATATTTTCATGAAATTTGACATGCACCCACTAAAAGCAGCTATAGGTATTTTTTGATGTAGTATATTTTTTAATATCTTTACCAGTGGCGCATACTGGAGATTTTTCAAAAAAATATAGTACGCCATTGCTTTTTCCTCATTTTGCATTAAATTTGGCTTTTTCTCGTCGATGCACCGTTTTCGGGAATGAAAATTAAATAAAATCACAACTTAGCTACACAACTACCACATGAAATTTTAGCGATTTTGCAATGCATGAAAATTAAAAAACAAGTTTGCAAGAAGTTTTGGCAATTTCTGTGGACCAAATAAACTAATACTATTTAATACTCAACATATATACTAAGTGACATATAAATCCGAACACCCCGTTTAAATGGTTTTATTTCAATACAATTTTGTATAAGTACTTAATGGAGCATAATAAGTAAATGATAAAAATTTCAAAATGATTGCACTGCTTTAAAGCCCTTTGACCTTTAATAATGTGTGGATGCACCCTGATGTGCTACGCATTCTCCAACGCGCCTAGGCATGCTTCTGATCAGGTGGTCAATGTCCTCCTGTGGTATCTCATTCCAGGCAACCACCAACTTCTCTCGAAGTGCTTCTAGAGTCTGAGGAGGACGTTGCAAATTGAGCAATCTCCTACCCATCATATCCCACACGTGCTCAATTGGGGATAAGTCGGCCATAGTAACAATGTGACATCATTATGTTGAAAGAAGTCTATTGTGACTCTTGCAACATGTGGTCGGGCATTATCTTGTTGGGTGTCAAGATAGGATAAAAGATGGGGTTCTAGAACTTCGTGGATATAACGCTGCGCGTTCATGTTACCTCTGATGAAGATTAAAGGTGACCTGGAACCATAAGCTATAGCACCCCAAACCCTAACTCCAACAGTGTGATGAACATGTCTTTCATCAAAAAACTGTGGATTCCTCCTTTCACCACGTTGCCTTCTAACCCTGGCACGACCATCGTGCATGCCTAAACAAAATCGAGATTTGTCACTAAAGACAATACTGTTCCATTCCTGATCCCAGAGTGACCGTTGTCTGCACCACTCAACGCGATTACGTCGGTGTTCTCGAGTTAAAGGGAGGACCCAGTGTGGCCGGTATGAAAACAAGCCAAAACTTCTCATTCGTCGGTAAACACTTCGCATGCCAATAGGTCTTCCGTGTTCTGCAAACCATTCATTTGCAATGGACCTGGTAGTGGAGAAACGGTCCCTTAAGGCCAATAATCTTAGGCGGCGATCTTCACGGTCTGTTGTTCTACGGCGGCGTCCAGTGCCCCTTGCTCTTTGCGTACGGCCTTCTCGAAGCCATGCCTGACAACACCTAACCACAGTGTCTACACTTCTTTGCACTCTAACTGCAATTGCCCGAAAAGAAAGTCCAGCTTCCCGAAGTCCCACTATACGGCCCCTATCAAACTCACTAAGTTGACGAAATCGTACAGGTCTCCGTACTCTAGGCATCGTAACCGATCGTAAAGGATGTCAAGAACCAAAATCCGTCAACGTTGATTCTTTACTGCGGCTGATTCTAAGCGTAGTGAATTAAAAAAAGCAGTATAAAAACCGATATCCATGATAAGCTGAAAATTTTAGTAATACAGTAAGATAATACACACCACTTATTAAAATAAACCATTTAAACGGGTGTTCGGGTCACACTACCATGTATCGTCCGCAAGTGTTCTAACATGTCAGAGATATCATTTATATAAATGATATATAATAACGCCCTATTTTACTCCCCTGTGGCACCCCTACTGATATATTTTGAACGATTGACATAATATTTCCAGCTTTAGTGCTTGGACTTCTATTATTTACTAAATAGTTTTGTAAAATGTTTACTGATCCATTAAAATCATAGTGATGCAATTTCAATAACAATGTTTCCCTATCTATAATCTCAAATGCCGTTTTAAAGACTAAAAATACTGTTACACATTCTTTTTGATCTATACTTCTCCAGTCTTCCAATACCATTTCGATTGCTGTTTCTGTAGAATATTTTGTTCTAAATCCAGCTTGTTTTTTTTCAAAATTTTGTTCCTTCAGCTTTAACTTAACAATTTTGCGATCATACACATCAAAAGGTAATGCTTTATCTCGAGAGCTCAGATTTGAGCATTGGGTTCCTCAAGTTATTTTTTTTAGAAAATATTATAGTGATTGTCATTGAATTTTTTAGTTTTGCGTGGCCAGATCATTTAGCGACAATACCGATGAAATTCGATAGGATGACTTATGATTACGCAATGGAAAATTATGGGAACGACCATCCTGATACGAGATTGGGTTTTAGGGTAAGTATACAAGATTATTTTTCATCGATATCGCAGACATCCAAGAATTTTTGAATTTTGTCATGCAAAACTTTCATTCTCGTCTGCTGTATCAGACTTTGTGGAGTAACACTTTCATCTTCATCTTCTCTCCCAAGTTCAATTCAATTCCATTCATCTAGATCACAGATCCGCAGAAATTTTTGGAAAAATTCTTATACTCTTTAATTAATGTCAAATTTAATGGGTGAATTTTGGGATCATTTTGTGTTAAACGTCCTTACTTTTGAAATACAGGTGAATACGGTGACGCCACTCACTTTCCTTATAATAAAAAAATGAAACCTGTATTTTTATGAATTTTTTTTAGTCCGACGCAATAATAATTTTATTTTAAGAGAAATCAGTCTCGTACCATCAATGTGTGCCAAAATCGGCAGGTAAAATTCCGTACAACGTCGCTGATGGAAATAAAAAAAAAGCGGTAAAATATCAATAAACCTGATGTTTACTTTTTTCCTGTGCTATGAATCAAAGATATCCCATTTGTACATGGCGTTCATTTTTTAGATAAAAAATTGCACCAACGTCATAAGCAGCAACAAAAAACTGGTCACCGGAGACAAATTTGCCGCGCATTATATAATGTTTCCTAAAGAATACGCCAATTTGAGCAAGCAAATTAAGGAAACCGTTACCAGTTTGTCCAAGAATTATCCTAAAGCGAAGCTAGTCCAGAGCAAAGTTGCTTCGACGAAAGAATGGACAAATAAAATTAGTAAGCTGCTAACTCATCAGGTTGCGGCAGAGTTTGTGATAGAAAGTAAAATGCAAGATGAATCTGTATTGTTTCTAGCCTATGGTGATAAAAAAGAAGTGGTATGTATACCTCAAATAAAGTCTAACATATTTGTTTTACCGTGTTTCGCTTTTGCTTATGTATTATAGTTTAGTCCATTTTTGATGTGTGTTTGTTGAGTATTTTTTTTGTTGGTAAAGATTTATTTAGCATTAATGCTACAATGTCGAATTTGTATAATTTTTCGTGTACATAGTTTTTGAATCATATTTCTGTAATTTTACATTCTTGTCTATTAAAATTACATCACTATGTATTTTATTATATTTAAATACAGATTATATAGCTATGCTACTATTACAGTTTTTCAGATGAAGATCTATGGTTAATGCCTTTAGTTTCGTAGTTATGATAATTTATATTTAATTTTGTGACGTTTTCTAAATGTGGTGGTAATAAATGAGTGTTTCAATTGAATATGAAAATGAGAACTAAATAACATGTTTTACATACAACAACTGTAGTTCTTCTAACATACATTTAATCTTAGAACATTTGTTTATTTTCAGCTTGCACTGTTAGGAAAAATTCGATTGGAATACGCGAACTTTCTGGAAAATTTGGGCATTTCCATTAGGCAGAAAGGAATGCATTTCACGTGGATCACGGATTTTCCATTGTTTGAAATATCAGAGGAAACTGGAACTTTGCAATCCGCCCATCACCCGTTTTCTGCTCCAAACCCTGAGGATATCCAGTGGTTGAAAAGCGATCCTTTGAAGGTGAGTCGTAAAATGTTGCAAATTTTCCATTTTTGGCAGGTATGCAACTAGCAACACCAGCTACCCGGAACACGCGATATCCTTTACCAGCGGAGGGTCAGAATCGAAATCGTTTTCGAAACACAAAACAAACCTGCATTCAATGCCTGTAGCTGCATCTTCGAATATGGGCGTCACACCTCAATGCCTCATCCTCCTTTTTCAAGGGTACATCAGGAATCAAATCTAGGCCCCCTATTATTCATAATATATATATATATATATATTTTGAGACGTGGTCATTGTCGTCTAGACCAGTTAGGTGAAAAAGGAACTGACCCCTAAGCTGATCAGATTGTGCAGTCCTTTGAACTTTCGAATTGCTTGCAAATCCGTCCTCACTATAAACTGCATTTTTTCAAAAATGAAAGACAAAGTCCCGCTGCTTGGCTTAACCAACACAGTCTACTCCATCAATTGCAACAACTGCAACCAAATATACATAGGTCAGACCTCCAGATCTCTTAAAGGAAGGATTACATCACACAAAAGTGATGCTAGGCTTCATCCTGAAAGATGCGCTCTAGCATCTCATGTTAACACAACAGGGCATTCTATGAATTACACAAGTATCAAAGTTCTTGATAAATAAAAACACCTTTCCAAACGTTTATTCCTGGAAATGTCCCACATTTTCATGAATAACAACTGTATCAACAAAAAGACAGATGTTAAACAACTGAGTGTCATTTACTCATATTTGCTAAACTGCGAAAAATTGGAGAACTTACATATCTCCCCAAATTTCAACTCTTCACAACCATAATTAGAATCTGTGTTTTGGCCGATTCCACCAGTAAATTTCATTCCACTCAAAATATAATAATTCTCTCCTCACGATTTATTAATAATTGTTAATTTAAATTCCCATTAATAATAATATAGTTTATTCAACTGCCTCTGGTCGGTTTAACTAATTCTAACATAAAATTCTGAAAATCTCATCATCTGAAGTGATTTGGCAACGTTTGGCACACGCCCACAATTCGTTCCATCTTTCAACACTGACATTGACATCCTTCGGCCTTCTGTCAAAGGGTTTCATGTCACTCATTATTCCATGACCACTAATTTGTGCAATCATCAAGTGGCTTCACGATGTAATGCTCTAATGTTTTTTAAATAATTTTTAATCTGTTTTTAACTTGTTCTTGTCATATTTTATATAATTTTGACCATTGTACAATCTATCCAGCTCTCACCATGTCACTGGACGTTTCCCTCATCCTATACGTAAACAACAATTAGCAACATCCTCACATACTACTGTAAGTTGAATCAATTTAAATTCATTTTACACCTTTGTTGCTACTGTTATCATTGTAATTGCAGCTCCTGATGATGATGGCAAAGTCCATTGAAAGCTAGAGAGAATTAAAAAAAGTATAAAGAGTCCTCTTTGCTTAAATTTTGTCGAAGTACCCAACAAAAGGCGGAAGCTTTAATAATTTTTCACCTATATATATATATATATATATATTAATGACCTGAAGTTTTTTGATAGCATCCTTTTTCAGGACGGTTAATAACAAAAAACCTGTGCATCTGATCAGCGTTTATTGATGTTTTTTCTCCATTTTTTTTTTGAGATTGTTCGTCCTGGAAGAGGATTTCAACGTTCAAAATATTCTTAGTAATATCCTAATGAGTTTAGTTATCATGCAATAGTCCTGAAGGAGTAAATAAACGTTTCCGAATGCTTCACACAGAACAAACCTTTTTTCTCTTCTGATCCTCAACGATTTTTAGCTTTGAATCAATCTGCTTGTCGGCATTTTTTCCAGGTGCGAGCCTTGGCGTACGACCTGGTCCTAAACGGCAACGAAATAGCTGGAGGTTCCATCCGAATCCACGATCCGTCCTTACAGCGAACGATACTAGACATCCTGCAAATTGACGGGAGCACCTTAGAGCACATGCTCGAGATGTTGTCCTGCGGGTGCCCCCCGCACGGGGGCGTAGCCCTAGGCTTGGACAGGCTGCTCTCGATCATGCTGAACACTGTCAGCATAAGGGATGTCATCGCGTTTCCTAAGAACTTCGAGGGGAGGGACCCCTTGAGCGGGGCACCGTCCCCCATATCAGAAAAGGATATGAAGTTGTATCATATTCGTAGCACTGATAAGGCTAAAAAGTGAATCAAAATTGTTGGTTGGTTTAATTTGACCAAGAGACAGAGTTTTTCAAGAATTTATACGATGGCGAAATTGAAAAAATATATGCATATATAGATATGGGAAATACTGAGTTGATCTACGTGACGATATTCGAGTTTCTGTCTCTTGGTGTCTGTTTCAAAATTGCCATCTCTAGTCGCTATTGTTACTTGAAAAGTTAAGATTGATAATCGATTAAAAAGTTGTTAATTGTCCTAAGAATAAAGCGATAGTTGTTATCTTTTACCATAAGTATTTTTTTGAATACAGCTTTTATAGATCCCAAAAGTGTTTTATTTCAACCCTTAGATCCTTCAATTATCATAAGATTTGAGGCAAAACTTATATGGCTTAGCTATGTAGCTGACTTCATAAAATATACATATATGTGAGATATACTGAGTTGATCTACTTGACGATATTCGACTTTCTGTCTCTTGGTGTCTGATTCAAAATTGCCATCTCTAGTCGCTATTGTTACTTGGAAAGTTAAGATTTATAATCGATTAAAAAGTTGTTGATTGTCCTAAGAATAAAGCTATAGTTGTTATCTTTTACCATAAGTATTTTTTTGAATACAGCTTTTATAGATTCCAAAAGTGTTTTATTTCTACACTTAGAGCCTTCAATTACCATAAGATTTAAGGCAAAACTTCTATGGCTTAGCTATGTAGTTGACTTCGTAAAATATACATAGATGTGGGATATACTGAGTTGATCTACTTGACGATATTCGAGTTTCTGTCTCTTGGTGTCTGTTTCAAAATTGCCATCTCTAGTCACTATTGTTACTTGAAAAGTTAAGGTTTATAATCGATTAAAAAAGTTGTTAATTGTCTTAAGAATAAAGCTATAGTTGATATCTTTTACCATAAGAATTTTTTGAATACAGCTTTTATATATTCCAAAAAAGTTTTATTTCAGCCCTTAAAATAACATGAGATTTAAGGCCAAACTTTTATAGCTTAGCTTTTTAGCTGATTTAGTAAAATATACATAGATGTGGGATATACTGAGTTGATCTACTTGACGATATTCGAGTTTCTGTCTCTTGTGTCTGTTTCAAAATTGCCATCGCTAGTCGCTATTGTTACATGAAAAGTTAAGATTTATAAGTTATAAAGTTGTTAATTGTCCTAAGAATAAAGCTATACTTGTTATCTTTTACGATAAGTATTTTTTTGAATACAGCTTTTATAGATTCCAAAAGTGTTTTATTTCAACCCTTAGATCCTTCAATTATCATAAGATTTAAGGCAAAACTTCTATGGCCTAGCTATGTAGCTGACTTCGTAAAATATACATAGATGTGGGATATACTGATTTGATCTACTTGACGATATTCGACTTTCTCTCTTGGTGTCTGTTTCAAAATTGCCATCTCTAGTCGCTATTGTTACTTGAAAAGTTAAGATTTATAATTGATTAAAAAAGTTGTTAATTGCCTTAAGAATAAAGCTATAGTTGTTATCTTTTACCGTAAGTATTTTTTTGAATACAGCTTTTATAGATTCCAAAAGTGTTTTATTTCAACCCTTAGATCCTTCAATTATCATAAGATTTAAGGCAAAACTTCTATGGCCTAGCTATGTAGCTGACTTCGTAAAATATACATAGATGTGGGATATACTGAGTTGATCTACTTGACGATATTCGACTTTCTCTCTTGGTGTCTGTTTCAAAATTGCCATCTCTAGTCGCTATTGTTACTTGAAAAGTTAAGATTTATAATTGATTAAAAAAGTTGTTAATTGCCTTAAGAATAAAGCTATAGTTGTTATCTTTTACCATAAGTATTTTTTTGAATACAGCTTTTATAGATTCCAAAAGTGTTTTGTTTCAACCCTTAGAGACTTCAATTATCATAAGATTTAAGGCAAAAATTCTATGGCTTAGCTATGTAGCTGACTTCGTAAAATATACATAGATGTGGGATATACTGAGTTGATCTACTTGACGATATTCGACTTTCTGTCTCTTGGTGTCTGTTTCAAAATTGCCATCTCTAGTCGCTATTGTTACTTGAAAAGGTTTATAATCGATTGAAAAGTTGTTAATTGTCCTAAGAATAAAGCTATAGTTGTTATCTTTTACGATAAGTATTTTTTTGAATACAGCTTTTATAGATTCCAAAAGTGTTTTATTTCAACCCTTAGAGACTTCAATTATCATAAAATTTAAGGCAAGACTTCTATGGCTTAGCTATGTAGCTGACTTCGTAAAATATACATAGATGTGGGATATACTGAGTTGATCTACTTGACGATATTCGACTTTCTCTCTTGGTGTCTGTTTCAAAATTGCCATCTCTAGTCGCTATTGTTACTTGAAAAGTTAAGATTTATAATTGATTAAAAAAGTTGTTAATTGCCTTAAGAATAAAGCTATAGTTGTTATCTTTTACCGTAAGTATTTTTTTGAATACAGCTTTTATAGATTCCAAAAGTGTTTTATTTCAACCCTTAGAGACTTCAATTATCATAAAGTTTAAGGCAAGACTTCTATGGCTTAGCTATGTAGCTGACTTCGTAAAATATACATAGATGTGGGATATACTGAGTTGATCTACTGGACGATATTCGACTTTCTGTCTCTTGGTGTCAGTTTCAAAATTGCCATCTCTAGTCGCTATTGTTACTTGAAAAGTTAAGGTTTATAATCGATTAAAAAAGTTGTTAATTGTCTTAAGAATAAAGCTGACTTCGTAAAATATACATAGATGTGGGATATACTGAGTTGATCTACTGGACGATATTCGACTTTCTGTCTCTTGGTGTCAGTTTCAAAATTGCCATCTCTAGTCGCTATTGTTACTTGAAAAGATTTATAATCGATTAAAAAGTTGTTAATTGCCTTAAGAATAAAGCTGTAGTTGTTATCTTTTACCATAAGTATTTTTTTGAATACAGCTTTTATAGATTCCAAAAGTGTTTTATTTCAACCCTTAGATCCTTCAATTATCATAAGATTTAAGGCAAAACTTCTATGGCCTAGCTATGTAGCTGACTTCGTAAAATATACATAGATGTGGGATATACTGAGTTGATCTACTTGACGATATTCGACTTTCTGTCTCTTGGTGTCTGTTTCAAAATTGCCACCTCTACTCGCTATTGTTACTTGAAAAGTTAAGGTTTATAATCGATTAAAAAAGTTGTTAATTGTCTTAAGAATAAAGCTATAGTTGATATCTTTTACCATAAGAATTTTTTGAATACAGCTTTTATAGATTCCAAAAGTGTTTTATTTCAACCCTTCAAATAACATAAGATTTAAGGCCAAACTTTTATAGCTTAGCTTTGTAGCTGATTTCGTAAAATATACATAGATGTGGGAAATACTGAATTGATCTACTTGACGATATTTGAGTTTCTGTCTCTTGGTGTCTGTTTCAAAATTGACATCTCTAGTCGCTATTGTTACTTGAAAAGTTAAGATTTATAATCGATTAAAAAGTTGTTAATTGTCCTAAGAATAAAGCGATAGTTGTTATCTTTTACCATAAGTATTTTTTTGAATACAGCTTTTATAGATTCCAAAAGTGTTTTATTTCAACCCTTAGATCCTTCAATTATCATAAGATTTAAGGCAAAACTTCTATGGCTTAGCTATTTAGCTGACTTCGTAAAATATACATAGATGTGGGATATACTGAGTTGATCTACTTGACGATATTCGACTTTCTGTCTCTTGGTGTCTGTTTCAAAATTGCCATCTCTAGTCGCTATTGTTACTTGAAAAGTTAAGGTTTATAATCGATTAAAAAAGTTGTTAATCGTCTTAAGAATAAAGTTATAGTTGTTATCTTTTACCGTAAGTATTTTTTTGAATATAACTTTTATAGGTTCCAAAAGTGTTTTATCTCAACCCTTCAAATATCATGAGATTTAAAGCCACACTTTTATAACTTAGCTTTCAAGCTGATTCTGTAACTGGCAGTTTAATCTTTAATGACGAATCTATTATTGGAAGCTAATGCCTTTTGTAGTTTTAACAAACAGTACCTTTGAGACTAATCCACAGGTGTGATGTTTACGTAGACGCGTAAAGCCCGGTCTAGACATAACATTTTAGCTTACGTCTAGCCTGTCTGGCAAAACGGTCAAGTATGACGGTTGAAAGACTAGCGTACACACTTGAAAGCTTTAACGTACGATTTTAGATCAGTTTCTGGTAGACCATGGAGAAAACACTGCTTTTGTCAATAATAGCGCTGTATTTAGCAAAATTGTAAAGGAAAAGAAAGGCTTCTCGTGGTTGCTGAAAGTGATTTCCGCTAAACGAAACTTGGCCTTATAATTTATACATGTACAAGTATAGAAGTAAAATGAACTTAAGCTTACCTCTTGCTGCTTTAAATTGTTATCCTCTATGTTGTTGGTTGTTGTCCTTGGAGTTTCTTGATCATTTATAAGTGAAAGCAGGTCAAAATACCAAAGTGATGGCTTATAAATGTCATCCATACCCGCACCAGATCGCTTTGATTTTTTTAGTTACAGCATCCTTAGTCGCAGCACGATCCATCTCCTCGCATTTCTTTACCAAAACAGCATATGCTTGATTTTTGTTCTCCGTCTCACTGTAATCGCTTGTTTTAACTTTCCATAGACATCGCCAACACAAATTGAGCTAAATCAACAGTTCAAAACGGCCGAGTGCCTTCACGTGCAAGGTTGTACGGCAAAACGATAATTTTATTGGAAAACAATGGGTTTTCTAGACGCACTTCCGTCTTAAATCAGTTCAAATAAAACGTTAGTTTTTCAGTCAACACACAATGTTTTACTTGATGCGTGTTGAATGAACAGGCAAGACGTAATGTAAAATGTTACGTCTAGACCGGGCTTAAGAAAGATTGGGAGGTGGAAAGTCGCGTGATTAAATTCCAACCAATGACGACGCAGAACGACGACGCCGTACTGCTTACGCTGCGAACTACTGCGAGGCGCTTCAGTTGTCGGTTGGCGTTCGGGGAGGCCGGTGCGGCGAGACCCCCGTGCAACGCTCTGCTTTCGTTACGCGAGTTGTAATTGTTAGGCTTTGTCGGCGATTTTCCGCAGTGTCGTGGTGATGAGTGGAGTGTAATTGTGTGTGAAAATGTGAGTGGCGCATCTCTTTGTGTTTTCACCTTGGATATAATGGGCCTTCTTGCGATCGTTCTGGAGAAGCTGAATGTCTTCGCAGCAATCTAGGTTAGTAACTTATGCATACTCATCTACTTTGGTTTTTCAGTTATTTAACTCGAAACGACACATTTAGGTAGAAGTTACCGAAAACTTTTTTCATTCACAATTGTAGACTGGGCTTAACGTCGCAGCCGGTAGATATGGTGCAGACCAGGCTTAACGCATCATTTTTATTGCTTGCCGTGGAAATATTTATCGGGTATCAAGTGTTTGTTTTTTTTGGACGATGAGCGTTGTTTACAATTTTTGTAAAAAATAAATACCTACATACAATCGAATCGAATACAATCATGTTGTATCTTTATATATGGGCTGGGGACGTTGTATATTATTGACATCAAGCCCAAAATTCTATAACTTTATTTTCAAAAATTCTGGCTACATTATCCATTAGCAACACTAAAAAATTAACGACTCATTCTTTTATCTATTCCAATATTACTTTGTTATTGATCGTTTTCGAAAAATGCCTTCGTTTACGAACATACAGGGAGAATAAAAATAAAAACCTAACGTATCGCAACTGCAGGCCGATAAATATTTCAATCTTATCACATGATTGTCACGGTAATCTTACGGAAGATCTACTTCCGTAGACTTCATTCGATATTAGGATACTTAATAAACAGGGTGGTAAAAAAGAGTATATAGTAAAAATTGAGCTTTAAAAAACCTAAAAGCATTTTTTCCTTATGGAACCGCCTCTATTTATAATTTATACGGTTAAACAATAAAAATATTGCTTTCTAGAAGCTTGCCGCAAGATAGTGGTTTCTGAAATATGTGGAAACGTTTGTTTTTCTTGTGCAAAAATGCTCCATAAGAAAAGGAAAAGGAAAATCGAGTGATTATTTATTGTCTGACGATAATTTTTCGCCATATTTTGTTAATTTGTTGACATATTTTTTTTTCGTATACCTGTAGTCGTGGAAGGAGTATTCTCCATGTGCGTGCGAACCAGATTTATAAAAGGTGTCAATACATTACAGATAACTATTTTATTTATATTCATTTAATCAACCAGATATTAGAAAACAGCTTTTATAGCCGTCCGCCTTTCCTGCCCGAAGTGTGAGAATTTTAATAACGTAGTAGTTCTATACTCATGCTGTTTCTTCTTGTTCCAGGGACTAGGGCAGGTTGCTGAAATGTAAGTGCATTTAGGGTTTTCTTATTGGTGTAGGGTTCACAGCTGAACTGCCCTCGCCTAGGCAGAGTGCCCCATTTAGATAGTTAGGGATCACTAGGAAAAAGCGTCGGGTCAGTAGAAAAGTTAGGAAAAATGAAACGATTGCAAACTTTGAAAGTAGAGAGAACGGACATCAAGAAAAACGTTTGCGTCATAAAACTCCAAATAAATGGTAGGGAGTAGCGAGTAGCTAGGAAATATGTTTGGGCACTCTGCGTTGTGGGGGCACACCGAGGTATACAGAGACAACTGTTCTTCATGCCCTTCCTGAGAGCATATACAGGGGCACATTGCGGCATATGGACGACCATCATATCTTTGCTGAGAGTATACTGAGGTACTTCAGAGGTAAATGTTTTTTACGCGAATGCGACTACTGTTATATATTTTTATAATTTATCGACATATTTTTTTTGTATATTTTAAATACCTTTTTTGAAACAAATCTTTTTTTCAATAGTTAATTTTTGCAAATTTTATCTTTCACAAAGTTCTCTAATCTGTGTTTAGAATACCGGCCTCGAAAACAACAATAATAAAGTGCAAATTTTAAGTACAATAAATTCGACAATTCAAGTGACTTTTGAGTGTTTTTGCATAATTTCTTTACACTGTTTGGCAGATTATTATATGTTTTTACTGCATGGTGGGTAGGGATGCACAGAATATGCGACGGCACATCGCGGGATGCAAACAACGCCATGCCCTTGCGCAGAGCATCTGAGGCACATGCATTTTTATACTTTATCTAGGACTTTATACGTAATAGGATTTCTCATACATTTTTCTGCAGTATTATTAGGCTTGGTTTTGGCCTTCAACTAGCAAAACTGTGATGAACTTCAACGATTGCACTGTGCCAAGGTCCGTCAATAAGAGGGAAAACTGAAGGAAGGAATTTCCCTGGATCAATGGCCGAGCTGTTAAATAGGGATCCAGAATTTAAAAGGACACTGCTAGGTATTAATATGGTGTTAATGTAAGTACACACAAGTAAGATGATATGTACTACTGTACTACTGTATTAAAAACGATGATTACTTTTTATAAGCAATGTGTGAAGAAACGTTCCGCGAGACATGTCAATTATTTGCGGACAGATGTCGTCCAGTGTTTCTGAGGGATAAGATATGTGAAAAATTCAGGTTTCATAAGAAGGTAGTAGTAGTAGTAATAACAGTAGTAGTAGTTGTAGTTCTGGTAATACTTAGTGATAGTAGGGTTAGTAGTAGATCATTACAGGTATGAGGCAAGTTGCCCCAGCAGGCAAGGTGGTTTATAAGACTTAGGTACGCGCTCCATGCTAAGGCCTCGCGATGGTCTCCAAAACTATATTTCTTATTTTTTTTAATTATAATTGGTATTCACTAATTTCTATTTTACTATTGACAACTAGATAAAACATGCTTACTTATCGAGAAAACATATCTACAAGCAAAATGGGTTATCACAATTCTTATTTTCACGTAATTCATAGGTACGTTGTGTATGATTATTTATGCTTCAAAATCGTAGGGCAAGTGTTTTCTTAGTTTGTTTCAGCTTTTAGGTGAGAATGAGGATATTCTGTATTTCAGGAATGGTGATGAACTATGATAAATATTGATGATAATGATATATATTTTTTATCATTTCAATTTTGAGTAAAATTTGGTATTTATTATTTCTATTAGGTACATATTTTACGAACATATCTATTTTTAGCTTAGATGTGATTGCTCATTTCTTACTTTTACGTATTTAACAGAACTACTGTCCGAAAACTTTTAGGTTTTCTTTCAGAATCAGCCCAAATATTTTAGCTTTAGAGGGAGGACACTCCCAATTTCAGGAATGGCACAAGTTATAGATATACTGAATATTGATGATAATGGCAGCTGTTCCAAAAAAGGTTCTGCCTGGATAGCTGGATGAATGTTTCATTGGGCATACAAGAGTTGGGTAAAGATAGAAGTTGAATAGGAACAATGGAAACATGTTAACCATGATTAAAGTCCCGATTCATAGTATGCTGCAATATATGGAAACAGCAATCAAACATCAAAATTTTTACAGGGTAAGCATTGAAAAGTATGGCATCAAGAAGGTTGGTTTTGAACTTCACGAACCACTGTTGAGGATCTTGGAAACGTTCCCAAGAGATGTATTTTCAAAACTTAGCCTAAGAAGAACAACAGCTTTCCACTCAAACTGTACTTAAATTTATGCTATTATCTATGTAATATACTAAGTGACATATAAATCCGAACACCCAGTTTAAATGGTTTTATTTTAATAAAATTTTGTATAAGTACTTAACGAAGCATAATAAGTAAATGATAAAAATTTCAAAATGATAGCACGGCTTTAAAGCCCTTTGACCTTTAATAATGTGTGGATGCACCCTGATGTGCTACGCATTCTCCAACGCGCCTAGGCATGCTTCTGATCAGGTGGTCAATGTCCTCCTGTGGTATCTCATTCCAGGCAACCACCAACTCCTCTCGAAGTGCTTCTAGAGTCTGAGGAGGACGTTGCAAATTGAGGAATCTCCTACCCATCATATCCCACACGTGCTCAATTGGGGATAAGTCGGGAGATCTTGTTGGCCATGGTAACAATGTGACATCATTATGTTGAAAGAAGTCTATTGTGACTCTTGCAACATGTGGTCGGGCATTATCTTGTTGGATCTGCCAGGGTGTCAACATAGGGTAAAAGATGGGGTTCTAGAACTTCGTGGATATAACGCTGCGCGTTCATGTTACCTCTGATGAAGATTAAAGGTGACCTGGAACCATAAGCTATAGCACCCCAAACCATAACTCCAACAGTGTGATGAACATGTCTTTCAACAAAAAACTGTGGATTCCTCCTTTCACCACGTCGCCTTCTAACCCTGGCACAACCATCGTGCATGCCTAAACAAAATCGAGACTCGTCACTAAGACAATACTGTTCCATTCCTGATCCCAGAGTGACCGTTGTCTGCACCACTCAAGGCGATTACGTCGGTGTCCTCGAGTTAAAGGGAGGACCCAGTGTGGCCGGTATGAAAACAAGCCAAAACTTCGTCGGTAAACACTTCGCATGCCAATAGGTCTTCCGTGTTCTACAAACCATTCATTTGCAATGGACCTGGTAGTGGAGAAACGGTCCCTTAAGACCAATAATCTTAGGCGGCGATCTTGACGGTCTGTTGTTCTACGGCGCCGTCCAGTGCCCCTTGCTCTTTGCGTACGGCCTTCTCGAAGCCATGCCTGACAACACCTAACCACAGTGTCTACACTTCTTTGCACTCTAACTGCAATTGCCCGAAAAGAAAGTCCAGCTTCCCGAAGTCGCACTATACGGCCCCTATCAAACTCACTAAGTTGACGAAATCGTACAGGTCTCCGTACTCTAGGCATCGTAACCGATCGTAAAGGATGTCAAGAACCAAAATCCGCCAACGTTGATTCTTTACTGCGGCTGAAATATTCATTTTTAGAGCGTTAGTGAATTAAAAAAAAGCAGTATCAAAACCGGAATGTCCAACTGATAAGGCTGAAAATTTTTTCTAACTTGTTATTTACAGTAAGATAAATACATTCACCAACTTTTGTTAAAATAAAACCATTTAAACTGGGTGTTCGGATTTATATGTCACTTAGTATACAAAGTCAACCTACTTGATGTTTCAAAATAAGCAGACGCATTATTTAAATGGAAGTACTTATGTGAACTCTCTTTGTAGGTAAATCTCTGGATAATAGTACTATGGTCTACTGTCAATATATTGATGAAGTTATACGATAGATTTACAGCCAGGTTCCAGGCAAGAGCTTCTGAAAATGATCACGATTTTCATAAAACTTCAGGGACATATTTGAGAAACTAAAAGTCTGAGACCAAAAGGTATACGCTCTTGAAGATGATTACAGGCTGCTACATGCAAAGAAAAGGTATTTTTCACTATACCACAAGATAAGTTTCAGATGCTACATTAAGCAAAAACTGGTGCCACGACTTGACTTGTGTTTGAATGTTTATGTTAAAGAATAAAAAAATGTTAATATTGTAGTTTGTCGTGCAATTTTCATTCATAAAAAAAAAATTCTCTGACTCGATTACAAAACGGTTCTCACTTGAAAAATGGCCTTCGTAAAAACAGCTAATCAATGCTACTTTTTTTTAGGTTGCTAACTGTGGCATGCTGGCGAGTTTCGATTGTACAAATGAACCCAGTATTGTGGAACGACTTCACCTCATACAATTAATCTTAGCAGTGACGGTTGGGGTTTTCTAGGGGTTTTCCTCGCCCAAGTGCGAATGCAGTCACTAAAAAAACATATTCCCCTAATAAATAGTAGAGAAGATGAAAATCGTACTTCTCCTATTAATGATAATGTAATTGTAGATCAAACAGTTATTAAATATATTTATATAATAAAACATCGTTTTTTGTGTCATCTGATGAGGTCCAGTATGCATAAAAGAAGTAGACAAAATCATTTTATCCTATAAACATGTGTTTCCCTAAAATACCACCCAAACTAATTTTTTGGGGATACTGCGTTCGTAATAGTGACCTTAAATGTTTGTTTTCTCTTGACGAATACCTAAGATTTTTGGGATCATGATGCCCATGAAGAGAAAAGCTGGATTTGAGAGAAATCGGGCATCGTTGTCAATTATTTTAGTATCTAAATGGCTCGTAGCTCTGCTTCTTCAAAATGCTAAACACAGCTAAAATATCCTTGAAACCAATCGGATAGTGTAAATTCCAATTTTTTCACCTGATGGAAACTTCATTTTTCAACAAGAAGGGGCGTCATGTCATACGGTCAAAACCACGAAAAAATTGTTGTATAATAATATTTCCGTCCTTGACTAGCTTTTCAGTAGTCCTGATTTGCACAAAATGAAGCAGCAGTTCCAAAACGAAACATTTCTGATTTACGAGTAAAATTACAAAATATATCAAATTCTTTTGAGGTGGAAGACTGCGAAAACGTTGAAACTATGCAAGCCAGAATTAAAGCTGTTATTAAGGCAAAGGGAGTCGTAACGAGCTATTGAAATGGTTCCTCGGAACATTGATGTGTCAGCCAAATATTGTTGATTTCAATATTAATTTAGTTAATGTCTCATAAAAGAAAAAAAATTTGTTTGTAACCTTTTTAAGATAAAATTAGATATTGTCCGAACTATTTTGTGTTAGGGCTCGTAAGTCCCAAATAAAACTAAAATATATTGTAATGAATATAGTATATTTCTCTGTAAGTCGTAGGTACATTTAAAATTTGTATACAAAAATAGACATAATACAACAATGATATGCATACATTATAAAGCTAACAGTCACGTAATTATATCATATATAGCATATTAATCGGTAAAAACTATAGAAGAAAATACAGAAAACAAAAATCTTGCCATTCAAAAATAGATGATACTATTGATTTCGGCTCGGAAGCTCAAAAGTACAAACTGTGAGCAAAAATATGCAAGTACGTTTTCGTGCTGGAATCCATATATGGCAAGACATAAGCGAAAACGATTATTGTAAAACATGACAAGAAAGACTCCATTGTCCACCCCAATCAAAATCACATATATCTATTTAAAAATAAGCAATCCAAATATGCAATGAACTATACTGCTTTCCATTAAGAAAAATGTAGAAATAACATGCTCCAATTGGCTAAAATTTTTGTTTTTAATTTTTTCATATACAATGCGTAATAAGTGACCAACACTAAAAACCCACAGACAATGGAGTCTTATGAACATAAAAACCACGTGATAAGTTACAGAATTTACATTAAAATTAACAGTGTTTTGATAGTGAAACCAAAGATATTCAGTCTGTTTCTTTTAAGGCGATTCACTATTTTCATTCGATTTCTTATATCATTGTTTTAATATCACCTACAAGGTGTAAGAAAATGTAAGAAACTGGTATAAAAAATATTTCAGACAAATTCAACATTCTAGGCCTGTGTTAATTTCGGTGCAATGTTCGCGAAAAGTACTGAGTGGACACTTCACAAAAGCTTTGGCACATTCAGATATATAAGAGTAGTAAAATATATATTTTCAGTATATAAAGACTACATATGTCTCTTAAGAACTCATATAATACAAGCTTTAAACAGTGATCAACACCAACATATAATGCGTGATTATAATAATTGATCTACAAATACGAGCGACTTCAAATGCGTACAGTAATATCACTTTAGAGGAATTTTGTACTCATTTTCATATATTTATGTACAATATATTCGAAAACTTCTTTCTTGTAGGTAAGTTATTACATATTTTTTGTGAGGATAGTTTTCCAAGATAGGGTTTATATAACTCGAAATATCTACTGCCATAGATAAACACAGCTATAATCATAAAAAACTAGTTGAACGCTGGAAAAACTAAAAAATTAGGCTCTTTGAATATAGGCGTCGTTTCTTACACGTATGAAATATTTTACGCAAAGGAATTCACGCTCTCTAGTTTTCGAATTTGTCATTCTTTTAATATCAATCTACACGATGTGACTTCTCTCATCAAAATGAGTAAATTGAAGGAAAACTTCATCTTTACCTGCAAAATCTATATACAATCTGTTCAAATATAAAACTGAAAACATCGCTAAATTCGTAGTCACATTATATTCGTTAAAAAAATGTACAAAATAGCGCTTTTTCTAAAAATGTAAGTCTTCTTGTTAGTGTCTTCAATCTAAAACAGCCCTTATAGCGAAATATGCATAGAAGCATAACGCATAATTGTATAAGTCCTGAGAATGAATGTCGAAGTAAGATCGGTAGTTTTTCCTGATCGAAAAATGAGCGAATATGTATGAAACGCTTGCTGCAATCCCTGGAAATGAAATTAAGTTTTATAGAAAAGCATACGTAGGTAAGCATGAACGAATGAATCAGACGATTCATTAATTCATTCAAGCATGGGGCAGTAAGGTGCATAATATACATTTCAATAGAAAACCACATTTCCATCTAAAAATCTGAAATTATGTCATATATGAGAGGCGCTTGCCTGCAGTGTTGCCGGATTGGGATTCGCATTTAGGGAAAAATATGAAAAGTTGAAAATTTATATACATATTATGTGTATTAATTAATGAATCACAAAAACGAAAAACTGAAATAAACAACATTAGCAAAATAGTAAGTCATAGTAAGCTAAAAAATGATAAATTATAAATAGTTATAAAAGACAAAAAATAAAAGAAGTAGTAAAACAAAAAATAACAAACAGCAGTAAAATAAAAAGCAATTCTGAGTGATTATAAAAAACTCAAAATAAAAGCGGTAGTAAAATAAAAAAAAACAATTCCATGTTGAATAAACAGAAATTCTAAGTGACAAAACAAAAAGTAAAAACAGCAGTAAAACGAAGAACAATTTCATTCCATTCAAGTTGCTTTTTATTTTACTGTTTGTTATTTTTTGTTTTATAATTAGTAAGAATCATTTTAAATTTTACTACTATCGTTTGTTTTTGTGTTTCACTAATATAAATAATGTATATAAATTTTCCACTTTTCATATTTTCCCCTAAATACGGAACCCAATCCGGCAACACCGCAGGCAAACGCCTCTCATACATGACATATCCACAGACGTCAGCGTGGTATGGTAGATGGCGGTGGAAATAACTGCTAAAAAATACATTGGTTTGGTAAAAAAATTTCATGAAAAGCGTGCTTCATCCACACTTTCTATGATGTAAAATAATTTATCAGACGACCCTCTATAAGTTTCAAGTGAAAAAACAGTGAAATCCGAAGTTCTACGAGACGCAACAGTACCGGTGATTTTTTCATATCAACTTCTTTTGACGAGTCCTACAAGCTGTTAAAATAAATGACTCATCTTTGAAAACACTCTGTGGTACACAGTGTAACATTGATTTATTTAGCATTATTGCAACAAACAAATAAGGTACCTTATCGGCCAGGCCCTCCATTTGTCCACTTACCAAAATAATTTTGATTCATAAACGACAGCACCCCAAAGCCGAGAGCATTCGCGAGGATAACAAGGCCCAGCAAATCGTCAGAATCCCTGTCGGCGAAGTAGAGAAGCAAAGGTAAAGCTGACATCGCCGCGTCACAGTACGCCATCTCTTTCTGATAACCATAGTTCAGCAACGTTTCGCATGCTATAAAAGGTAAAGCCACGACGTCTTGTACGACCGAGGTCATACGATATATGCTGTCCGCGTCGTAGCCATATGAGGGATTTCCTGAAATCAAATGCATTGATTCGGTCGAGATTTTGACGGGGAGATCCTACAATTTGGGCAACAGTAAAAATGTTTGATGGCATCGATACATTATTGCTCCCTAATAAGTTCAAATTCGATAAAACAATTCCAAAAAAACCTTTTATTTTTTATTTGTTTCTACTGACATGGCTCTTTTGTGTCAATGGACATGAACAAAATGAGGAAATAATACTAACAGCAATGATTCAATTTTTTCTACTATATGTTACAAAAAAATGAAACTAGGTATAAATGTCCAACATGTCCCCAGCAAATTCAGTGAGAAAATGTCACGTTTGCTAAAAATACAGAAATAGACATGTAAACAAACTCCTACAAGATAATAAATTTCTCCACAAACTAAAAATATTACAGATACTTGAATCTTATTCGTTGCAAGTGCATCAAAACATTTATTTATAACACAATACAATTTCATAGAAGAATCAAAATCTATGATCACAAGTGTTAAAAATAAAAAAAAAACAAAATTGGAAGAATAGTTTTTAGCGGATATAATAAATAATAATGAAATATTGATTCTGCTTAAAATAGTTGCAATAGCTTGTCAAGAGGAGCTTGCACAAATAAATCTTAACATTAATGATATGGTTGTAATACAGAACTGTTTATAAATCATCATACTACCAATTATGGAATGAATGAACCAGTTAGGTGAATTCTTAGAGCTGGCAACGATGCTTAGTTCTTTATTGTAATCTGTCACAAAATCGTCAATTTTTGTATGCAATGGGGAACCGTGATTAAATAAATAAAACTTACCCCATCTCCAGACCCCTAACAGAGAGTTTGCTACGATAACCCCAAAGGAACACTGTGCAAAAAAGTGAGGAGAATCCTTGACTGCAAGGTAGCAATAAACGCCTGTACCTGCCAGGATGATATGCGAAAGGGCTGTGCCATAATTTGAACCCATAAAAACGCTTTTGTTCGACTTCGGCTGGAGAATTAAAAATTTTAGGTTATGGATTTTGTCGAATGTGGATCAAAATGTTTCTTCAATGTTCATTTTGCTGCACTGTACAAAAAGGGGATTACGAAAATTTGGTATTTAAAAAAATCTGGGAAAAGGGGAGGGGGATTATTTTCAATTTTGACAGTCACTTGTTAGTAATTGTTGACAATTCAATTAAAGAAGCCGCAAGCTGCGACATCGTCAACTGTCAAAATTTGCAATAGTGATGGGTAAGTGGCCTTAAATCGAATTGGTTTTCCCATCACTCCTCTATTACAACTGAATCGTTTTTCCCAACTCTGCTATTTCCTTTGTTGCTGTACCGTGATCGAATGACAGTGCGACGTTTCTTAACATCGTGTTTCGTGGTGTCACCATTATTGGTGGATTGCATTGGTTTTTGCTTGTCGTTAGCCGTGTTGCAGTGTCCCGATAATGGCCCCTTAGGAAGAATAAAGTGCCCCCATCCAAAAACGACGTCCGTATTTATTGTTAGCCCGTTCCGGAAGTATTCTACACATCGTATTGTACACAGCCGACCGGAATAATCGCAGGTGAGCATTTCCGAGTTTCCACAAAAATGTCGTTCTGTTCTCGCCTTACTTCCTGAGTTGGTTTCAACCCTTTTAAGTCGTAATTTTCTCGTGAAGTCGTACGGAAAATTGTCGATTTTGACTTTAAAATGAGCCAGATTACTTATGTTTGTATTCAGTGTTGACATCAAGGGCGTTTATGACACTCTGAAGGATGCTCTTAGGTACATTATCCGAAAAATATTGATGGATAACGTTCAGCATTTCGTACCGCAAAATTCAAAAGTAATCTGTGGTTTGCGATTGTAAAATGAGCAAACAAAAGGGGTGGAATCAAAGTCGCATATGATAGGATGAACTTGGCCATTTGTAGTCATTGTTGCTGATCAATTTTTAACGAGATTCGTAAGTAATCATTTATGGTTTAGTTCTAGTTGATACTCATTACAATCTACACAGTTTTTATTGCATGCAGGCACCCTACATGGTCTGCACATCATTGATTTTTAATTTGTAGCCTTTGTTTAATACTTGATATAGTTTAGTCACAAGATGTATGTTTAAAATACAGGGTATTTCCCAATTGATCCTCAATATTTAAGGGTGCGATTTTTAGTTCCATTTTAACAAGAACATATCCTAAATTTGTTAACTTTTGAACTATAGTGTGGTAAGGTTTTTAAAAGAATTCAATTTTAACAAGATTTTTAGGTAATAAATTATTATAGTTCTGAATATCTATGTTTATTGCAAATGGTCAATGCCGTTTCCAAATTATTGATTATTAATTTCTTTCCTTTAATACTTGATATAGTTCAAGACAATAAAACTGGATTTACAATAAAAATTACATACAGTGACAATCAGCAATCATTAAGAGAGATTAGCAATTAAATTATCAATCAAAAGGTTGAGTTTTTTGAATTTATAAAAGACAAATATGGTAGGGTGAACATAGGCATTACAATAATCATTTGTAGTTGGTGTTGTTGATTATTATCAGGTAATATTTTGTGGTTTAGATGTCTTCATGCTTGTTTCAATTCAATATAGATGAATCAGTAGATTTTGATGAAAAAAGTTTTTTTTTTAATTTGTAGACAAATTTGATAGATATATTCACAATAGTATATTATAATTACTGTCCCCTGCATAATGTCAAATGTATCTGACCACTTTGTATTACTTTTACTTGATTTTATTACAAGTACAATTTTGTAGATAAAAATCTCATAGGATGAACATAATTATATGAAATTTTAGAAATGTATAGGAAACGATTTTTTAATATGTATAATAATAACCATTTCAGTCACACATGAATTCAAAATGTGTAGTAGTTGTATGTGGATTCTTCTCAGTGTATGGTTACATTTATTTTATCTTAGGTTATTATTTCATCTCTATTATCAATTTGGTTTTTTGAGACATGAGACTATTTTGAGGTTTCTGATGAATATGCATCTGTAAACATTGAAACAAAGTCATCAATATTTTTCTCTGAAACAAAAAAACAAAGAAAAGCTAACATCTAACACAGACTGTACCCATGGACAGAGGTTTTGTGCTTTTTGGCAACTCATCAGCAACTTCCAAGCTTTGCCTCTGGGCAGGACAACGAATGAAAGCATAGCAACTAACCTCTATCTGAGGTATGGAGCGTGGAAGTCGTATCTGTATTTTCTCGGGATCCATACTTTTCCAGCTCTTGTGAAACTTTTTAAAGATTGGAATGTCAGGGTTTTTAGTCACTTTGTTGATCTTTGATTCAAACACAACACCAATTCACAGACTAGATGGCGGCAAACGAAAACAAGCATTTCTTTTTTAAGTTTATCTGAACTTTATCTTCAAGATTCCAGTCAATAATAGCATCTCAAACTTTGTACGTTTCCTCCGCCGCTTGGACTTACAACTTTTTGTACCTTCCTAGGTGGTGAAAATTGCCGACAGAGCTACTGCCTACTGCCTACTATGGCCACGGTCGTTCAGAAGAACGGCCTGAAGACGCTTTCGAACGGCAACGGCTTGGTGCACCAACACCATTCTGTCCCAGCTATCAACGGGTACCAACCGCAAGAGGCAGAAAAGGTGCCGCTATGCGGGGGCCTGTTACCGAACCCTGTGTCCGCAGAGTGCGACGACCAACGAGAACAGTGCCAAGAGACGATCGTCGAGGAACCGGAGATTGACATAGTGATAAACAATGTGGTGTGCAGTTTCAGTGTTAGATGTCATTTGAACTTGAGAGAAATCGCCCTGTCCGGGGCGAACGTGGAGTATCACAAGGAGAATGGCATGGTTAGTTTCATTTGTGAAAGGGAAGGTTCATTCCAAACTAGTTCAGAACTAATTTCAAATTTTTCTTTTGCGCGTACCTAAGGTGAGTATGGTTCAGAACTAGTTATTGGAACAGAGAATTCTATGGCTTGTTGTAAAGATAAGCTTAGTTGAAGTGATATTTTAAATTTCCTAGTTTTCGCGTGCGATACCTGGAATCTTAGAGAATTTGTTGTTTTTTAACATACTGTACATCTTTTAATAAAAATCAGGATCACGAGATGTCAGATTTGATGAGAGGTAAGAGCTTGCAAGTGAAATACAGTAATAGACAAAATATATAGACAAAGCAAAGCAATTATAGAAAAAAGAAGCGAAGTTCATTGAATTATAGAAAACCAACCATCTTTGTGTTAATATTTTGTAGCATTATTATCAATCACTGCCTGGCATTGTCTCGGCATAGATTGTAGACGTTTCTTGATATAAGATTCATCATCTGTCTCCACTTTTGCTCTAAAGTGGCAAAAAGTTCATCCTTGTTTAAATAATTTTTATCTCGTATTTGCTTATCTAAGTATTCCCATAGATATTCAATGGGGTTTATCGGGAGACTGTCCACATCCACAAATAATTTCTTTGCGAGATTTGAAGTGTGCTTCGTCTCATTATCTTGCTGGAAGATTGATCTTAAGGGCATATTGTTTTCCATATAGGGTAACATGACATGCTTTAGTATGTCTGTGCATATACAAACTGTATTCATAATGCCATCTATTCTATGTAAAGGTGCCATCCCAAACCCCGAAAAGAACCCCCAAACCATAACAGACCCGCCTCCATGTTTGACAGTGGGCAAGTGTTCTTGAGGTTCAATCTTTGTCCACTAGGACGTCTAACGTAATGAACACCATCTGATCCAAACATATGAACTTGGATTCGTCACTGAAACATACCCTTGTCCAGTCACAGATGCTCCAATCAAGATGCAACTGTGCACATTGTAATTGGTCCTTACCGTTTTTCCGTCGAGATTAGCGGCTTCTTACTGGGGCGACGTGCAAATAACTTCAAATCATTGAATCTTCTATTTATAGTTTTCGTAGAAACACAGACAATTCGTTTTGTCTCGATTTCTACTTTTATTTGTTTTGGGGATTTAAACGGATCTTTGGACGAAATTACTTTTATTAATCTAACTGATCTAGCATTTAGTTTTCTATGCTGACCACTTAGAGGCTTCCAAGATACCTTGTTGTTGTCAAATGTCTTTGATACATCTAAAAGCAAGATGCCAGTACTTTTATTCAGGGTGAACCCCCTGGTTACATGCTCCACCAGTCTAACTAGCTCCAGACCGAAAGCCGAATTGCACGTCAGGAATCACATGGTGATCTGACGAGAAATTCTCAAGGTGACGATAAATCACCTGTTCAGCGAGCTAGAAGGAGCTGACAGTACACTAATGGGACTGGTAATCCTAGGGGAATATCGAACCTGCCTTCTTTGGGATCACGATGACTTCAGCGACCTTCCACGCCTTAGGAAAGTAATGAGTTCTGAGCATTGCATTGATTATTGCCACTGGATAAGTCAAAGCCCTGAGCGAAAGCAACTTCTGTGCTTTGTTGGTGATTTGATCCTTTAGGTCCTTAATGTGGCCTTGGAGCTTTGCTGGTGTGCAGAGGATTCCGTTGATGTACTATGCTGAGATTCATCTGAAGAGTCTTCCGTTGAAGAATCTTCTGAAAAGGAATCACCGACTCGCTCTGAAGTATCTCTTGACAGATCTTACAATTTGTCGTTCCTCGTCAAGGTCATTGTCCAGACCATAATTATGAGAGAACTGCCTTTCCATGATGTCAGCAGAAACCTCCACTTTATCCTCAGTCCTGAAAACTATGCCTCCAGGACCATGAATATGTGGTAGTTGTTCTTGCCTTCCGTTTCTGAGCGATTCTGCCACTTTCCAGAGAGGAATACTCGATTCAAACATCCCCGCCAGAAAGCCGCTCCACTGCTCATTGCGGAATTCATGGAGTGCATTTCTCACTTCGTGGACGGGATTCGTCGCTCTACGAATGTCATCAGGATGACGAGACCTTTTTGCTTGCTTAATCGCAGCGCTCTTTTCAGAAATTTACCGACGAATGTCAGCAGGGAGGAAATATAGGAACCTTGCAACGCTTGATATTAGAATGTACAAGTTCTAACAACGAAAATTCTGAATTGTATAAAATTTTAGCGAATCACCTTCCTTTGCCTCCAGCAAGTTTACATGCATAAATAAAAAAAAATCTTATAAACAAAATAGAGAAAAGGAAAAAATAAGTAAAAAGTATTGGTTAAAAAAAAACTTATATACATAACATACTCTATGTAACTATATATACTAAGTGACATATAAATCCGAACACCCAGTTTAAATGGTTTTATTTTAATAAAATTTTGTATAAGTACTTAATGAAGCATAATAAGTAAATGATAAAAATTTCAAAATGATTGCACTGCTTTAAAGCCCTTTGACCTTTAATAATGTGTGGATACACCCTGATTTGCTACGCATTCTCCAACGCGCCTAGGCATGCTTCTGATCAGGTGGTCAATGTCCTCCTGTGGTATCTCATTCCAGGCAACCACCAACTCCTCTCGAAGTGCTTCTAGAGTCTGAGGAGGATGTTGCAAATTGAGCAATTTCCTACCCATCATATCCCACACGTGCTCAATTGGGGATAAGTCGGGAGATCTTGGTGGCCATGGTAACAATGTGACATCATTATGTTGAAAGAAGTCTATTGTGACTCTTGCAACATGTGGTCGGGCATTATCTTGTTGGAAAGTTGGATCTGCCAGGGTGTCAAGATAGGGTAAAAGATGGGGTTCTAGAACATCGATTAAAGGTGACCTGGAACCATAAGCTATAGCACCCCAAACCATAACTCCAACAGTGTGATGAACATGTCTTTCAACAAAAAACTGTGGATTCCTCCTTTCACCACATCGCCTTCTAACCCTGGCACGACCATCGTGCATGCCTAAACAAAATCGAGACGCGTCACTAAAGACAATACTGTTCCATTCCTGATCCCAGAGTGACCGTTGTCTGCACCACTCAAGGCTATTACGTCGGTGTTCTCGAGTTAAAGGGAGGACCCAGTGTGGCGGGGATGAAAACAAGCCAAAACTTCTCATTCGTCGGTAAACACTTCGCATGCCAATAGGTCTTCCGTGTTCTGCAAACCATTCATTTGCAATGGACCTGGTAGTGGAGAAACGGTCTCTTAAGGCCAATAATCTTAGGCGGCGATCTTCACGGTCTGTTGTTCTACGGCGGCGTCCAGTGCCCCTTGCTCTTTGCGTACGGCCTTCTCGAAGCCATGCCTGACAACACCTAACCACAGTGTCTACACTTCTTTGCACTCTAACTGCAATTGCCCGAAAAGAAAGTCCAGCTTCCCGAAGTCCCACTATACGGCCCCTATCAAACTCACTAAGTTGACGAAATCGTACAGGTCTCCGTACTCTAGGCATCGTAACCGATCGTAAAGGATGTCAAGAACCAAAATCCGCCAACGTTGATTCTTTACTGCGGCTGAAATAATCATTTTTAGAGCGTTAGTGAATTAAAAAAAAGCAGTATAAAAACCGGAATGTCCAACTGATAAGGCTGAAAAATTTTTACTTGTTATTTACAGTAAGATAAATATATTCACCAACTTTTATTAAAATAAAACCATTTAAACTGGGTGCTCGGATTTATATATGTCACTTCGTATAATATACAATAGTAATATTAAGTAATGGATGTTTTATTTTCTATTAAAGCATAACATTATACTGAACATAAGGATCTGGCCAGTTGGTCATCGACCAGTGCCAATAACAGACCAAAAAAAAAAAATCCGTGTTCCCTTACCGTTCTTCGCGAAAATTTTAGCATCAGTTCCCGGTGGACTGACGAAAAAAAGCTCGTTGTCAGTTGCGATTCGACTTGTTTTCCAGGTGACGATGAAGCTTCGTCGGCCGTACACGACGGCGTCGATATGGTCCAGCGGTAAAATCACCTGCACCGGCGCCACCAGCGAAGACGCTGCGAAACAGGCGGCGCGGAGGTTCGCTCGGTGCCTGCAGAAGCTCGGTTTCAACGTGCGGTTCAACAATTACAGGGTCGTCAACGTGCTGGGGACCTGCTCGATGCCGTTTTCCATCAGGATCAGCTCGTTTTCGGAGAGGCATCGCGAAGCCGAGTAAGAATTTATCTACTAACTAACCGACAAAAAATAAAATGATGATGATGTAATTTTGAAAACACACTTTTCAAAAAGATGTGTAAGAATTCCCAGACTCCGTGGCATTACGATAATTTAGAAAGGAATTTAATATAATTCTATGACATTGACTCACATCCTAAATATAAACGTAAAGTTCGTTCCTTATTATCATTTTCCTGTCCCAATTTATCTAAGATATAATAGAAGGAAGTGTTAATGATAGCGTGTAAATATACGGAATTCGTATGATGAATTGTCACAGGGAAATTAGATTTAAATTTTCGACCTTGCGATTTTAATTGTTGAAAAAACGTACCAAAATACTTTCTGTAGTTAACATAAAGTTCTGACATGATCAATATGATTTTACATGACTTTTGAAGTACAACGGTTTTATGTATTTTGCAGGTTTTAAATTTGAATTGCTGAATATTTTGGTTTCACGGCATTTAAAGATAGATAAATATCCTTTATTGTATAACTATAACAAATTCACGTACAGGGTGGCGCATCGAAAACGAAACAGACGCATTTACTGGTACGAGATATTTCCTTATCTTTCTTCAAGAAATAACTTTTTTGCCACCAAAAAAAAAGCTTCAATAGCTATTTTCAACAAACCATGGGCGTAGTGAAGAAAAGCATTTACTTAATAAGTAAATTCTTTTAGTCAAATTTCTTCTGAAGGTAGTACAAACTAATCTGATGTACCTATTAAAGTCTACTTTAAGCTTTAAATCAATAAATCTTCAAAAGAACTGAACTGAAGCTCATGTATTTTTGCAAAATCTTTATTATTGCATGGAGAGTCATGGTGGATATTTTCAACATTTATTTGCCTAACAAGTCAGTTCATTCTTCATTTTTAAATTACTTTACTGCCAAATGTATTGATCTCCACTAATGATGATGTATTATTTTTATTTAAGCTTTAAATCAATAAATCTTCAAAACTACGGAACTGAAGTACATTAATTTTATATCATTATAAACGGAATTGAAAGACCTTTAAAATAAGGTATCACTCGACCCCCTTTCCATTCAAGATTTTGGGGGTGGTGTCACCCCCGCTTAGGGGGCTGCACGTGCTAACGTGATTTTTTGCCAAACTTGTGTCCCCCTCGAAAACAAAATCGACCGGTCTAAGCGTTTTTCAAAAAAAAACTGAGCTACCAGTAAATGCGTCTGTTTCGTTTTCGATGCGCCACCCTGTATATGGATCTTGAGTGAATTAATTACAGAACACACATAGTATAAAAACTTTTTAATATTGCTGATTCTTTTGATAGCATCAGGGAGGCACTTGTAAATATTCAGACCATTATAAATTATTGAGTCCATTTCCAGTGTTGATTTAGGTACTACTAATTTAGAATTTTTGATTTCGTCTAATATTTGAATGTTTCAAATTTAGATTTATTTTTAAAAATAATAACTTCTGTTTCTAAAATGAACAATGATACAACACTCATTGTTTTAAGATTTACAAATAAAGGCTCACATCTAGCTCTAGGACTATTTTTAATTATACAGGGTGGCCCAACGAGAAGGTCGCACCCCCATTTGTGACTATACTAGAACTATTTAAAACTGTAATGACTCATACGCGTGATCAACACGTGATCAGAGCTCGATCCCGGCTTCCTTCCAGTACAGCCGTATAGCGTACGACATATGTCGTTTCTGTGGCTTTGCGGTGACCAACAGCACAGACAGAGATGGAAATAATGGCTGATTGTTCTCCGCCTGTAGAACCAATGAAATCAAAGACGCGCCTCGACCGGCAGACTCATAGGCGTCGGCAACGCATTGGAACGCGTTTCGTTGAGCGATCGCATATTGTGTGTTTTTATAAGAATTGTTGTGTCATTGTTATTGTTGTGGTATCTGTGGTTACTGTTTTGGTTATACTTAACCGTGGAGAGTACAAATGACACGAGTGGAAGTACTGAAAGCCAGGGAACAAGTAGACGGCTTCGTAAAGCACTGAAGAGGGACGCGAAAGAAATCGTGCTCAACGTGTTCAATTATCTGAACAGAACTATGTCGCAGGGAGATGCACTAGCGCGTTGTGAAAGTATGACAGGCGTTCCAGAGGTGGTGCATGAAAAGAAGAAAACTGGAGCTGCTACTGATCCAAAGTTTAATTTGAAGGGACGAAAGGCCGTTAAATTGGATGACGATAGCAAAATGGCGTTAAGACGAACCGTACATTCATTCTTCTTTAGGAATAAGATACCAACCCTCAAGGCTGTACATGCAGCGATCAAGGAAAATGAAATTATACCCCAAATGAGCGTCGAGGTAATGAGGAAATCCCTGCACGAAATTAATTTTCGTTACGAAACGTGTAATCGGAAGTCAGTATTCATAGAGAGACCTGAAATAGTCGCCTGGCGTCGAAAATACCTACGCGAAATGATTGAATATAGGCGACAAAGCAGAAAAATCTATTATTTGGACGAGACATGGGTAAATGCAGGTCACACAGTTAAAAAAACCTGGATAGACAAAAACGTAGTGAGTAACCGACAAGCAAGCATTGAAGGTTTGTCAACAGGTCTTCGTGGACCGCCAGGGAAAGGTCAAAGATTGATCGTAACTCATATTGGTAGCGATAGTGGCTTTTTAGAAGAGTGTGCCTTGATTTTCGTCTGTAAGAAAGGAGGTGATTACCATGACGAAATGAATGCCAGCTGCTTCGAGAGCTGGTTTCAAGGGGTGCTTCAGCGAGTTGAGCCCAACTCTGTGATCGTCATGGATAATGCTTCCTACCATAGTCGTCGAGCCGAACGTGTACCGACTATGGGATCTCGAAAAAGTGACATGCAGCAATGGTTGCGCGAAAAAGGAATCCCGTTTAACGATTCATGTGTGAAAGCGGAATTGTATGAAAAAATTAAACAGCACAAACCTGCGAACATTAGTTACGTGACTGATGAGATGGCCCGTCAATGTGGTGTCACTGTGCTGCGGTTACCGCCCTACCACTGTGAACTGAACCCAATAGAGCTCATCTGGGCTCAAGTGAAGGGTTATATTGCGCGCCATAACACCACCTTCAAATTACCAGACGTTAAGGTTTTACTTGAGACTTCCATACAGCTAGTAACGCCCGAAGCTTGGCAGAATGCTATCCGTCATGTTGTGAAGGAAGAAACAAAAATGTGGCAGCTTGACCACCACATCGACACCATCATAGAGCCAGTTATAGTCAATTTCAACGAGGAAAGCGATAGCGACAGTTTATTACTGTCAGATGTAAGTGGAAGCGACGATGAATAAAGGTAATTCCCAAATTTTTGACTTACAATATGTTTCAAACCACTCTTTATTAAGCATGTGACAAATCTAGTTCACCCATGTTAAACATTCATACCCTGCCTATGAACAGCCGACTACTGGTAGTTAAGTGATGTTCAACATCGATGAGTCATTACAGTTTTAGATAGTTATAGTATATCCTGGTATATTTTTTGAAAAAGGCTCGGACACGTCAATTTTGATTCCTAGGGGGGCGTTTTTTATCAAAAGCCGTGCCCTGTATGGTACGGCGTTTTTCCCAAAATGTCACGAATGGGGGTGCGACCTTTTCGTTAGGCCGCCCTGTATATTGAATTACAATATATCATCAGTTCTGAATCAGTCTTATTATATATCATAGATAATTTTTGAGCACCTTACATTAAATACAGATATAAATTGACTTTTGAATGACATTTTTATAGCTATGAACCGGAATTGCACCCTGGTGTCACGTACAAACTGAAAACTCCAAAGGCCACTTTGAAGATATTCTCAACGGGCAGTGTGACTGTTACAGGTAAGGAATCAGTATTTGAAGCAAATAAGGTGTACGAACTTTACGCTCAGTAATTAAATATTTAGCAGCTATAAATCAAACGTTTATCATGAAAAAGGTGTCATGGTCGTTATAAAAGTTTTTGTTTGTACTTTAGGAAAATATGATCCCGTTTATTTCAGACTATTTTATGCTGGTTTCGTTCCGCCGTAGATGGATATTTAATATGTATCTTTTCTAAAACGCCTTCTAGATCAATAGATATTACAAAGTGTTCCCATTTTTTCTGCACAGATTTCTGATCGCTATGAAGATCGAGAAAAGTCGTAAAAAATACTAGAGATGCACCGAAGACGACTTTCTTCAAAAAGCCGAGTTTATCTCTGGCTGATATTCATATTATATTTTAATTTATACTTCAAAGGATTTAATACATCAAAAAATAACAGTTGTACAGCTTGGACAACTTTTTGTGCGTGAATCGTTGTAGGTTGTTGTATTTATGGTATTTTTAATATTTAATAGTACTGCAACAGCTAGGAATACACGGTGTCCCGAAAAAAGTGTGCAATATTCTACCAGCGGTTTCTAGAGCTTAAAATAGGAAGAAAAGTCCCATTACATGATAGGAAATGTACTACGAATTTAAATGAATTGTTGAATAATTAGCCATGGCAATGAAAAAAGTAGTTTAATAATTGGTAAATATTACATAAATACATATTTCTATTGCAACATAGCTAACATTTAATCAAAAACTGAAGAAATAAATTTTTTCTACTAACGAAATTGAAATTTGTTTAAAAAGAAGACTATCAGTTGGATATACTTAAAACTAGCTTTACAATAAGTGTTCAAATAAATTCCCAGAGTCTCGCTCGACGAACTAATGATTGCGTAGCCCGAAAAGTGGAAAACCATTTTCTTCTTATTTCATTTGCAGCCTGATGGATTCTTTGAAGTAAATCTTCTTGAGTATTTACTTCAGTCGAGTAAACTAGGTCTTTTAATGAACCTCAAAAATAGAAATCCAAGGTGAACGTGGCGGCCACGCTATAGTACCTCCTCGGCCTAACCACCTGTCTGGAAAATTCAATTTTTATCGAAAACCACTGAATAAAAAAAAAAACGCTGAGTCACGTCAAAAGATCTGTCAAGTGGGACAACAGCTTTTTAACCAAAAACTACTTCACCGCCTTTCACAGTAAAAAAAATGAGGAAGAATTAAACACTTTTTTTGTTCGAAAATATCTTGCGTTCAAACCGAGTGGTGCACCACTATTTTTTCCGTTGAAAATTTCCCATTTTCCTTATAGCTCCAAGTGTAGCAGACGTACAAGCCGCCATCGAACACATCTTCCCTCTGGTGTACGAGTTCCGTAAAGAACGTACCAAAGAAGAACGTGAGGCGCTGGCGAAAAAGCGCGCCAGGCATGACGTTCCCATACCTTACGAATTAGGCGCGGCAGAGGACGAAGACGAGGTAAATTATCGTTTTTTGATCGTTGCTACAAAAAATGCTTCCGTTTTGAACGTAAAGTTGTACATCAAAGTCGCACGTCCCTTTTTTTGTTTCCAGCAGCATTCTAAATCCTTTTCATCTCGTTAAATAACGCTATCGATTTTTTTTTGTCATTTTTATGCGTAGGATTTATAGACGAATAATATTTATCGACAGGATGAAGGGGCGGCAACGGCGTTGGCGCGAGGCGGCGTCGTCGCGACGTCGTCATTGGCCGTCGGCGACGACGAAGAAGCGGAAATGGAGGATGCGTGGGGGTGAGACCGCTCCGATTGGTTGGAGCCAACGGCAGTGGGCGGGGCCGCGGACGATGATAGACGGCCGAAGTATTCTAGATGTTGATCGTGTCTGTCTGTCCGTCTTTCAGTGTGTATACGTGGGCGGAGAGGGGCTGAGTGGGCGTAGACGGAAGCGGAAATAGTGTTTTAGGATGCTTGCGTTCAAGTTACGTCCAGTTTTTTCAGCCATTTGCCAATAAAACGGCTATGTTTCTACCAGTGGCGTTCGTACGGGATGCAAACTGAGAATTTTTCAAAAAAATATGGTACACCATCGCTTTTTTTAAAAAAAAAAAATTGTTTCTTTTTTCCGTCCGAAGCACAGTTTTCGCGTAAAATCGATGAAAACCATTTTCACGCATTTGTGATATAACGAAATTATTTTGACCTAGTAGTAAACGTAAACTGCACCGCGAACTAAAATATTTTTTTCTTTTTTCATCATAGTTACCGTTACAATTGTCAGGTCATGGCGCCACTTTTTGGATCGCGTAGTGGCTGTTAAATCACTGTTTGTCATTATTTTCCAAGCGCTTTCCACCAAGAAAGTTTAAGAAAAATATGAAAGTCTAATGGTGCCAAGTCAGGGCTGTATGACGAAACTTGCGTTCATGCCGCAACGTGAGGCCGAGCGTTGTCGTGCTAGAGAGAATGTCCTTACTTTAAAAATGCCCTCGTGATAAAGTTGAGAGTCTGAAAAATCGCCATCGTTATGAAAAATGTAAGTAGAGGTGCTTTAACAGCCGGAGTGCCCCACGATGCCCCTCTATCTCCGCCCAAAGATACTGTTACATAGCTATTGTTATTTTATTTAAGTAGGTGCCGAGCCTACTAATTTTTTTTTTGCGTGAATTTGCGTTTCTTCTGAAGACTGTTACTGATTTAATTCTGTACGATATCATGTACCTCCTCATTTGAAACACTTTTTATCCGATAGTTTGTGTTTACGGTGACGTCTCAACCAAATAGACCAGGCAAGATATTCATGTCTCGCGATTCGTTTATAGTCCAACCAGTCTTCGCATCTGATAGGAAAAATATTCCGATTCGTTTTTTTTTTACATTTTATAGCCCTGCAAAATTCAAATACTCTAATATTGTTGTATTAAGTCCAGTGAAGCGGAATCTGAATTTGTGACAAAAAAATGTGCGCCACTGACTTTTGTGCAATTTTTATTTTGTTCTATTCTTCAACTTTTTTGTCTCTTGAATTTTTTTCGTTTCTTGCTTAGTTTTCGAGAGAAAAAAAGCCTTAATTGCATATCCCTGAAATGGAGAAGTTTCTTTTGGAAATTATTTTTTTATAATTTTGCGAGGCCCAAATTTGCAATACAAATTTTCAAAAAAAAAAATTGAATGTATTTTAAAAATTGGAGTTTTTCTCCAGTCGGAAGTGATTTTGGGTTTTTTAAAAGATTCTTAAAAAGGTGCTTTAGAACTTTTCTGTAGAGTTGATAGAGATACAATATTTGAAACAGTTCAAAATATGTCATTTTTGACCACGAAAAACACTTGATAGTTATATTCTTTACATATCCATTAACGAAATCCCAAATCATTTAAGGGAGTGTTGTCCATATTTTTTTTAATTATCGTTCTTCAGTTTGGCAACATTAAAATCTTTTTCAAAAAAAGCATATTTTGGATCGCTTATATCTCGAAAACTATCAACTTTAGAGAACTTTTCTAAAGTACATTTTTTATTCAGAATGTACCAAAAAACGTAGAAACAAACAATTAAAAAAATATTTTAGGAATTTGTTTAAAATAATTGTTTAAAAAAAATTTGTCGCAAATTTGAGCCTAAAAACGTGCAAATTTGTTAAAAGAGGTCCTTTTTTAATGGTATGCAAAAAAATAAAGCCAATATTTTTCCCATCGGATGCGAAGGTACTACCCTGTTTATAAATTACCCTTTTTGGGGAAAAAATACTATGTATTTGAACTATTCTTACAAACATAATAAGTGATGCGAAAATGTTTCCTGGTCTATTCGTGCAAGGTGTCACTTTTTTTGTACGTGAATATTTTGTGAAATTCTCACCGAAATCCGTTCCCGATTTTGATTTTACACATCATCGCGCTACTTTTATACTTTTCTACTCCGCATTTTAGTTTTACAATGAGAGAATTTCACAGGATAACGGAAACAGCAAAGTGTAATATTACATTTAGTGAACGTGAATGAATCTTCGACACAGAGACTGTTTTACACCATGTACATAGTTTTAGAAGCTTCCATGATGCTATGCGAAAGGTGGAAAATTTGCTTACGATTTTTTCTTCGCTGGTTGCAAATGCGCAACTGTAGCCAGGCCAAATTGTATACAGGGTGGATTTTGAACGTTTTAAAATATCGACCATCGTTTTAAATCGAGGGAGATTTACGTAATCAAAAACTCGTCGATTTTGACCTAAGAGGACAAGGTTAAACATCCAGCTGATCTAAAAATAGTCGTATTATTTTCGAGTTCGCCAAGTATCTAAATTTGAGCTAAAACCTTGTTTTACAAGACCCCGAAGAGTATTTTAAGATTAGTTTATTTTAAAGAGATTTTTTTTGCTTGTTTGTTAGGACAAGACTGGCGAACTTTGGATTTTTCATGTTTAGGTGTATTGGCGACAGTGTAAAATTTCTATACGCGTGCGGCCGTCGATCCAGCAGTTAGGCTCCTGTTTTTTACAGGCCCCACGATTTTTTTACGGATAAAAATGTCGTCGAAAAGAATTTTTATTTACAGTCTATGCAGGGCGAATTTTCTTTTCAGCAACAATGACCTTCGTAATAACAAAGTTATTTTGCGGTAAAACAGCACCAAAAACGTAGTCGCCACTCAAAAATTTTGAAAAAGAAATCGTTTCTACGCCACTGATATAATAAACAAAAAAAACATGGATTTTTCGTATTGCTGAAGTCTGACTGTGCGCTTAGATATTTTATTTATTGCCACCTCACCCAAACAGGCTGAGAGTCAAAGGTTACAGGATTTTTTAAATCTCTTATGGTACGAAAATATACTGCCTTGTGGTATAAATAAAATATAGATAAAATATGGGATGATATTAAAAGAGTCATGTCGCGTTTAAGCTTTGTATATACACATTTTCGCTATTAGTTGCTTCTGTAAAAAGGCATGAAAAAATTAAACTGCCACTTTTAGTAATGATATTGAAATTACGTAGGTAAATAGGGTAAGAAAATGACTGAAAACTAAAGAAATGTATAAATATTATTAGGTGCTTGAAGAAGGGAATGTTGCTTTTTCAAAAATGATTGTCCGGGAAGTATATTCGCATCTGGTGGAAAAAAATACGATCACTTCAACGTTAAAATTTGCGTCAAAAATGTTTGTCCGAAGATTGATCCAGAAATGTTTTGACAAATTTAGGTTATCGTTGGAAAGATGAAACTTTGCTCCGTCGTCAACCAATTGAAGCAGCGTTTTTCAAAATTTTGAAAACTTGAGAAACTGAACTTTGAAGTGAAATGTATGGGGTTGTCCAAACGGACGCAGGAAAGTAAACGCATATTAAAACAAGAAAGATTGATATTCAAATCAAGTTGGGTACTTTATTTTGAAGGTTCATCTATACCATTTATGTATGAAAAATAATATCGCTCAAATGTTCACCACGACTGGATTTACAGACGTCCATGCGATGGTCGAAATGTTCAATGACATTTTGCAACATGGTCGGTTATATGGCATTTATCTCGGCAATGATGTTGTTTTTGAGTTCTTGGAGGGTGGCTGGTTTGTTGACGTAGACTTTGCTTTTCAAATATCCCCATAAAAAGAAGTCCAAGGGAGTCAAATCGCACGATCTTGCTGGCCATGGCGCATTTCCTCTGCGCGAAATCACGCGATCACCGAAGAAGGACTGCAATCGATGGATATTGACGTTGGTTGTGTGGCATGTTGCACCGTCTTGTTGGAAATAAACATCGTCCATATCCATTCCTTCAAGTTGCGGCAAAAAATAGTCCTCTATCATCACGTGATATCGCTCAGAATTGACGGTAACGGCGTCCCCGGCCGCATTTTCGAAAAAGTAAGGTCCGATGATGCCTTTTGACCACAATGAACACCACACAGTCACTTTTTGAGGATGCATCGGCTGCTCTTGATACTCACGGGGATTTTCGTTCGCCCAGATGCGGCAGTTTTGCTTGTTTACCGTCCCATTCAAAGTGAAATGCGCTTCGTCGCCGAACACGATTTTTGATGAAAAATTGGCATCAATTTGGCGGTGTTCAAGGAGCCAATCTGAGAACGTTCGGCGCGAAAAATGGTCGGCCCGACGCAGCTCTTGGATCTTGTAGGCGTGTACATTCAAATCCTTGTGGAGAATGCGGAGCAAACTGGTTCTCGAAATGCCCAATTCTTGGGATCGACGCGTTGTTGATTGTTTCGGATCGTCTCTCACACTCTCCTTCACAACAGCAATATTTTCCGGTGTGCGAACGCTCCTTGGCCGGCCAGAGCCTGGCAGATTTGCCACAGAACCTGTTGCCTCGAATTTACGCACCAGACGACCGACGGTTGTTTCGTTTGGGCGGTTGTTGCGACCGAAATGTTCACGAAGCGCGCGAAACGTCTTTGTTATTTTTGCGCCATTTTTTAACTTTAATGCGGTCTTCAATCGAATACGACTCCATAGCGATCAATGGTAAACATTCAACTAACAAAATGACATGTCGGTGACAGAAAACAAAGATGGCGTCTATGTCAAATTGACGTTTACTTTCCTGCGTCTCTATTGGACAACCCTATATATTTGAGTGCGTAAAAAAAGGCGATGCTGTAGGAAAATAAAGCAAAGCTTCATCTTTCCAGAGATATACATTTGGACAATGTTTTATTTTCCCAATAAAAAAAGTTTATAACATGCCGCTTTGTGGTTTTGTTAATAAATATGTAAAGAATATTCGGCAACATTGAAATTTTCGTTTTTTAATATCTTACACTTTTTTCAAATAACTTTGGAGAAACGTTGTAAACCACCTTTTTTCAGAGAACGTCCTGAAAAAGTTAAAAACACTTTGATTTGAGCATAAAAAACATTTTTTTACAGATTCCTCAATTTTTGAATTTTTTTATTCAGTTTTCGAATCGGAAAATGTTTCCCATCAGATTCAAAGATACTACCTGCACTACGAAGAACATTTTGTATGATATCGGTGCAGACTGCGCGCCGATAGAAAAGGCGCATTTTCCCGAGCTAGACCAAAAAATAGATGCACAATTTTCCACAGGAGTTGCGCTTTCTGGAAGCGTCTGCTTAGATAGTTTTTATTATTTATTAATATACTTGATACGTGTAGGAGATAAGAAACCTGGCGCGGAGCTAAAGTCCGAAATGTTTTCGAGGTCGTTCAGAACCGTGTATGAATGGCGTGCGGTACTGTCGGTTGAATGTAATACACGAACTTTGAAAATGTGCAATAAACGAGCAATATTTAGGAATATAGGAAGACGAAACGTTAAAAGACAACGCTACATATCATTTTATCTCATTTTCCGAAGCATATACTTCAAGTCCCGGTCCGTTGAACAAAGTCAATTGTCTATAGTTTACGACAAACTTATAGTGATCACATTTTTTTATATTGGCGGTCGTTAAAAAGCGACAAAGCTGCTACTCATAATTCATGTAAAATTTTTTGATTTGAGATCTTTGAGGTCTTCAAGGACGGATGTGGCGCTTCGTTGCCGAAAACAGACAGTAACTCAGCAAGGCATTCTTGTTGCGATGATTGTCCCTGAAAGTTGTAATAAATTATGGCGCGAAAATGTTCTCGGTTGAGTTCCATTTTTCTAGTGACTTGGTGATACTTAAAAATTCACTGTAGCGAGAACACTGCACGAATTGTTGTGAAACTTTGAATTTAAGTTTACTGAAGAGTGAGGTTAAGATTCAGTACTGACGTTCGTATTTTTATTAAAACGCTTTTTTGCATTTAACTAACATTAAGGAGTGATTCTTTCATTCTGTGATTATTTTGTTGCAAAAACAAGATCATAACAAACCAATTTAACTAAATATTTAAAATTTCAATTAGTTAAAAAGTTACAATAAAAAATGTTCAATTTTATCTATAAAATATTTTTGTTACATATGACATCTTTATTCACTTGTGTATTCAATTATATGGATCTATTAGTGCTTTTTACGTCATTACAGATTAATTTATACAGATAAAGCAGCTTTCATCGTTATTTAGACCTATATCATATAATTTAAGAGGCACTATAAGCTTGTCGCGAACTACAGGGTGGCCCATAAGTCCTTTGAGCTGGAAAAAAATGAATAAAACCAAACTAGTTACATTATGAAGAATTATTATATTTTGTTATCATCTTTATTGAATGGGAATTATGTTTTAAAAATCACATCGTCTAAATGCAATCCATTACGATCACGGCACTCATATAAACGACGTCTAAAATTGTCGATGACTGCGCGGCAAGTCAACACTGTAATGCTTGCCATTTCTCTTCGGATATTTTCTTTCAGGACATCATGGTGTCGTACACTTTACTCTTGAGGTAGCCCCATAAAAAGAAGTCCATTGGGGTCAAGTCTGGACTACGTGGTGGCCAGGAAATGTCTCCTCTTCGAGAAATTACTTTGCTGGGAAAAAGTTGACAGACGACGGGCATAGAAGTGTTGGAGGTGTGGGCAGTTGCTCCGTCCTGTTGAAACCAGGTCTGCGTATTATAGCCTGGAAAATTCTGCAACGCTGTTGTCAAAAACTCCTCTATCATTGCTACATACCGCTCCGAAGTAACAGTTAATGCGCGACCTCTGTCGTCCTCAAAAAAATAAGGGCCTACGATGCCATGCGCTGACATAGCAGCCCAAACTGTAACTTTAGGGCTGTGTAAGGGCTTCTGATGCTTACGCCTTGGATTTTCGGGGCTCCAATAACGGCAATTTTGTTTATTTACATGCCCGTTTAAATGGAAGTGAGCCTCGTTCGAGAACAACACATTATTGAGCGAAGAAAATCGATTCAACATTTCATTCGCAAAGTTTAGTCTCTGAATAGCGTCATTATCTTTTAATTCCTGCACTAACTGAATTTTGTAAGCGTGCAGACGTAAATCTTTCCTTAAAATCAGCTGTAAAGATGTTCTGGGTACGTTTAGTGCACTGGAACGCTTACGAGTAGACTGGGTAGGATTTTGACGAACAGACTGTGCCACAATGTTGATGTTTTCTTCAATACAAGTTGTCCTTGGTGGACTCCACCGCTGTTTATCTAACGTCGAACCAGTCTCTTCGAACTTAGCAACCCAGTTCTTAATCGTTTGAGCTGTTGGACACTTTGTAAAATTGTGTAAATTGTGGTATTCTCGATGTTTACGCCGCGCAATGGTTGCCGAAACATTATTTTGATAAAACGCGCGCACACAAAAAGCACGATTCGCTCCAGTGAAACACTCCATGGCGACTGAATTCCCAGACACTGAAGATACTGCCCCCACCTCGCCCGCGCCGCTCACGCTCACCCGTTAAATTTTATTCAAATTTGAAATTTCAAAGGACTTATGGACCACCCTGTATAATTCAAAATGATATGTCAACAATTTCTGCTAGATAAGCTACATAAAAATTTTTATCAAGCTTTAAAATCGTGATTTTTTATTTGTTGATGCATATCGGAAGAAATTACGCACAAAAAACGGTTTTTCCGCAATAGTTATACAGTGTGGCTCTTTTTCGACCCTCCTGGTATACAGGGTGTCCGCAAAGTTGGGGTTTTCCTTTTCAGAAACAACTACCCTTGAAATAACAAAGGTAATGTGTAGTGAAACAAGGGCGACCAAGTAAAAAAAAATAAAGGAAAAAGTACTTGCTCTCCAGTTGACGAGAAGGGCTAAGTACGAAATCATACCGCTCCAACAGAAAATGAAATCAGCTGATGCGCTACCGAGCAGACGCAGGCAAACAAGGAAGGCAAAATGTTGCGTAAAAAGTCTAGGTATTGCATCCCGTCCGATCGATTTGGGAGAATAAATGGTCCAATGAGCATACCGTTCACCATGCCAGCCCAAACATTCACCGAAAATGTTTGTTGAAAATGTGCCCGACGGACAGCGTGCGGATTTTCTACTGACCAAACATGAGTGTTGCGAAAGTTATTCACCCCATTACGCGTGAACGTAGATCCGTCTGTCACCAATATGCACTTCAAAAAGTCCGGATTATTGTCATGTTGATGCAACAACCACTCACAAAACCGCACTTTTGCTGGAAAATCGTCAGGTTGAAGGGCTTGTACACGTTGGACGTGAAACGGATACAGCCCCTCTTCACGCGGCGTTTGCCACACTTTAGTTTTTGATACTTGCACTTCTCTAGCCACGTCTCTAGTGCTTGTTGAGGGATTCACGTCTACGCGATTGTCTCTACACGCGTGACCGTAACCGTCGGTTGAAGGTTGCATACTGACCTGACACACTGACCCCGACCGTTTGACCTTGTTGAGCTAGTGTCGTAGTACCAGTCGGGGATGTCGCGGCTACAGGACGGTATTCAGATATTTTTGATGTTGCAGAGCCCTTTATCTCGGTTCCCTTAAGACATTGGTGTATATGGTACTATGAAAAATTGCTTATGTTTTCAAGATCTACACGTCGTGTAAAGGAAAACCCCAACTTTGCGGACACCCTGTATATTGGGGAAAACGCTTGATTTCTAGGGGAACAACTTTTCATCTATAGCCGTACAATACAGGGTGGTCCAAAAATAAGATATTCAGTTTCACTTTAGATTTTTAAATGGAAACCCCATTTGTTAAATATTTACATTTTCCACGATTGAAGATCAAATTAAAAAAATGGGCGGCTCCCTTTGAAAATCTAAAGTGTAATTCAATATCTTATTTTTGGATCACCCTGAATTGTACGGCTATAGATGAAAAAACGTCCCCGTAGAAATCAAAATTCACGTGTCCGAGCGTTTTTCCCAAAATATACCAGGAGACTCACAAATGGGGATGCGACATTTTCGTTGGGCCACCCTGTATAAAGTAAAAAATAGTTATATAATAAAATAAAATGTTCTTGTTAAATAAAACTGAGACCTTGAAGGAATTTACAAAAATCTTACTGGGGGGTCATCCAAGTTGCATTGAGGTCATTTGTAAATTTGCAGCAAGGATTAATACATTGATTGAAAAAATATATCATCTTTGAAAAGTTATTTATAGGCATTCGTAAGAAGAAAGTAAACTTTGTAAGGCTTTGAAGCAGTAAAAAATACATACATCTTTCTTGCTTTTCAGTGAGCTTTAATTGTTCTGTACTTGCAAACGACCATCTTCTTTTATTATGCTTCTGTAAATAAATCGATCTTATTCCTGTAGCTCTCTAGATGCTTTGAGGGTCCAAAATTACCATTGTTCCTTGAATACCAATGAAAGAACCACGTTCGAAGATGTGGTCGTAATCTTAAGTACGATTCTGACTCTGTGCTTCTGAACGACTTCAGGCGCTCTTGAAATTGACAACCGACCGAAAAATCCGTACAGGGTGTCCCAATATTCCGCGGACGTACAAGTACCACAAAATAATAATTCAGGTAATACGGTATCGTAACAAGAAACCGCTCCGAAATACATATTTTGCTCGAAAACTGTGCGAGATGGTCTGTTTTTTTTTAAGAAACAAAAAATGGAGTAAATAAAAGGATCTTCGAATGAAAAAATTCTGCTATGATTTCATTCAAATCGGACTATCGGTTCCAAAAATTTCTAAAAATAAATGAAATGTGCTTTAACAAGAAATATTGGGACACCCTGTATCTAAAACTGTATGTATTAAAATATACACTAGTAGAATATCAATGTTACCACAACAACAGATTTTTGATAGCTCTTAGATTGCTCTTCTTGAGATAGAATTTGTTAACTAACACTTATACGAGTTTCCGAAATTAAGTTGGTATTAAAAAAAGTTGACAATTTCATCCGAATCCAATATTTAGCTCCGCGCCCCATTGTGTGTTATTTGGTGTAGTTTTAGGCCTAGTAACGTCAATTTGTTTTCTATTTTGTTACGAAATGCATACACTACCCGTTCTTGAACGTTTCGTATCGAAAAATGTTTGAAAAACATCTGCTCGATTATAACATTACACTTCCAGATTGAACTCGAGAAAAATTACCAGAGCTTCCATCATGGATAAAAAATGTTGGAAGCGACCGATGTATCGATGTTACTAAATGTTATATCTGTAATTAAGACGCCCTTGTGATTCTAGATTACTTTATATTTTTGAAAAAATATATCGTCAATTTCTTAATAAATATTGCCGTTACACGAAACCTACTTTATTTATGTCCTATTTTTTCGCTATTCCTAGGTTAAACGAAACGGAATCCAGAGCCGTAAATTTAGAAAAATATCTGCCTCCGCATCTCTGTCGCACTCGTGACAGGCACACGGGTAGTGGGGATAAGTAGTTTGGTGCTCGGAAATTAGTCGCCATGGAGCGTTTTAACGGTAAGCAGCGTGCGCTCTGTGTTAAGGCTTATAACAAAAATGGAGATTCGTGCACTAAATCAATGTCCTAGTGAAAGTATGAGTCTACCGGTTCGACACTGATTCAGAAACCTGCGGGGCGTCCAAGGTCAATAGGAACAGAGGAAACTGTAAGCGAAGTTGCAATATCTGTACGGCGCGATACACGGTTATCATCCAGAGATCAGCTGAGCTCGTCATATCAAGATCATCGGTTAGGCGTATTTTGGTAAAAGACCTCAACACGTTCACTGTCGCCTATTGGCGACACTGAAGTCTGGACTGCTGTGACTCCGTCGCCATAGGGCGTCGCGGTGATATGGTGATTTTTTTGTTCTACTTTTTTCTTTCCTACTATGAAATGTTTATAAATTGTTTGAATAGTTCATTTGAATAAAAATAATCTTGTCGCCAAATGGCGACACCGGCACTTCAGTCCTAGATTCTACCTGTAGTGCCAGTGTCGCCATCTGACGACCAAAAAAATATTTGTATTCAGGTAAGAAAATATTCGATCATTACAATATATCTCTCTGTCTCACTGTAACAACAAATTATAATCGCTACACGGTCATGCTACGTAACCTTTTCTTTCTGCAACTGAAAGGTTTTGAGGCCGACCGTATCAGGACCTGGCTTCAACAAGATGTCGCGACGAAACGACTCTTTAGCAGTTGTAAACGAAATGGTTAGTGGAAAACTGATATCGCGACGAGGGGAGATTCCGTGGCCTCCCCGGAGCCCAGATCTCACACCACTTAATTTTTTTCTCTGTGGAGCCGCGTTTACGGCAATAAAACGATGACAATTTAACATTTTTATATACGAGGGTTGTACGTTTTACCATGTGAATGACATCAAATTATTTACTGTCTATCGATTCTGCTATATAATGCGTAATCGTCATTAAGATTGACGTAGAGAAAAGGCCATCACAACCTAAAAAATACTTGACACAAGTTCGGGTCTGGTAATATGTAGATTCGTTAAAAGGAATCCTTTTTTGTCAAAATTATGCAGAAGAAACGAATCAGCATATTTTTCCGAGCAGACTCGAGATACTTCCTGGACTATATTATCCCCAAGAATCATATATTTCGTTTTAATCCATGACCAGCTGTAGGGATTTCCATTTCCAACCTACCAGAACGTAAGAAACTTAATTCAGATACTATACCTACTTCATGCCCCCATAATTTTAATTTTTCAAACGAACAATGCTTTTTTCATCCGATATTCATTCTGCTCGACGGTCTTTTATGCCAGGTTACAATGTTTGTCACAGCCAGAAAGATACCAGAGCACACAAAGGTTGACACAGATATTGTGCATGACGCATCAGAATTGTCTAAGAAGTACAGAGTCAATCTACTTGACAGCACTGTTTCAATTTCATGTCGGATAACCCTGCAACATTGGAAGAGTAGTACATATACTGAAATATCCCCATCTGGTGCACAATTGCGCTGTTGCAGTTGCGGCTGGCAAGCTTATCACATTGCACGAAATCGAATGGTTCGGTCGGCGTTCCAGATCAGCAGCTCTCAATCTCTCAGCGTGGTCTCAGCTTAATCTAGTTGGCCGCGGTAACTCACAGTCAAAATTATGCGTTCAGATTAGTAGGTATCCCACCGCCCCGGGTTCGATCCTGAGGGCAGATAGTTTTTTTTAACTGTATACTTTCAATTTGAATAATATATCGATCATATTAATGATGGCTGCATACCCCTTAACAAATATTAATCTATTCATCCCTATTTTTCCTCAGACTACAAAAGACGTCTTCTTAATCTTAAAAAAGTACGTGTGTCATAGATATAATAATTTATACGGCTTTGGCTTGCGGACCTATTTGGTCTCTCGTTGCTGCATTGTTTCGACGAAATTTTGAATCATTTGCAATTATATTATTTCAGTTGAGAAAAACATACAAATCACATTTCCATGATATGGATCTTGCAGTGTAACCGATTTATAAAAAAAAGTTTCCCATCTCGTTTCAAGAATCTGTCGAGCGCCCTCTATAAAAATGACAAAAGATAAACAAACATTCATAGCCCAGCTGATTTCTATCAACTCTCGTATTGGATTTTTTTATAAAAATCACTTCCAAAATGAACATAAACCAATTTGCAGTGAATTGGAACAACCACATGTCGCATGTCAGGCAAGCGTTCGACGATCTTTGGAGCAACAGCGAACTTACGGACGTTACTTTATACGCAGATGGCAAAAAAATCCCTGCCCACAGGATGCTCTTATCCGCTTGCAGTGCATACTTCAGGGACCTTTTTAGAGCTTTCCCTCAGGAGCACCCTATAGTTGTACTTAAAGGGGTCAACTACGTGGTCTTAACCGATATCCTTAAGTTTATTTACAACGGCGAAGTCAGTGTGGACAGTGCTGTGTTTGAACGCTTTTTACAAACTGCCGAGTATCTGCAGATCAGCGGGCTCACAGAAAATCTAATAAAAGGTGCACAAAACGCCGAGGCGGAAGCAGAGAAAAATGAGGTGAAGCAGAAGGTTAGGAGACGTAAAAGAAAGTGTTCAAGTTCGATACCTGAGGATGGGTTGCTGAAGGTTATTAAACAGGAGGAAGATAATGATATTGTTAATAGGGATGAATGTAGCGAGGAACAGGATTTGGTGGGCAGTATACCTCCGGATATCAAGATTGAATCAGGTATTCATATTTTATTTTCTTACAATTAATTTTTTCTTGATAGAATATTGTACTTGAGAATCTGGGTGGGCATTGAAATTTGTATGTTTAGCATTTTTGTTTTCAAAATTATAGGCAGGGTTGATAAAAATCACGATTTTATTTGTCTAACAGATTTTTTTGATTTAAAAAAATTCAAACCTTGATTTTTTATATTATAATTTCCATCTAGCCAACGGTTTAAAATAGGGTTTCATAACATTTTTTTCTCAAACATTCCACAAAATTTATAAAAAATCATAGACCTGTAGGATATAACATTGAAGCTACTATAATTTTTTGATCAAAATTGCGCCCGTGAAAAATTATTTTCGAAAAAACTCGTTTTTGAGGTTAGGGGCCCCTATCAATCTGAAAATTCAAGTATTAAAAAAACTGAAGACATCTTCAGTGGTTATGAAAAGAATTAAGTTTGATTTAAATACTGATTTTGCTTTATTTAAATCATGGTTCAAATTAATCCATGTTTGTCAACCGTTGTTACACGTAAATAAACATAGCACACTTGGATTATTTGAAGGTTTGAATATGAATGTTATCTTCACAAAATCCCGACGGGTCATGGCCATGTTTGAAATTCCCGCTAAACCTGGAACAATAATTGGTTCTATTCCTGTTTTTTCAGAAGACAATGAGGAAAAAGCCATGGAGGAAGAGCTTCTGCTGCCACTTGAGGAAAAATCAACAGAAAATAACTCTTTAAAATGCCCGATTTGTTCTAAAGTCTTTTCACATCCTTACAGCTTGCACCATCACAAACCTGTGCATATGGGCAGAACCCAATGCCCGATTTGTCATGCGGTCTTGTCAAGAAGGTACAATTTAAAGATGCACATGAAGACGAGACACAATGTGATGTAACATTCAGTAATTTGAAGTTCAACTTGCACGAATGTATGCAAACGTTAACTGTATTCTAGTCATTATTTTGTGATTGTAAATCGTATTTGAAGATTATATATTGGCATTATTGTAAATTATTGAAGCATTTATTCAGTGTGGTAATAGAATGTTTAAGAATATACATGTGTTTCACTCAACAAATCCTTTCATAACGAAATGAAATTGATAACATTAGTTTTATACATTTTAATAAAAAAAGTGACTTATTTGAAAATTCAAGGGCTGCAACCCTCAGTAATATATATAGGGACCATTCAAGTATCACGTAAGCCGATTTTTTACAATTATTTACCCGACCCTTTTCATCAAAAGTATTTTTATTTTGCGTTTATATCCATAGACAGAATACATTATTTTTTTAATGGGTTAACATGTTTTTGTATATTAACTCCTTTTGGCGAGTCCTACAAGCAATTAAAATAAATGACTCAACTTTGAAAACACCCTGTAGAGGTATCGTTCACAAATGATGTGACTGGATTTTATTGAGTTTTCGATTTTGTTTTGCATCTCCCAGATGATGCTTGGATGGAGTATCTATTTAAAAAAACGAAAAAAAGTTCAATGTTCTGAGGATCGAACCCGGCCTTAGGCCCGTATCGTCAGTCGTCCCTACAATGTAGGGCGCGTTTATGGCCTCCTTGATTGTCATACTGCTTTCTCTCCTTCAAAAATTTCTAGATTACACTCGTCCCGTGTCAGCGTCAGCGCTCTCCTATTGTTAAGATATGTTTTCCTTTTAAATTGTAGGAAATTTCAGGCTGACAAAACTCAAAAGAAAGCACAGTTTGATGCAAATAGATGTTTGTACATAACCTCAAAATAGAGCGCTCGCTGACACGGGGAAGTAGAAAACTATGACAATCAAGGAGGCCATAAACGCGCCCTACAATTGTAGGATCGACTGACGATACGGGCCTTAGGTCACATTTTTCCCAAAAGTTAAGGCAACCAGTATCACACCTCGGGTCGAATATCCAGAGTTTTGAATACGGTTGCACTGTAAATTACGCCCAAATCATTGCGAAAAGTTCCGTCGTGTTTAGAGTACTTGTGTAAGAATAACGTAGTTTTTTTGTTTGTGATTCGCTTATTTGTGCCAGGTAACCTTAAATTTCAGGTGTACAGCGATGTTTTCCTTGTTAAATTCGTCTATGTTTTTCGATGAGTAACCTTTGCAAGATCAAAATAACTGGAGATGTCCTAGTAATTGAGTGTCCATTACTAAATAGGCGAATTTCAGTAATGGTTAGTTGCTTTCTTAATTTGATTTCACTTTCTCATTTATAAGTTTGGCGCGTTCCCAGTTCACTACCAAATTCCATGGGCGTTCGGAAACGTTTTTCCCACTGGTGCTTACGTTTCATTAACCTGACGTTACGAATGTCATACGTCAAACTACAGAATCATGAAATGTATTATTTGCCCACATACTTTGAAGCAAAATAATTTTTGGAAAGCTTTTTATATTCAATATAACCATCAGCAACAGTAAAAATAAGTAAATCGAATATCTCTAAATGCCACAGCAACGGAAATCCAACCACAAGTATAGGAGAAAGTTGGCGTTTATAGAACCTGATTTTTGACAAGCTGTCGCCTCTGGAAGTATCTGTGACGTTAATCAAATCCAAGCAAATAACCAAAGTTTCTGTGTTATGTGCCGCGGTTATAATATGGTTCAAGATGACACACGGGTTGATGACGTCAGTTACACGAATCGCTTGAAGGCGTTGGTTTTAACCACGGTTTTGTTGCAAGTTGTTTATTTTAGAAAAGCACGTATATAATCTCTGATTATTTTTATTATCACTTAATAATCGGTGCTTTTTCGTCTACAACTGTATATGGAAAGTTTAAATAAGAAACCTTTCATAATATTCATGGGAGAAATGTTTTTTTCAGATTTTTTTTTAATGATGGAACCATGGCTTTGTAGCTATGATAACTTTCAATTCTCTAAATTTTTCCGCATGTCAAAGAAAACATTTATTGATTCAGCAGAAATGATGAAAAAAGAAATTAGCAAAACCGTATACAGGTGGATATCATCTAGTGAGTTTATATGGCCATATTTTAATATTCTTGTGGTATATGGCTACACAGGATACTTTGTTAAGCATAGGAACTGCATTTAAAGTGTCCCCAACAAACGTAATGAGTATAACTAATAAGGTGCTCCACTTTAAGGTAAAACTGAAATCAGCCTGTATCATTTTTCTCAAAAATGAAGCTGAAGTACAATAACAATATCCAATACCCGGCAAAATTCTAACTTGTCACATTTCAAATAATAACCAGAAATATAAAACTACTCTTGAGTTGGGTAAATACCACAATTTTGCGGTGATAACTATGACATATAACAGCTGATTCGTGACGTCACGGATCTTATAACCAAACTGATAACTACACTCGCTTGAACGGATTGGTAAATACCAACCCAAAATGGTAAATACCATTTCCATTTGGTTATCCGCTTGAATTTGATTATTATTAGGGATGTATGCTTGTATGACGAATGAGACGTATTTTCGTGTTTACATAGTTTATTTTTAACAAAGTAAATAAAAAGAGTACATCTTTTCGGCACGGGTATCATGTAAAAAACCTATAAAACGTCAAAAAAAAACCTATGTCATCTTGCAACTAGGTAGTTTTTAGGGCGCAAACAGTCGTTCCATGTTCGTTGTGAACGTCCATCTATGGAGGAATCAGTCAACTAAACTACACGCATTATTGGTTGCATATGTTTTATGAGGCCGAGTGGTCCTAGTCGGTAGTTTTTATCTCTGTGTATGTGTATTGGTCTGCATGCGTATAAAATCCGTTATATTTGCTGTGAGAGAAAATCATTACTGGATATGCTGCCAATGAAGTATATCTATTGGCTGTGTCCGACGGCTTATTTTTATGTTGTGCTTTCTGAAAAGAGGTTAAGTTATAAATTACGAAAAACTGAGAATTACGGTAAATGACCACCGCGCCCGCGTTGTGTGTAATTACTGGTAGCATGTAATTCGACAGTATACAGTGAATATAATTATTTAATCGGCATAAAGTCACTTTTCAAGATACGTGATACCCGTGCGGTTTCAAAATTGTAAACAAATTGTCAAATAAAACACTCGGTAGAAATTAATAAGCTTAAGTATCAATGGATGTTTCGATATTCGATTACAATCGACAATATACACAATATCACAGGATGTTAACAAAGCTTATAGGCTATGCTGTAAAAAATGGAAATATTCGACTAAAAAGAGATTCTTTTAAGGACGAAATTTATAAGATTGATCATACAAACATTTTCTTTCCTTAAAGCTGTGCTTTTTCTTGTAGAAAGCACCATATAAAAATATTTTTACATTTCGTTCGCACGATATGGAAAAAATTACAAAAGCTTTAGTACATGCTGATACAGGGTGTTCCATAATGACGTTTTTATTTGAGGATACGATTCTTGGATCGATTTAAAAAATGAGATACAGAGCGGTAGTTTCCAGAAAAAAATCTGTATTTTATGATAACTGTGATATCTTCATGCAATTTCTTACACGTCTCCAATGCATCAAATGGTGCATTTTCTGATGTATCGACAATTTTATTATATCTGCCAGTGGCGTCCGTACGGGTTTTGCACTGAATATTTTTGGAAAAAAATGGTACGCTACTGCCTTCTCTTTGAATAAACAACATTTTTAAAATCTTCATTTATTTGTGACCAGATTTAATATATTGATATTCTTTCGCCCGTCGCATGGTTTTCGCTTAAACAAAGTCGTTTTACTTTAGTTCCGAATGGTTAAAAATCTGATGTGGTGACTGGCTGATCAGAAATCATTTTCGAAGCTATCGAGTCCGTTTTATACATAAAAAAATAATTTTTGAAAATCTCATCCGTTTTTGAATATATTTTATCGATAGATGGTTAAATATGGTCAGAAATAATTTAATATTTCAAAAATGGTTTTTATTTAAATAGGTAGCAGTGACGTGTCATTCTTCAAAAATAAATTATATTAGAAAATGCACCTTGATGCATAGAGGACGTGTACCAAATTTCATAAAGATATCTACAATAGTAGTCAGTTATAAAATACAGATTTTTTTTCTGAAAAATTTACCTTTTTTCATAATAATTTTTTTGTCTCAAAATGGGTAAAAAAAATCGTCTCCTTTAATATTACCATATCATTAAGAGATACACAGTTCTGAATACACCTCATCTTAAAACTAAACATTTGTTTTAGCCTGCCACTATTTTCCCTTAAAATAAATTCTACCCCTCTTCCATGATCTTAAACCGATATACTCTATTTCACGAGTATCCATCACGTGATTATCTAGTAATATCTCAAAATTCCCCATATCGGCACAGAACACACAATTCTGACGGATCCGTCAACGCCAGGTAGTCAGAACCGTATTTTGTTTTGGTTTTTTATACGGTACAGATTACAAGGTTGTCACTTGCTGATCAGCTCAGTAGACGTCTAAACGTGATGGATACTCGTCAAATAGGATATAATTCAGACTCCGTAATTCATTAACCTATTAATATCATAGATTTGGGAAATACAGCACAGCTCATAACGTGCTGCTTATAATTCCTCTTTATTTCGATAATATTTAGCTACTAACAAGGACACTTTCGAGCTTATTCTTTTACAGCCTGTCGTCGAGAACAGCTTACTCCTATCAGGACCCCATTCTATAATATCCATCACTTCCCTGGAAAGGAAAAAAAGCAAAATTAACTTGGAAAATTACACAGCATGCCAATGGTTTAACTAGACTGCATATTGGCAGCACAAATACCAAAAAACTTGGCCAATGTGCTCAAGAGCAGTCCCCCATTTCTGTGAAACCTCATCGTTTGAGGGTTCTACCTTCAGGTTCTGGTTTACATCTGAGACTTGCTACCCATGGTTACCTTTGCTTTGGAGCTATCCCTTCTCTTGTGTGAATCAATCCCACCATGCTGTAATAGCCAAGCACCTACCAAGGTGATTTTTTTTAGTTTTATTTTTTGCTGGGAACAATTTAGCTGGAAGTAGTACCAACTATTTTCCTTTTATGTGTCTCCCAGGATTTCTTCTAAATTTCTTTTTGTTCAGTAACTGTTTGTGTGCCTTGTGAATTTATGTTTCCTTTAGGTCCAAAGATCCATAGGAGAAAAAGATGGTCGCGACTTTTGTGTCAAGAGCGGGTCATATTGCAACAATTCCTCTTAATGAGCAAAGAACTGTTACTGCGGATTGGTATACCACCATTTGTTTGCCAAAAGTCATCACCGAGCTTCGAAAAATCAACCCCGAAACACAGCCCAAAAAACAAGGCAGTATTTAACAGAAGAAAACGTGGAATTATTGGACCATCCTCCATATAGTCCCGACCTAAGTCCTTACGATTTCTTTACTTTTCCGATAATTAAAAACAGACTGCAAGGTCAAAGGTTCCAGTCACCAGAAGAAGCAGTTGACGCATTCAAAAATACTTCGAAAAACAATAAAGTCATTTAAAACTACATACCGTATTGTTTTATTTCCATATGCAAAACTTAAAAGACATCCCTAGTACAAGAAAATTTCGAAAACATTTGAGTATTTGTGAGTAAGGAAACTTACTGGGTATGAGAATCTGTGGGAAAGTCAACATTGCGATTCTTGAACTGATCTTTGATGCAACCTTGCACATGTTCCCTTTGCATTGGTAAAAACGGGATATAGTGGTCTATCAGATTACTTTTGATTGTATCAGAATGGTGAAACCCACCTGAAATAAAAAAAAAAAAAATAATAAAAATAACCAGCTTTCTTATCACAGCTTGTCTCTTGACATATTTATATAAAAATTGACGGAGATATTTTAGAGGGTGATATTCCTTGTTAGAAAATATGAAAAAAAGTTTCTATAAGCAAAATCTTTTTGTATTAATATTTTCTCGATTCTGTAGAAATTTGGCAATATTATATAGACTAAACTTATTAGGTCCAGTAGGGTGTCCTGGGGGGCACCTTAGCGAATATTATTGCCAAAAAAATGTACGCCACTGCCTTTTTTGTAACTTAAATATTTGTTGTTTGAATATGCAACTGGAAATACAACATATTTGCCTCTTGTATTTTTTTCGTATCTCACGTCGTTTTCGAGAAAAAAAACCTTGTTTTATTGCATGTCACTGAACAAAATTCACAAGAGCCTTGGAAAACAAAAAATCGAAAAAATATCTAGGAAAGAGTATTATTGAACCTTTTCCAATAGGAACCATGACATTCAATATCAATGATTTAATAAAACTTAAAAATAAAAATGGTTAATTCGTAGTGAAACAGGTGAAAATGAAATTAAGACTAAAATTCTGAGGATTGTAAAATTTTCAGGTTGTCGGATGAATAATCTTTATATTTACCATCTTCATTGAAGGCCCCTTTCTCAATGAGCTTCTCAAAATGGCTGAGTTTCAAGTCCTCTCTAACATATCCCTTATTCCACAACTCTTCATAATGTTCGTTGATTAAAGCAGATCCGGTGTTCGAGAGAAAAATGAAAATCGACTGAGTGTAGTCCACACCGTCCACTTCATCTTTGTAGTCAATCATCGGTTTGATAGCGTTCAGAATTTCCGGGGGTGTCTTGTCGATTTCGTCAAAAATGAACAGCTGTTTCGAGCATTGCGTCATGTTGCCTTTCAACCAGGAGTACAATTGTTGCTGAAAATACACCAGGATCTTGAGAAAATAATTTAGGAAATTCCTACAAAAATAAGCAAAATTTCAGTTATATATTTTAGGACTGTTTTAAATCTTTATTTTTCAAAAGAGAGTTCACACATAAAGGGGTCTGGTAACAAACAAAAAGCTAGTTGGGATGTTATCAACAACAGCACTAAATTGTAATCTGATTTTTCAATTTAAATTGCGTTTTTTCATCAAATTATAAATTATTGCAAAAACTGAAATAACCTACCAGGACATATGACCTACCTGGTAAACCTTAAACTCTTCCCTGACAGGAAAATGTATCCTACCAACAAATAGATGTACAAATTTGCTCTTGGTGCCATATTTATATAGACTCTCAGCAATGAAATTTGAGACGTAGTTCTTCCCACTTCCCGCCCAACCATGAAAACTCAAGACAAGAGGCTTTGGGGCCTTGTAATGCGGATTCCAGTGAGCTGCAATGGCATGGACAGCATTTTCAACCAAATGTTGACCGTACACTCGTTCTTTTAGCAACCTGATTAGTTCTAGAAGAAATAGATTTCTTGAAAAAACCGCCAATTTTGTTTGTACATGCATTTATAGGTTGTGGGCTCATGTATAATATGTGACAAGTACCTGTTTACAGGAAAATGAACAGATTTTGCAAATGTTCACCCACGCACATCATAAGTATGAAGATATTAAATTCTAGAATTAGGATATTAAAACTCATGTTTTTCCTTGACTTACTGTCAGTATCTCCAGGTATGTGGTCTTTATTGCAACACTCGGTCACAAGACATATAGGGTTGTAACTCCACATATGTACATATTTTATATAAATAAATAATACAGTTATAATTGCTAATGATTTCATTTTAGATAGTTATGATCGTAAGTTCATAACGTTTGGCTGAATGTATTTATAAAACTGTCCCTTCTGCATTATCGGACTTTAACAAAATGTGGCTAGCATTTGCGGTTTGCAGATTAAAATATAAAATAAAACATCTTGAAAACCGGAACTCATGAGCAAAAACCACTTTCAAAAATTTTTAGGCTAGGTTCATCAGTCACATTCCTTCATTCGGTGTTGCCGAACCAAAAAAGCCGAAATCCGTAGATAGCTCAGTATGAAAAAGTAGATGCATTTTAGTACTTCGCGCGTATGTATAACAAGTTTTTTGATAGTATCTTTTCCTAAAAAAAGATATTACAACCCACAACTGGTGAACTGGTGTAATACAAAAAATTTTTACCGTTAGGTAATCCTAGGTTCAAAAAAAATGAAGTCCACAGTTGCCAACATACAACAAAATCAAAAACATTACCCGACGAAAAATCACAAAACAACAAGGAAATTTTCATGTGCTGTGAACATGAAAAACTAAAAAATCGTGGAAATTGAAGTTTTCGGGTCTCATTTCGTAGAAATACCGAACAATCGGTAGGTTTGGCAACAGACTTGTTTCAGCATAAAACACTTTAATTTGACAATTGACTGATTGAGTAGTTATTGGACTCTTTACTATTCGATACGTAACGAGTCTGTGTCTAGATATGGGCAACATCAATGTAATTATATATAACTGATTTTAGCTTAATATCCTATTTTCAAAATTTTAATGGCAGTCGCTGGTCGGACCAAAATGAGTAAGAGTATATAAATAGGGCATTTACATCGTTAATTTATTGCATTCCAACATTCGCTTTCTTAACGTGGTAATAATGGTCTAATTCTCATTTGCTTGAGATTTTCTTTCACTTCAAGTGTGTAATACTATGAGTAAATAGTTATTGGGTTATTTGTCATACAATCTTTGATTTTAGTAGTCGGGTAGGGTGCCTTCATCTGGTATCTAGCAAACTCCAAACTGACTCTCTAGTCTGTTAGCATCACCACGCTTGAATCACACTATGGAGAGACGTTAAAATTTGTACATTTATTAATTGATACCCGAGGAAGGTTTTGTTCGCGAACCCTGCTGCCTAAACCTAACCTCACTCATTACTGTTGTATTTTTTAATACGTTGCCTTTATCAGTATATATATTGTATACGTATTGTTTGGTTTGTATACTCATGAAGTATACATTGTCTACGCATTATCTACATCGAGACGTAGACAATCAACATGTACGCTTACGGTATTTTTTCACGAGCATTCATCACAGTTCACGGTATAATAACGGCTGATTTAGTGATATTTCAAAACTTCCCGTATCAACGATTCTGATTCTGAGGGATCTGTCAGCGACAGGTAGACTGATCTGTATTTTGTTGTTGTTTTTTTTTGTATGCGACGAGCGACGGCCTTGAAATGCGTTATTGCCAGCGTTAAAGACGTCCCTTTTATGAACAGCTGTTCGCAGTGCTCACCACAGTAGACGTCTAAACGTGATGCATATTCGTGAAAAAATACATCAAACGTCCATCATTGGCATTATTTACCAAAATACGCATCTCTAGAGTTCATTTGACTTGCTCGTTATGTATTGAAATAAGCGAAGTCGGAGACAGTTGCACTTCTTGACTTTTGTTCTGTATTTTAAGGTTAGTGTTTGACACGTTTGACATGTCTTATTGGTTTTTTGGAATGCTAAGTGATTGATATTCCCGCCTTTTCGCAAAGCCCTTTTTTCCGTATTTCCTCAAAAACAATGCCAGTTTCTGAGTACAATGGTAGTAAGTCGAGTGCATCTACAATTAAGTTAATAAATTTACGCCGTAAAAGTTTGCCGGCAGATGTAAGTTAGAGTATATTTTTATTTGAAAGTTACGTAGTTTTGGTTGTTTATATAATTTGTTCTCACATATTACATGATTTCTGTTAAGTACTATTTTCAAATCCATATGCTTTGTCCTTAATAATAACTATAATATTCTTCTCGTTTATCGAACTTTGTTTTTTAGGAAGTAATAGACGGAAGACACGATGACGAAAAGTTCAATGACTTCCTCGTCAACGGACATTCTACTCCTAAACTCTCTGATAAGTCCATTGATGCAACATCCACTGATAGGAGAGAGTCCCTGGTGTGTAACATCATATAATGTATCTTAAATATTTCTTCATAGTTGGATATTTCATCATAAATATCATCTGTTTGGAAAATGTCACATCATCAGTATATGCTGATCATTTTGTCAGTGGCAACATGGTCAATAAATATCACAATCTGTAATACAAAAATTTAGTGACTGCTTTCAAAAAATGTTATGTATCTTATATATTTTTTTTATTAGTAGCAACCAACCTTGAGAAAATCCAGGCTAAATGGGAAAGATGTCCATATACGCAGACGCAGGCTGTCTCATCAGCCATTTACAGATCTCGCTAACCATAGATCTAAGGTACTCGTCAGGATCAAATCATTTGTGAACATAACATCATTCGTTATATTGAAATTTATTTGGTAAATTAATATTTAATGGATCTATTCTTACAGGATTTGACACCTAAAAAGCAGTCAAAAAATGGATTAGTTAAAATTGTATATGACTTCATTCGGAATCATAAAAGATCTATCTCCAGTGATCCAAGTGTAGGCCGCATTGATTCAGTTGAGGTAAGCAATGAGATCTTTACTATTCGTAATCAATCTTATCTTTATTAAAACATGTCAAAGTAATAATAACATAGATTATTTTTTTCAATCTATAATATAATTTTATTTATCTAGATATCTTCTAAGTCATTGTTTTCCATATAGTGATAATCACATGCATTTAAAACAAATATTATTTTTGGTAATCCATGTAATAAAATTCAAATCGTGATTGATAATATCAATAAATAACTTTGATAGGGCATTGTTTATATCTGGGAGGATTTTTCTGATACTTTGCAGGTTTGAAAGTCTAAGTTTTTGTTTTAGTTTTCTGAAAATATAACACCTAAGAAAGTCAAGGACAACAAGACTAACAATGGTGCAAATATTGAATCTTCACAAAATGATGTGGATGTAGCTTTTCTTTCCCTTAAGTCTAAATTACAGGTAAGCTAAAAAATACCACCACTGTGGGACTTTCATCACTATTTTTTTCTTTTCTAGGAATCAGAAGTATCTACTTCTGGAAATACGAATGGAGTTCACAAAAACATTAACTTGAATTCTAAATCATCTAAGGTACGTACAGGTGCTATATAAAATCATTCAATGTTGGGAAAGTATATGTTTTGCAATCAGACATGTTTTTATTATTGTTATAGGAATCAAATGAACCAATTGCTAGGAAAACAAGAAGCAATGGAACGTTAAATGGAAGTTTGCCCAGTTTTACATTGCCTCAAAATACCTCGCAAGAAATCATTCAAGAGGTAACAAACAAATATTTAATCTATCAGGACAGATTGACATTTCTTTTTTACAGGAAACAAACGAGAAAACTGTTACAAAAACTAAAAGCAATGGAGTAATTGATGGTGTCGTATCAAACCTTAAGTCTCGATCTAATTCACCAGAGACACCAGAAAAATCTACGGTAAGGACAGCTTGAAGTGTTTTTGAAATTCTCCTCAATCATACTAGAAAATTTAAAAACAAAAGTAATAAACTACAAACATTCGACTATTTGTTATAGGTATTAAAACCCAGGAAAACTAAGAATAATGGCATGGCAAATGGGACCCTTAATGGGCTCAGTTCATCTCTATCTGCCTTGGAAATACAGCGCCAGACATCCGTATCAGAGGTATATTGATACCACCACCATTTTGTATAGAGAAATTTGCATTTTTTTATTTTAGGAGCCTGAAAAAATCGCGCTTAGAAGAAGTAGACGTAGTTCTGTAATAGAAAAAAATTCGACAATTTTGAAAAGACAACCTCGAAAACGGTTGCATGAGGTACAATAAACATATTTCTTTCCATTTGATTTGAGTGTAGCTTATTTTAATCTACGCCCAATGACGTAGCCAAGTAAAACCACGTATAGAGGGACAAAAAAGTCCCGGAACGGCTCGGTATTTTCGAAAAAGATCAAGGTTAACTTTCAGCAAGGAATTCAACGACGACCTTGAATTTGGCCTTGACCTTCAAGGTTAATTTACCGTCAACTTTATTTTTACGAATAGAAACTCCTATGTTCGATGCCGGCAATCGAGAGAACAGAAAATTTCAGTTCAAGCACAATAGTCAGGATGAGTACTAAAGGTCAAATGAAGATCAAACGTGTACTGCTAGGAAAACCTTTATAAATCTCACAGGATGAATAATGAAAACAATGATAAAGGTCAGGTCTTCGGTAAATGTTAACGAGGAAGTGAATGCTGACCTTGGATTTGACCTTAACATGCAAGGTCATATCAAGGTCAACTTTAATTTTTCCAATGAAGATTCCTATTTTTGATGCCGGCATTCGGAAAAGCGGGAAATCTTACGTTCGAGTACAAATTGAAGTTCAAGGTCACGGCGCTATCTAAAGGTCAAATGTGTGTTGCTGGGAAAACCTTTATAAACCCCGCAGGATTGAACGTAAAAATGTCCGCTGCAAAAATGGGGGATTTCATTTAAAAAATTAAGTTGACCTTGAAATGACTTAGAATGTGAGGATCAAGGTCAAATCCAAGATCGCCGTTAGCTCGTTAAAATTCATCACAAGCCTGACCTTGATAGCTGTTTGCATTGCTTATCCTGCAGGATTTATAAAGATTCTCCTAGCAGCACAGATTTGACCTTTAGTGGTCACCATGACCTTGGTCTTCAGTTCGTATTTCAACGTATTTTTTTTGCTCTTATAATCGCCGGCATAAAAAATAGATTTTCATTAAAAAAATTTATAGTGTCTTTGAAATAACCTTAAACGTGAAGGTCAAATCCAAGGTCAGCGCCCACTTCGTTAAAATTTACCAAATACCTGACTCTGAAAGTTATTTTCATCACTCGTCCTGAGATTTATATAGGTTTTTCTAGCTGCACACATTTGACCTTTAGTAGTCATCCTGACCTTGAATTTTTATTGTGCTTGAACGTAAAATTTTCTGTTCTTTCGATTGCCGGCATCAAAAATAGGGATTTTCATTAGAAAAAAAAATAGTTGACTTTGAAGTAACCTTGAAGGTAAAGGTTAAATCCAAGGTCAGCGTTCACTTCATCGTTAAAATTTACCTTACTCAGATAGTTCTTTTCATCACTCACCCTTATATTTATAGATGTTATCCTGGCAGCACATTTGATCTTCATTTGACCTTTAGTAGTCATCCTGACCTTGAATTTTTATTGTGCTTGAACGTAAAATTTTCTGTTATTTCGATTGCCGGCATCAAAAATAGGGATTTTCATTAAAAAAAATAGTTGACTTTGAAGTAACCTTGAAGGTAAAGGTTAAATCCAAGGTCAGCGTTCACTTCATCGTTAAAATTTACCTTACTCAGATAGTTATTTTCATCACTCACCCTTATATTTATAGATGTTATCCTGGCAGCACATTTGATCTTCATTTGACCTTTAGTAGTCATCCTGACCTTAAATTTTTATTGTGCTTGAACGTAAAATTTTCTGTTCTTTCGATTGCCGGCATCAAAAATAGGGATTTTCATTAAAAAAAAATAGTTGACTTTGAAGTAACCTTGAAGGTAAAGGTTAAATCCAAGGTCAGCGTTCACTTCATCGTTAAAATTTACCTTACTCAGATAGTTCTTTTCATCACTCACCCTTATATTTATAGATGTTATCCTGGCAGCACATTTGACCTTCATTTGACCTTTAGTAGTCATCCTGACCTTGAATTTTTATTGTGCTTGAACGTAAAATTTTCTGCTCTTTCGATTGCCGGCATCAAAAATAGGGATTTTCATTAGAAAAAAATAGTTGACTTTGAAGTAACCTTGAAGGTAAAGGTTAAATCCAAGGTCAGCGTTCATTTAATCGTTAAAATTTACCTTACTCTGATAGTTATTTTCATCACTCACCCTCATATTTATAGATGTTATCCTGGCAGCACACATTTGATCTTCATTTGACCTTTAGTAGTCATCCTGACCTTGGACTTTAATTGTGTTTGAACGTAAAATGTTGTTCTTTCTATTTTCGACATCAAAAATAGCGATTCCTAGTTAAAAAATAACGTTGACCGTAAATTAACATATAAGGTCAAATTCAAGGTCACCGTTGAATTCGTTGCTGAAAGTTACTGAAGGCCTGATATTGATCTTGTCCAAAAATACCTTACCAGAGAAAATGGCCTTGTTAAGGTACAGATCAATGAAAATGATGAAAGTTTTGTTTTTCTAAATATTTGTATGTTATGTAATTGTAGTTTTTTAGCTAAACAAACAAAAGTAGGTCGGTATCTTTTTTTGATTTAGCAAGCAAATAGCTTAACCAACAGTGTTGTGTATAGTTTTCCTTGTAGGACAATAATGAACCTACACCCAAAAGAGCAAGAAAAAATGGAACGGTCAATGGGATTGTTACAAAAGATCAGTCATGCAACAGTACGCTCGTGTCTTCTAGCATTGAGGTACAAGAATCCATTTCACAATTTTGTTCCTGAAATTCAGTTTTCTACATTAAGTGACAAATTGATGAAAATACCTTTACATTTTAGGTGACTGCAGACTCCAAACTTAAAACAAACAATGGACAAGTTAATAGTGATCTTGCTAATATTATAACATCCGAGTCCAATTTGCAAGAACCCCATGTTGATAATTTAAACGAGGTATACATTAGTGCCGAAAACACATCTCAAGCAGAGCTATCCGAGACTGTTGAAGAATCGTTAAAGAAAATAGTTGTACGAAACGTTGTCGTAAATCTAGGTATGGATCTTTGTTATACCATGTCTAATTCATGAATTTTACTGGCGGCCAAGTATTGTAATCCTGAAAAATAATGTTTATTGTTGAGTTGCGAGAGTCAAATGGACAAAAATTAGAGGGTATGCGTTTGAAAAAAATTTTTTGGGACACATTTTCAAATAAGGTTAGTACTATCCCAAGGACAACAAAACTTGAAAGTGACGGCAGATCTACATTTCCAAATCCAAATTTCTTTTATTGCCGTGCAAATTCCGTTGAAATTCTATATTTTTACGTTGTAGAGCGGTTGACAATCGATAACGGCGTGATAATATCTCCAGAATCTGTGAAAGGAATACGGATTTATAGGGAGCAAGCATTGAAAGAAAAATATGATCAGCTGAGCAATTTCAAACAATTTCGCAAGCCTAAGAGCGGAAAAGATACATACTCGAGAGAATATGTCGTTGAGAAAATTTTAAACGTAGAATATGACATTGACACGAAGACGCTGATGTTTTTTGTAAAATGGGAAGGGTATGTATTTATGTTCGATTTTATTAAATCATTGAGGCTAAGAATAGGATCAGACCTAATACTGATCCTTGAGGTACCACTGCATTTAAATTTAATTTGTTTGTATAATCTCTTAATACTCAAACAATTTGGGATCGATTAATTGCATTTGTATTAAATTTGACATTAACAGGTACTCGACGAAACACTGCACCTGGGAACCGATAGGGCACCTGCAACACTGCACGAAACTAGTGGCAGAGTTTTTATCGGAGCGCCTCGCGCCCGAAGTGTTGGACTCTCTCTGCGAGAAAATGGACATGCCCAATCGGCTATCCGATCAGAGTCTGTTAGATGAGCTTAAAGTGTCCGATTTGACGAATTTACCGGATAAAGTTCACTTGCAGGAAAAGTTGATGTGTTTAAAGGCCGTCCCGCTCAAAGCGTGGCATGTACGGAAGATTAAGGTATATGGCTGCGGTTGTGAATGAATGAATTATTTTTCTTGCAACCTATTTGAAAATCATATTTTCTTTTGTACCTCGATACATATACCAGCGGTTATCAAGAAAATGGCCTCATTTAGTTATTTCATTTTCATAGGAAGGAAAAAAGGCTATGATGATGTATCAACTACTTTTAAGACGAGAAAATCAGTTGACGAAGTTAAAGGAGTGGGAGGACTCGATCAATCAGATGACAAAGGAGGAGGCACAAATCACAATAGAAAACACTGTTGACTTGGATTGTCCTCCAGAAGGTTTTACATATATACACGAGAGTATTGCTACAAATGGTATGATTTTTTATTGCTTTTTAGAAAGTACAGTCCATATCCATCCCTCTGGAAACTATACTAAGTGACATATAAATCCGAACACCCAGTTTAAATGGTTTTATTTTAATAAAAGTTTGTGAGTGTATTTATTTTACTGTAAATAACAAGTGAAAAAATTTTCAGCCTTATCAGTTGGACATTCCGGTTTTTATACTGCTTTTTTTTTAATTCACTAACGCTCTAAAAATGAATATTTCAGCCGCAGTAAAGAATCAACGTTGGCGGATTTTGGTTCTTGACATCCTTTACGATCGGTTACGATGCCTCGAGTACGGAGACCTGTACGATTTCGTCAACTTAGTGAGTTTGATAGGGGCCGTATAGTGGGACTTCGGGAAGCTGGACTTTCTTTTCGGGCAATTGCAGTTAGAGTGCAAAAAAGTGTAGACACTGTGGTTAGGTGTTGTCAGGCATGGCTTCGAGAAGGCCGTACGCAAAGAGCAAGGGGCACTGGACGCCGCCGTAGAACAACAGACCGTGAAGATCGCCGCCTAAGATTATTGGCCTTAAGGGACCGTTTCTCCACTACCAGGTCCATTGCAAATGAATGGTTTGCAGAACACGGAAGACCTATTGGCATGCGAAGTGTTTATCGACGAATGAGAAGTTTTGGCTTGTTTTCATACCGGCCACACTGGGTCCTCCCTTTAACTCGAGAACACCGACGTAATCGCCTTGAGTGGTGCAGACAACGGTCACTCTGGAATCAGAAATGGAACAGTATTGTCTTTAGTGACGAGTCTCGATTTTGTTTAGGCATGCACGATGGTCGCGCTAGGGTTAAAAGGCGACGTGGTGAAAGGAGGAATCCACAGTTTTTTGTTGAAAGACATGTTCATCACACTGTTGGAGTTATGGTTTGGGGTGATATAGCTTATGGTTCCAGGTGACCTTTAATCTTGATCAGAGGTAACATGAACGCGCAGCGTTATATCCACGAAGTTCTAGAACCCCATCTTTTACCCTATCTTGACATCCTGGCAGATCCAATTTTCCAACAAGATAATGCCCGACCACATGTTGCAAGAGTCACAATAGACTTCTTTCAACATAATGATGTCACATTGTTACCATGGCCACCAAGATCTCCCGACTTATCCCCAATTGAGCACGTGTGGGATATGATGGGTAGGAGATTGCTCAATTTGCAACGTCCTCCTCAGACTCTAGAAGCACTTCGAGAGGAGTTGGTGGTTGCCTGGAATGAGATACCACAGGAGGACATTGACCACCTGATCACAAGCATGCCTAGGCGCGTTGGAGAATGCGTAGCACATCAGGGTGCATCCACACATTATTAAAGGTCAAAGGGCTTTAAAGCAGTGCAATCATTTTGAAATCTTTATCATTTACTTATTATGCTTCATTAAGTACTAATACAAAATTTTATTAAAACAAAACCATTTAAACTGGATGTTCGGATTTATATGTCACTTAGTATATTTTTTCTTATAGCATTTTTTTTTCTGAAATTAGGTTTGCACTGATTTTATATAAGATTATATCAAAATTGGAATCGAATCGAGTGAGATTTTGTCTGAAAGAGTGCTTAACGAATGTTTTGATATTATTGGACCAAGAATATTAATCCCGATAAATTACTGCTTAAAATATGACTAATTTCAAACAAGTGTTGTACCATAACTCCTAGAAAGTTAAGAATTCTGAATTTTACGCCAATATGCGGCCAATAAATGTTCTGCCAGATGTTGAAAAAGTCTTTGAAGAGATTATCGGGGGAAATAGAATTTTAACCAAATTTCAAGCCAGATTCAGGAAGAAACACGCAACTGAAACGGCAATACAAATGGTTTCAGAGGACTGGAGGAGATGTATAGACAATAGGAAACATCACACATACAGTGACACTGTTTTTGAAAAAGGCGTTTGAAACTATTGACAGGGATAAATTATAAAATTCCATTACTCAGGATTTAAATGATATGTATTCAAAATTCTACAAAACTATTTAATTGACAGAAGTCAAAAAACCAAAATTGGATCTATATCATCAAGCTCAAAAAATATTTTCGTTGGTGTACCACAAGGTAGTAAACTAGGACCACTACCTTTTCTTTTATACATTAATGTCATGTGTGATATTTCAGATTATTGTAAAATTCAAATATTCGCAGATGATACATTAACATGCGTATCAGATGAAAATAGACATTGCTTTGAAGTTGTAAGTTCTGACTTGGCAAAAACAAACAAACATTGAATCAACTCTTTTGGTTCGCACTTTGAATTAGTAGAAAGATTTATATATTTAGCACATTTGGCTACATAAACAGAACAATTGTAAACAACTTAGAACTAGTAAATCCAAGCCATACGGTGTATGATGTAAATGCTGGGCAACCTATAATATTGTAGATTTAACAAGTGATTTCTCAATTTTACTTTAAATTTTGTCAAAGTTTTCTGGTCTTTTATCTCCGAGTATAATTTATTATATTCAATCAACCCTTGGTGGAATACAGATTTGTAGCATATGTTATACTTTTTGGTCATTAAATGGAAGTCATCTTTATTTCTGGTATTATGTAAATGATGGTCGACATTTGATGATGTTAAATTAGTTAGACTTGATGGAAATATATTATTTTTTACTTTATAAATGAATATCATTACAAGATATTTGATAAAAATTTTTACATTGAGCCATTTTAATTTGCTAAGCATTTGCCTAATTGGAGTATATTTATCTTTATTTAGTATTATTCTCATGCACTTATTTTGTAAAATTTGCAGTCTTTCAAAAATGGAATTATTTGCTAAATATAGAATAGTCGAACAATTGGTTTTGAACTCAGTGCAAAAGTATCGCAGAATTTGAAGGGACTCGTGCTATCGTTGTCAACATGCATGCAATCCTTTTTTACAGCTTGTTTCTTCATGGTTTTTTGTTTTTATGCGAAAATTCGTGTTTTATTGAGAGAGATGATAGCACGAGATAAGAAATCACAGATTTTACAATATTTTATTGGAGGCAAACTTCAGGATGAACTATGACAGTGTAACTGCTACTAAGTAACTGCTGTACTGTTGACAGTATACAGGGTGTCCGAAAAGTTGGGGTTTTCCTTTACACGACGTGTAGATCTTGAAAACATAAGCAATTTTTCTTAGTACCATATACAACAATTTATTAAGGGAACCGAGATAAAGGGCTCTGCAACATCAAAAATATCTGAATACCGTCCTGTAGCCGCGACTCGCGACATCCCCGAGTGGTACTAGGACACTAGCTCAACCCGACGACAGAACTGGGTCGGGGTCAGTGTCTCAGGTCAGTATGCAACCTTCAACCGACGGTTACGGTCACGCGTGTAGAGGTAAACAATCCGGTATAATCGATTGCGTTTCAAAAAACAACAAGCACTAGAGACGTGGCTAGAGAAGTGCAAGTATCAAAAACTAAAGTGTGACAAACGCTGCGTGAAGAGGGGCTTTATCCGTTTCACGTCCAACGTGTACAAGCCCTTCAACCTGACGATTTTCCAGCAAGAGTGCGGTTTTGAGAGTGGTTGTTGCATCAACATGACAATAATCCGGACTTTTTGAAGTGCATATTGGTGACAGACGAATCTACGTTCACGCGTAATGGGGTGAACAACTTTCGCAACACTCATGTTTGGTCAGTAGAAAATCCGCACGCTGTCCGTCGGGCACATTTTCAACAAACATTTTCGGTGAATGTTTGGGCTGGCATGGTGAACGGTATGCTCAGTGGACCATTTATTCTCCCAAATCGATCAGACGGGATGCAATACCTAGACTTTTTACGGAACATTTTGCCTTCCTTGTTAGAAGATGTGCCATTAAATGTAAGACAATCAATGTGGTTTCTGCGTCTGCTCGGTAGCGCATCAGCTGATTTCATTTTCTGTTGGAGCGGTATGATTTCGGGCAGAGACGTACTTAGCCCTTCTCGTCAACTGGAGAGTGAGTACTTTTTCCTTTATTTTTTTTTACTTGGTCGCCCTCGTTTCACTACACATTACCTTTGTTATTTCAAGGGTAGTTGTTTCTGAAAAGGAAAACCCCAACTTTGCGGACACCCTGTATAACTCGCCAAAATTTATTAACAAGTTAGAGTCTTACTTGATGGTGTCCAAGAAAAACAATTCTAATGACATAACTTTTGAACAGGTATAGTGATACCGTCAGAGCCCGAGACGTGGTGCGCGTGCAAAGAGTGCGCCCCCAGGAAAGACTGTTGCGGGAAACAGCCCCACAACGGCTACACGTACAGGATGGGCAACAAAATCAACGTGAACCCCGGCAATGCGGTATACGAGTGCAACAAGAAATGCAAGTGTTCCGAGGACTGCAGGAATCGAGTGGTGCAACAGGGCAGGAAGGTAAATAAACAGTATGTTACCGTAACTATTATGATTATTAGGAAATTGGAAGTACGTAGCGTTTTGCAAATAACTACTTTTATATCTACACATTTATTTTTATGAATTTTATGATCCCTAAATGTACCACCACCGCCCATTTCGCTGACCTTGATTTGTCTTACTCTGTCTACGAATTTTTCGTTAAGTTCAATCGTTTAGGTAGTCGTATATTATGGAAATCGATTCGGAGACGGCGGAAATAAAATCGATCGAACATAGTGTTACAATTTGTCTTTTCTCGAAGGTCCCCCTGTGCATCTTCCGAACGTCGAACGGTTGCGGTTGGGGCGTGAAGGCGATGCGGAAAATCTACTGCGGCGAATTCGTGTGCGAATACGTCGGCGAGATCATCACGCACGAAGAGGCGGAGGTACGAGGAAGGGCGTACGATCAAGAGGGTAGGACGTACCTGTTCGATTTGGACTATAACTCCAAGGACAATCCGTACACGGTGGACGCAGCGAAGTTTGGCAATATCTCGCATTTCATCAATCATTCGTGCGACCCGAATTTGGGAGTGTACGCGGTTTGGATCGATTGCTCCGATCCAAATTTGCCCAGGTGAGTTTCCTATTCAACTTACGCAGGTCAAATAATTTCTTTGTTTTCTCATAAATGATAAATGATAGTATGAAAAACATAATTGGCGTACAGTTGCTTTGTATTAGCGTTTTTTAATATTCTTAGGTTGGCCCTTTTCGCGTTGAGGGAAATCCAAAAGGACGAAGAAATCACTTTCGATTACATGATGAACATAGACCCGGAAGTGCCTACTACTCCAGAGAAACCGAGATTTCTGAAAACGCCGGACAAGAATCAGGTCATTCAAAACGGGAGAAATATCTGCAAGTGTGAAGCAGATGCATGCAGAAGATACTTATTTTAAGTAAACCAGTAAAGTGGCCTTAGTGTATGCAATAGCGTTTTAAAAAATGAAATTTTTAAGTAAAAGCTAATGCTGAAACTTTCTTTAGGAATTTTAGATGTTTTTAAAGTCGAAAATAGTTGCGAGAAACGTGCTTGTCTTGTTACATTTTTGGGAATTTTTGGAGGAACTTTTTCGACCTCTTTTACCTGATAAGCTTTATTGTCCTTGACACTACGGTTATGGTGGTTAGTATAATAGCAATATGTTGTTCAAAGTTAAAATAATTAAATACACATTCAAAAATGTATCTGTAAGTTATGCTAGTTAAATATATTTCAGGTAAATTTGTACTTATACAAATCCTGACACACCAATTTCAGTAACACAGAATTGTGTCCTATATTAAATTAAACTCAATAAGCTTTGAGTATCCTACACATATTGAACGTTGATTTTATTGAGTGGTATTGTAGATTTATAAATAAAATATATGAAACGATGATTCCGATTTTTTCGTACATTTATTTATAACTTCAAACTCCTTAAACCCCTTCACATTTCAATATTAAAATATTTAAAATGCACCTTACGTAAGAATGGACCAACGAAAAGATCGCACCATCTCCTAATATATTTTAGGAAAAACGCTGGGACATGTCAATTTTGATTTCTAGGGGGACGTGTTTTCATCTATAGCCGTACAATAGATTTTTAAATGAAAACTCCCATTTTATTTATTTAATTTTTAGATTTTCCATGAAGTTTTTAGTAATGTATATCTTGCAAGAAATTATTACATGAAACACGCCTTTTCACTGAGCAGGTGCAGTTTTGTGACCGGAAAACGCCCTAAATATTCAACATACAGAAAATTTAAAAGAATCGGCAACGGTGCTTAATTTACCGCGACGGCATCGAGTACACTACGAGTATCGGGAGTCAAAGCGTTTATTAGAGATGTGACAAAAATATAGAACCGGACTGACAGTGAGATAGGAATTCTCATCTCTATTCGAATCATTGGCGTATTAGAGAATTGGTAATCTCATCTCTATCAACTGTAGTTGACGGAGTGGGGTGAGGAAACATGGAAGAAGTAAAATGTACACAAATAAATTTTAGGAAGTTTTCGTGAAGAACTTCGCTCAAGATAGAGAAATTGGAATGGCAACTGGACGAGTTTCAGAAAAAAGTGAGTAGAATCATTTACACCAATTCAGATAATTCAAAGTCGGTTTTTGTTATGAATTTGTTGTACAAATTTATTTCTTTTCATTGTTCACGATCTTCTATAAGCAATATTGAAGGCTGAATATCAATGTTGGTACGTTTTAGGATAGCTGAGGCACCTTAGCATACATAGTTGTAAGATAAAATGGCAGCATCAACTGCCAGTATAGATGAATTTCTATCAGGCCCCCTTGTTAAATGGGTAAGTTGATTAGGTAACCTACATATACATTCCCACATTAAAAAAGAACCATTCATCGTCGGAAAATCGCTTAGAACGCCCCGGAAACTTTCATAGACCTAGATACTCTATAAAACTCATTATGTTTCTTAATCTTAATAGAACCGGCAACGTTGCTGAGTTTACCGCGACTACATCGATTATTAGAGATGTGACAAAAATATAGAACCGGACTGACAGTGAGATAGGAATTCTCATCTCTATTCGAATCATTGGCGTATTAGAGAATTGGTAATCTCATCTTTATCAACTTTAGTTGACGGAGTGGGGTAAGGAAACATGGAAGAAGTAAAATGTACACAAATAAATTTTAGGAAGTTTTCGTGAGAAACTTCGCTCAAGATAGAGAAATTGGAATGGCAACTGGACACATTTCAGAAAAAAGTGAGTAAAACCATTTACACCAATTCAGATAATTCAAAGTCGGTTTTAGTTATGAATTTGTTGTACAAATTTATTTCTTTTCATTGTTCACGATCTTCTATAAGCAATATTGAAGGCTGAATATCAATGTTGGTACGTTTTAGGACAGCTGAGGCACCTTAGGATACATAGTAGAAACGTGCTTGTCTTGTTACATTTTTGGGAATTTTTGGAGGAACTTTTTTGACCTCTTTTACCTGATAAGCTTTATAGTCCTTGACACTACGGTTATGGTGGTTAGTATAATAGCAATATGTTGTTCAAAGTTAAAATAATTAAATACACATTCAAAAATGTATCTGTAAGTTATGCTAGTTAAATATATTTCAGATAAATTTGTACTTATACAAATCCTGACACACCAATTTCAGTAACACAGAATTGTGTCCTATAGTAAATTAAACTCAATAAGCTTTGAGTATCCTACACATATTGAACGTTGATTTTATTGAGTGGTATTGTAGATTTATAAATAAAATATATGAAACGATGATTCCGATTTTTTCGTACATTTATTTATACCCTCAAACTCCTTAAACCCCTTCACATTTCAATATTAAAATATTTAAAATGCACCGTACGTAAGAATGGACCAACGAAAAGATCGCACTATTTGTGAATCTCTTGATATATTTTAGGAAAAACGCTGGGACATGTCAATTTTGATTTCTAGGGGGACGTGTTTTCATCTATAACCCTACAATAGATTTTTAAATGGAAACTAGCATTTTATTCAATTTTTAGATTTTCCATGAAGTTTTTAGTAATGTTTAGCTTATGAGATATCTTACAAGAAATTATTACATCAAAAATGCGTTGTCATTGATCAGGTGCAGTTTCGTGACCCGGAAAACGCCCTAAATCTTGAACATACAGAAAATTTAAAAGAATCGGCAACGGTGCTTAATTTACTGCGACTACATCGAGTACACTACGAATATCGGGAGTCCGAGCGCTTATTAGAGATGTAGTAGAAAGATTTATTTAGCACATTTGGCTACATAAACAGAACAATTGTAAACAACTCAGAACTAGTAAATTCAAGCCATATGGTGTATGATGTAAATGCTGGGCAACCTATAATTGTAGATTTAACAAGTGATTTCTCAATTTTACTTTAAATTTTGTCAAAGTTTTCTGGTCTTTTATCTTCGAGTATAATTTATTATATTCAATCAACCCTTGATGGAATACAGATTTGTAGCATATGTTATACTTTTTGGTCATTAAATGGAAGTTATCTTTATTTCTGGTATTATGTAAATGATGGTCGACATTTGATGATGTTAAATTAGTTAGACTTGATGGAAATATATTATTTTTTACTTTATAAATGAATATCATTACAAGATATTTGATAAAATTTTTTACATTGAGCCATTTTAATTTGCTAAGCATTTGCTTAATTGGAGTATATTTATCTTTATTTAGTATTATTCTCATGCACTTATTTTGTAAAATTTGCAGTCTCTCAAAAATGGAATTATTTGCTAAATATAGAATAGTCGAACAGTACAAGAAATTTGGAAGAATGATGGTATTATAGATAATTTTTCTGCTATATGAACTCAGACATCCAGAAACTCTCGATAAATATCCCACTTTACTACTAATCTTATTTATAACTTTTTCATAATGAATATCAAAAATTAATTGAGAGTCAACAAAAACTCCCAGGTATTTAAAATTTTCTACGAATTCAATATCTTCACCATCAATATTCAGTTGAGAGTTGAACATTTGTACATTGTTTTTTTCCGATTAACAAGGCTTTCGTTTTACTTGCATTTAATTTTAGTCTGTTAGATGCTAACCATTTTGAGACAAGCTTCAAGTCTTCATTTATATAAGAGATACCAGACTGAATATTTTTAGTACTTATATAAATCATAGTGTCATCATGTGACAAAAATATAGAACCGGACTGACAGTGAGATAGAAATTCTCATCTCTATTCGAATCATTGGCGTATTAGAGAATTGGTAATCTCATCTCTATCAACTATAGTTGACGGAGTGGGGTGAGGAAACATGGAAGAAGTAAAATGTACACAAATAAATTTTAGGAAGTTTTCGTGAGAAACTTCGCTCAAGATAGAGAAATTGGAATGGCAACTGGACACATTTCAGAAAAAAGTGAGTAAAATCATTTACACCAATTCAGATAATTCAAAGTCGGTTTTAGTTATGAATTTGTTGTACAAATTTATTTCTCTTCATTGTTCACGATCTTCTATAAGCAATATTGAAGGCTGAATATCAATGTTGGTACGTTTTAGGATAGCTGAGGCACCTTAGGATACATAGTTGTAAGATAAAATGGCAGCATCAACTGCCAGTATAGATGAATTTCTATCAGGCCCCCTTGTTAAATGGGTAAGTTGATTGGGTAACCTACATATACATTCCCACATTAAAAAAGAACCATTCATCGTCGGAAAATCGCTTAGAACGCCCCGGAAACTTTCATAGACCTAGATACTCTATAAAACTCATTATGTTTCTTACAATCACATGAAATAGCTTTTATAATGCCAATGTCTTTTACTCTACCATTCATTCATTTATATTCTATTTTCAACACCAAATCTTTATTTTAGGTTTAGAATTTAGCTTTAACATAAAATATTACACTATACTGTGAGGTCTAGGCATGTTTAGTCTCTAAAGAGAGATCTTGAAAGCAACAACGCTCTCTTATTGCTAACATTCCATACTGAGACTACCTGTCACTCTTTATTCTTATTAATATTGTGTTGTACAGCTTTCGACATGCGTGAAGAAACCAGAATCGCTCCAAGTATATGAGAATTTTCTGGATGGAACTCCTATCAATGAGGTCCTCCTACAAATTGACCCAGAACCATCTTATCAGGTTCCAAATGAAGGCAATAGTCAGAACCTCAGTCATATGGTGGCCAGAGTCAAGATATTCCATTGTATCATAAGGAATATCAAGTCCATTTATGAAGATGAGTTAGGACAGGTAATGTTGACCAAATAAAACATCATAATACAGGGTATGTGGTGCATTTCAATTTGGCAAACGGTGCACCAAATACCCTGTAAAATAGGAGGTTCATACAAAGTTAGCATCAGACAAACTTTGGCAGGGATCTTCAGAAAACAGTTTGAAGTTCGGCGAGTTACAAGAAAACTGAAACATACATTTTTGTTGTTTAGGTGATGGTGGCGTCTCCTGACTGCGTGACAATAGGCAAAACACCTGTGTCAGAGGCAGCTTTGGAACAGTTGAAACTCTTAATTTTGCTGCTGTTAGGATGCGCTGTACAGGGGCCCACCAAGGAGACATTTATCTTGAAGATCAAGCAGTTAGATGTCGACGATCAGCATGAAATTGTGGAGTGTATCAAAAAGGTAACACTAGAATTATATATATATATATATAATAAGTAGCAACGACCCTAATTTATTCTACTATGGCAGCACCCCTACTGATATATTTTGAATGGTTGACATAATATTTCCAACTTTTATTTTTTGACTTCTACCTACTAAAAATGATTTTGTAAAATGTTATTGCAGGTATATTGTGTTGTGAAAGTGTATTAACCTTTTTTCCGCTAGGTTACAGACGACCAAAACGTAGTCTTGACCTCAGACTGGACCGAACAGTCTCCAGAACGCCTGTACTCCCACGTGGTGACGCTGATATCGGAAAGAGAGAAGCTGTTGCAACGATGGGTGACAGAAATGAGTCAAGAGGCCGCTACAGTCGCTGCTCAAGACGCTGTCGCTGCGGCAAACGCGGCGAAAGCCAATGGGGTCGATTCGAATCATCTCGCTGTCGAATTGGCGGATTGGAAAGCAAAGTTGAGGAAGCTGAGGCAGGAATTGTGAGTGTGGTTCTGGTTCTGTTGATAAGCGATGTTATAACGTTGGTTTTTATATTCCTGAATGTCATCCATCTAGTATTTGAAAAAATCTTCTGTTCTTTTCTTTCAACAAACAAACAAACTTCATGTACCTGAGGATGGTCTAGATGGTCGAAACGTTGACTGAAACCTAAGAATTTCTATACTAAAAAGATGGTATTTTCGTATGAAGAGTGCAAACTTATTTATATTTACTTCCGCTAAATACTGATTTTTTTTTTTTAATTTATTTCAGAGAGGAAAAGACTGAAATCTTAACAGAGATGAAAGATGAGCTAGAACATGCAAATTGTCTAGTGTCAAAACTGAAAGTAGAAGTAAGTGAAGCATTCACCCTATATTTGTTTATTTATTTAACATGATTGCTACGATTACATTCTTTTAAAAAACTACGATAATTACATATAACATACAGAGATATTTAGAGAAACAAAATTCCTCTAAGAATTTTCACGGTCCATGAAATATTTCTTTAATTTTCTTTTGAGCATCTTCAAATTGCAAATAGAGTAGTAGTTTAATCAATATATACCTAAATATTTAATTGATTCAACATTCACAATTATTTCACCATTTATCCTAATTGTGATAGAATTTTCATTTAGGTATTTCCTTCGCGTGCATTTTGTTTAAGAAGCATAGAATTTTAGTTTATTTACATTTGACCAATTTATGATTTTTTCAAAGTCCGAATTTAGCATTTTTAAAGCAATGTCTATATTTTTATCTGATGTGTATATTAATATATCAGCTACAAATATCTGAATTTTACAATCTAAAATATCACAAGTGTCTTAAATGTATAAAATCAAATAGTAGTGGTCCTAGTTTACTACCTTGTGGTACACAGGGAACAGAGAATCGTTATTCTTACAGAAAAGCGGAAATTATGGGAGTAGATATAAAAAAAACTAAAAGGCCCAGTATTTTCGGGACTTTTAGAGTCAAATTCGGTTTCGATGTTAAAATTGCTAAATTAAATTAAATACATACTGTTAACAACAATTTTATTTAATACTTATACTATATTTTATTGCATATTTGAACCGAGCTTTTAAAACCAGAAGTTTGATATTATATAACATATTATTCCCATTTTAATTTGTTTAGATATTTTAGTGAAATGTCTAAATGATTGTCCTACTTTGACTGCTCACTGTTCCTCCATTTTTGAAGATATTTAGATAAATTTCAGACCACAAAAATCATCAATTTCAAGCTAATGTGAAAGAAATACTAGAAAATCTTTCTATTTATACAAGGTATCTCAAAACGCAAATTGTACCTTTCTGATATATCTCAAATGGAACACCCTGTATATTTCTACATCATTAAATAGCTTTCCTTGGTTAATTTTTTATATGAGGTTAAAAGAAATATATTCCACATTAAGACTTAAAATCAAATCGTCCATGACAATGCATTTTTTCCGCACAACACGACTCAACCGAAGACAGTAATTTATACTAAGTGACATATAAGTCCGAACACCCAGTTTAAATGGTTTTATTTTAATAAAATTTTGTATAAGTACTTAATGAAGCATAATAAGTAAATGATAAAAATTTCAAAATGATTGCACTGCTTTAAAGCCCTTTGACTTTTAATAATGTGTGGATGCACCCTGATGTGCTACGCATTCTCCAACGCGCCTAGGCATGCTTCTGATCAGGTGGTCAATGTCCTCCTGTGGTATCTCATTCCAGGCAACCACCAACTTCTCTCGAAGTGCTTCTAGAGTCTGAGGAGGACGTTGCAAATTGAGCAATCTCCTACCCATCATATCCCACACGTGCTCAATTGGGGATAAGTCGGGAGATCTTGGTGGCCATGGTAACAATGTGACATCATTATGTTGAAAGAAGCCTATTGTGACTCTTGCAACATGTGGTCGGGCATTATCTTGTTGGAAAGTTGGATCTGCCAGGGAGTCAAGATAGGGTAAAAGATGGGGTTCTAGAACTTCGTGGATATAACGCTGCGCGTTCATGTTACCTCTGATGAAGATTAAAAGTGACCTGGAACCATAAGCTATAGCACCCCAAACCATAACTCCAACAGTGTGATGAACATGTCTTTCAACAAAAAACTGTGGATTCCTCCTTTCACCACGTCGCCTTCTAACCCTAGCACGACCATCGTGCATGCCTAAACAAAATCTAGACTCGTCACTAAAGACAATACTGTTCCATTCCTGATCCCAGAGTGACCGTTGTCTGCACCACTCAAGGCGATTACGTCGGTGTTCTCGAGTTAAAGGGAGGACCCAGTGTGGCCGGTATGAAAACAAGCCAAAACTTCTCATACGTCGGTAAACACTTCGCATGCCAATAGGTCTTCCGTGTTCTGCAAACCATTCGTTTGCAATGGACCTGGTAGTGGAGAAACGGTTCCTTAAGGCCAATAATCTTAGGCGGCGATCTTCACGGTCTGTTGTTCTACGGCGGCGGCCAGTGCCCCTTGCTCTTTGCGTACGGCCTTCTCGAAGCCATGCCTGAAAACACCTAACCACAGTGTCTACACTTCTTTGCACTCTAACTGCAATTGCCCGAAAAGAAAGTCCAGCTTCCCGAAGTCCCACTATACGGCCCCTATCAAACTCACTAAGTTGACGAAATCGTACAGGTCTCCGTACTCTAGGCATCGTAACCGATCGTAAAGGATGTCAAGAACCAAAATCCGCCAACGTTGATTCTTTACTGCGGCTGAAATATTCATTTTTAGAGCGTTAGTGAATTAAAAAAAGCAGTATGAAAACCGGAATGTCCAACTGATAAGGCTGAACATTTTTTCACATGTTATTTACAGTAAGATAAATACATTCACCAACTTTTATTAAAATAAAACCATTTAAACTGGGTGTTCGGATTTATATGTCACTTAGTATATTATGGAACTATTTGGAATGATGATGATGTTTGATCCCATTTCCAGTATTTTTTCACAGCAACTTGGGTAAGAAGGTTGCCACAAAAACAGATTGTTGATATCTTTTTCCAGTTTGCCTATAAAACTACTTTCCATTTTCGTTGGGACACCATGTATAGAAAAGCACTACCAGTATAAATTATAGAATTGATACAAATAATCTAGCGATTATCTAAGCAAATTCAATAAAAGGAACGTAGTCCCCAGTCCCCTCAATGTAAAAAGATAATACGCTTGTATATATTTTTTGCCTTTGTTTTGTTTTCATTTTTGTTAGGAAATATTTATCTTCAGTCGTTAACTTACACTCAACCTGCTAACATCTATCTGGCAGAAATGTAATTATTTTTACCAACTAGTAAGTATTTCCGTATATTTTAATTCTACATTTCTATTTTTTTCTTTTTTCACGTGTTTTGTGGTGTAATTCATAATATTGCAAAAGTCAAATATTTACGGGCGATACAATAATATACAGGGTGTAAACGACATGATAGTCATTATTTAAATGGGTGATAAAGGGGGTTAAAATAAGCAAAAAGTTTCAAATAACATGGTGGTCAAAACGGCATTTTTTTAGAGAAAAGCAACGTTTTAGATTAGATTATAAAAATTAGTAAGATTGTGGTGATTGTGGTCGATATGAAGCACTTAAGTTGTAAACTAAAAAGCCATTTAGACTTTTGGACCATGGGTGTTTTGAACTTTTGACTTGTTTTGACGCCCCCTATTACCCATTTTAGTAATTACTACCATAATGTATTATTCAGATGTTCATGCTATATACAAAATAGAGAGAAGTGGTCAAAGAACTGATCTTTAAGGCACGCCTGAGGGAATCTGACGTTCAAATAATTTACTAGTCCAGTGTTTTTATAGAATATGTCCATCTGTATGGAGTTTTAAGCGTCTAAAAGCTAAAAGGCTACCCTTATTCCAGAACAGCGACCTTTTGGTGGAAGCCCGCCGCGCGAAAGTGTATCGCGACGAGATGGATTCGATGCGTGAGCGTTTGGAACGGATCGAACGTCTGGAAACGGAAGTGCAACGGTACAGAGAGCGATTGACGGACGCAGAGTTCTACAAAGTGCGCGTCGACGAGCTGAGAGAAGACAACCGAGTGCTGATGGAGACCAGAGAAATGCTGGAGGCGCAGTTGAGCAGGGCGAGATACAGGGCTGATCACGCGTTGCAGCTCGAAGCCGAATTGCTGGCCACGAAGCAGACTATCAACGATATAGCGCTGGTGAGCTTTTATTTAGAATTTCTAGGGGATGTGGTGTTACAGGATCGAGCCAATAATGCCGACAGTTACTTTGACCAAATTATGGTTAATATGAATTGTTGAATGTTGGAATTAGAACAATGTAAAATGATTTTCAAAATTTTAGATAACCAACAAAGTGTAATACAAACATTCTGATCACACATGATGTGCATCACCATGAAACAAGATCACGCAATAATTTGTACCAGATTAATACTAGGACTAATATAGGATTAAACAACCAAGTCACTGATGGAGTAAAAACTTATAATAACCTACCAAATAGTGTAAAAAATGTACATGTGTTCAGAAATTATGTAAAAACACCCAAAAGTTACAGTAGCTAAAATTCGCACTTTAAATATTGTTGTTGTCGAGGCCAGTGTCTTAACCACAAAAACAACAACCGCTATTAACTTTACTGTTACAAGTTAAAATATTATTTTAATTCCGTTTGTAGGAGCGAGACGCGGCTCGAGAACGCGTCCAAGAACTGCTGAGCGAAAACATCCAGCTTCAGCAGGTGACTAAATCGGCTCTGCAAGAGAGCAACGGCAACGTCCAGGCAGACCTAGACGAAAGCGCGGACGAGTCTAACAAAAATAACAACAGCCTATCGGAGCAGCTGACCAATAGCGCGCAAGCTAGAGCGCTCAGGCTTGAATTGGAGAATAAGAAATTACTCTCTATCATTGATTCGCTGAAAGAGGATAGCGTACATGAGAACAGTAACAGGATCCTCGAACTGGAGAAGGTTCGTTTCGTTGTATTAGTTGTTACTTTAATTTCAGCACTATCAGTATTATTGTTATGTATTTACAGGGCATTTCGGGGAAGAAGGAAGATTTGCAAGTTCTCTGCAGGCTTTTAGTCTCAAAATGAGTCGATTGGGCTTCTTGTAAAAGTGCTTCGTATGTCCGTGAGTGGACGTTAAAATTTTCTTTTTAAAGCACATTTTTTCAGATGCTTTTGGAACCGAGCACTTTTGCTTAGGAGTAAATCATGTCCAATTTTGAGTCTAAAATGTGTGTGTATGAAATATTGGGACACTCTGTACATTATACAGTTGTTAGTAATAAAAAAATAATAATTTCCCACAGAAACTTTTCCCCATATTCCTAAAAAAAGTTGTATTTCTGTTTGCCCCACCCAAACAACAGAATAAAAATTGCACAAAACTCATACTTACATACTTTATTATAGCATATTCAAAAAAGTTTATCCACATTTCTCCGCATTCGTTTTCAACATTATCCCTAAAATGTGCGATATTTTATTAATTCAACTTTGAAACCCTAAATCTTCTATGCCTTCTCTGCTTACAAAAACGTCTTCTTGTTCAGGAAAAGAAAAAGCTGCAGCTGAAATGCGAACAGCTGCAAGAAAACCGAGCTCGTTTGACCGAACAAGCCGAAGAACTGGAGAATCTGTTCAAGAACGCCATCCACGAAAACGGCAAACTTCAGGAAACTTTGGACATGCAAAAGGCGATGCACGACAGACAGACGGCGGAACTTCAGAATGAGAAAGGAAAAATCCAAGAGCTAGAGAATAACATGGAATTGCTGACCAAGGAGAAACAGAGATTGCAAGTGATGTGCGATACCATAAAAAATAGGGCTGATATGGCCGAGAAATCGTTACAACAGGTAATTGTTTGTTTGTTGAAACAAAATGTACCGGTACTTCAAATAACCAGTAGATAAAATGAACAGTAGTTCAAATGAACAGTAGTTCAAATGAATAGTAGTTCAAATGAATAGTAGTTCAAATGAATAGTAGTTCAAATGAATAGTAGTTCAAATGAATAGTAGTTCAAATGAATAGTAGTTCAAATGAATAGTAGTTCAAATGAATAGTAGTTCAAATGAATAGTAGTTCAAATGAATAGTAGTTCAAATGAATAGTAGTTCAAATGAATAGTAGTTCAAATGAATAGTAGTTCAAACGAATAGTAGTTCAAACGAATAGTAGTTCAAACGAATAGTAGTTCAAACGAATAGTAGTTCAAACGAATAGTAGTTCAAACGAATAGTAGTTCAAACGAATAGTAGTTCAAACGAATAGTAGTTCAAACGAATAGTAGTTCAAACGAATAGTAGTTCAAACGAATAGTAGTTCAAACGAATAGTAGTTCAAACGAATAGTAGTTCAAACGAATAGTAGTTCAAACGAATAGTAGTTCAAACGAATAGTAGTTCAAACGAATAGTAGTTCAAACGAATAGTAGTTCAAACGAATAGTAGTTCAAACGAACAGTAGTTCAAACGAACAGTAGTTCAAACGAACAGTAGTTCAAACGAACAGTAGTTCAAACGAACAGTAGTTCAAACGAACAGTAGTTCAAACGAACAGTAGTTCAAACGAACAGTAGTTCAAACGAACAGTAGTTCAAACGAACAGTAGTTCAAACGAACAGTAGTTCAAACGAACAGTAGTTCAAACGAATAGTAGTTCAAACGAATAGTAGTTCAAACGAATAGTAGTTCAAACGAATAGTAGTTCAAACGAATAGTAGTTCAAATTAACAGTAGTTCACATGTACCTGTAGTTTCGTTAGGTTTGTCCCACTTTTTTTTCGTTAGGTTTGTCGCACTTTTTCATTAAGTTTGTCCCACTTTTTCGTTAGGCGATACTTACTACACAGATGCATGTTGAAAGTGAGTAAGTATGTTTGTAAGTACAAAGAAAATCGAACATTTTTGTGTTGAATTATAAGGAATTCCAAGTATGTTTACGCAAAGTTTTGATTTCAGGTTACGGACCAGCTGGAAGCTTTGCATGTCCAAGCGGAAAAAGCAAAAGAACTGGAAAAACTCAACAACGAAGCTGAAAACAAGCTGGCGTTGTTAGAAAAGGAAGTAGCTACAGCTCAAAAGGAGGCGACCAAGTTGAAAGAAATGCTTGTGGTGAGAAAATCAATTTACACTAATGGAAAAAATTAAAGGGTCCAATAAATTTTTAGTGATTTGATGTGATGTATGTGGACATGTCTCAACATGCAGTAACATGCAGCCTCCTACGTCCGTTTGTTAAGTCATATTGCAAAACTTTTATAAGTACACTTTGTGAAAAAATGCTTGGAAGATTAAAGTGAAATTTCACGGGTTTATTGTGGATATACGAAGCTGTAAGAGTCACGCTAAACATTAGCCATTTTGACAATATTTGAAATTTAGCCCTTAGAAATAAACAATTGCAATTGTTTTCGTCTCACTATTTTTTATGACTTTTTGGAAGCTGTAGCCTTAAAAAGTTTTTGACTAAAAGATACACCAACCAGACATTTGAAGCTTTAAAATGCTTCTCATTTTAAAGAATCACTAAACAATGACGATTTTTATCTGACCCCTCATTTTTTCCGATCAGCGTAGAATTATTCTTGAAGTGTCCAATAATTCAACGTTCTATATCTAAATCATCTCACCGCTCTCGGCAAAATTTGGTAGATTTTTTCCTGTTTTCACCGCGTAGAATTTTACCTGCGTATTTTTTTTTAATGAACCTTCATTTCAGTCCAAAGAGGCCGCGCTGGACCGACAAGCCGAAACATGTTCGAAACAGGAAAAAGAAATACAGCGATTGCTGTCCGAAAACGAATCGGCTCGCGCGCAGTTGGAAAAGTTCCAAGAGTACGAACAGAAATCGCAAGAGTTGGTTTCTCAGGCGTCGGTGAACATCGAGACGATCGCCAACTTGCAAAAAGATCTCGTCAACGAGAAGGTGCGCAACGAGAAGTTGAAAAGCAGCCTGGAAAAATTGGGGATCACCGCCGAAATATTGGACGAGAGCGTCGAAGCGATCGTCGCGAAAATGATGGAAAACGCCGAGGTGTTAGGCAGCGTTTTGTCCATCGCTGACCAGCGGACTGGAGACGAACAGACCGAGTGTAAAAAGTGCGCGGAAGCGACGAAAGAATTGGTGAGTAGCTTTACAGATTATTACGTGCACTACATATAACACTCTCTCCTATCATTCCTGTTATCACAAGAAGTAGAATAGTAGTAGTAGAAAGATTTATTTAGCACATTTGGCTACATAAACAGAATAATTGTAAACAACTTAGAACTCGTAAATTCAAGCGATATGGTGTATGATGCAAATGCTGGGCAACCTATAATTGTAGATTTAACAAGTAATTTCTCAATTTTACTTTAAATTTTGTCAAAGTTTTCTGGTCTTTTATCTCCGAGTATAATTTATTATATTCAATCAACCCTTGATGGAATACAGATTTGTAGCATATGTTGTACTTTTTGGTCATTAAATGGAAGTCATCTTTATTTCTGGTATTATGTAAATGATGGTCGACATTTGATGATGTTAAATTAGTTAGACTTGATGGAAATATATTATTTTTTACTTTATAAATGAATATCATTACAAGATATTTGATAAAATTTTTTACATTGAGCCATTTTAATTTGCTAAGCATTTGCCTAATTGGAGTATATTTATCTTTATTTAGTATTATATTCTCATGCACTTATTTTGTAAAATTTGCAGTCTTTCAAAAATGGAATTATTTGCTAAATATAGAATAGTCGAACAGTACAAGAAATTTGGAAGAATGATGGTATTATAGATAATTTTTCTGCTATATGAACTCAGACATCCAGAAACTCTCGATAAATATCCCACTTTACTACTAATCTTATTTATAACTTTTTCATAATGAATATCAAAAATTAATCGAGAGTCAACAAAAATCCCCAGGTATTTAAAATTTTCTACGAATTCAATATCTTCACGATCAATATTCAGTTGCACATTTGTACATTGTTTTTTTCCGATTAACAAGGCTTTCGTTTTACTTGCATTCAATTTTAGTCTGTTAGATGCTAACTATTTTGAGACAAGCTTCAAGTCTTCATTTATATAAGAGATACCAGACTGAATATTTTTAGTACTTTGTAATCACCAAAGAATTTGTTTCGGTACCGTTTTCGAATTGAACTTGATTTACACAATCATGCGGCTTCGAGTCGATCAGTCTTTTTAAAGTCTTCCACATCTTTACACTGTCGCACTTGTTATTATCGATTTGTTCATCGTAGAATTTATTTAGAGATTCGGCTATTTCTTTTGCTTTGCATCGTATTAGCGTACTTGAAAAAAGTTTTGTCTCTATTGATAATCTCACCCTTTTTATCTATTTTAGATGATATGTAAAGAAAACGCATTAATACAACAAACCTATCAAAGGAATCCCCTTACGACCAGCTGCTATAAACCAGTCATAAAACAATTTTCCAATTTTGGTACCATCGCCCATCAAAAAGCTACTATTTTCATTCAAATTGCTGTTCGACGTACTTTTTTTTAGAAGGATTCCTTTATGTTTAATTATACCTGCAGCTTGTGTTTTTCCAATCATTAAAATGCTTGAACAAGTTCCTCTTACACTTAACTTCTCATTGTGAACTTCAATTTCAAGTAGGTCAAATCACCAGTAGGTCAAACGCCCAACAATAATCGTTATAAACAATGTACAAATGTGATAACTAATTCTATGCTTAATTTTTTAAAAGATAAATGCGGAAATAGAGAAGCATTGCGAGAAACTCTCCGCGGAAATAGCGAATCTCCAAGCGATGAACGAGTCTCTTCAAAACGAGAACGTCACTCTGACCGTGAGCGTTTCGACTCTGCAATCTCAAATCAACTCGTTGCAGACCCAACAGACCGCTTTGCAATTGGCTAATAGCCAACTAGTGGCCGAAAAGGACGAGGTAAGTTTCCGAAATTATATTTCCAACTTTTTTACATGTTTATTTTTTAGCTGATGAAAAAGCAGCAGATCCAAAATACGCAGCACGACACTCTGCTCTTGGACCAAATGACTTTGAGGTCGCTTCACGAACAGCTGAGTACCGAATACGAACAGGCGAAAAACGAACAGGAGAATCTCAAAAAGGTGTCGAGAGATTTGCGGTCGGAGATCAGGAACATGAAAGAGAAGAATAACTCTTTGCAGAGCAGAATAGCGAATTTGGAAATCGAAAAGGAGACATTGAAAAACGAAACGAAGAATTTGGCGCATTTGAAAGGGGAACACGTGAAACTAAAAGTTAGTAAATGTTTTTTCGTTTAGATTCGGGCGATCATTTGTTTTGTTATTTTTAGGACGATTTCCGAAATTTGTTCACCGCCAGCGATAGGATGAAACAAGAATACAAGGCTGTTCAGGAGGAATTGAAAAACCTCAAAATCGAGTCGAGGAATCTTAGATTGGGACAGACAGAAATGCAAGGGGAACTCAACTCTAGATCGGACAGAATGGCGGGGCTTCAGTTGGAAAATGCAAAGCTACAGCAAAAATGTGATGTAAGTAATAAACTCAGCAGTGAAATTTGAAGTAAAAGCAGGGTGTGATCTCCATAGTTGCAGATGTCCCATTGCCGAATCACTGGTCAACAAAATTTTAACTTTGTCCTGCCACACGGACTGTTTTGATATTTTTTACTTTAATTGGTGATTGTAAGAAAAAATAAACAGTTAAAAAAAATTTGCTAGACAAGGATTTTATTCTATTGAGTAATTTAAAATATTAAGAAAAAACACAGATCTCGTAAATCAAAAGTTTTTTTTTATAAATGACTTAATAATCTAAGATTTTCTTGAATATTTAGCTTCTGGTCCATTGTCCAGCAGTAATCTGCTAACATATTTGGGCTCCATTTGCCCTGGTACCGCTTTTCCATATTAGAAATGTCCTGATGGAACCTCTCACCGTGCTCGTCGCTGACAGCCCCTAAATTGTCAGGAAAAAAATCCAGGTGCGAGTCTAAAAAATGGATCTTAAGTGACATGTTGCAACCCAATGCTTGATATGACAATAATAGCTCGCTAACCAACTCTCTGTAGCTGTCACTCTTGGGGTTACCCAAAAAATTTGAAACAACATTTTTAAAAGCCTTCCATGCAGATGTTTCTAAATCGCTTAATTTTTCTTCAAATCTTGAATCTTTTATTAACTCTCTAATTTGAGGGCCAACAAAAATACCCTCTTTTATCTTTGCATCACTTATTTTACGGAATTTTTCTTTTAGATACAAAAATCCACTCCCATTGCGATCCATTGCCTTCACAAAATTTTGTATTAATCCTAATTTGATATGCAATGGTGGTAGAAGCACATTATTTGGCTGTACAAGGGTAAAATACTTTACGTTTTTTGCCCAGGAACTAACGATGCACGCGTAGGCCATGTTTTTTTTATATAGTGATTAGTTCTGTCTCGGCTATCCCATTCACATAAAAAGCAGCAAAACTTTGTATAACCCAGCTGAAGTCCAAGTAATAGTGCAACAACTTTAAGATCACCGCAGATTTTGAAGGAATATGTACTGTAATTTATTTTTTCAAGTAAAAGTTTCATATTTTCATAGGTTTCTTTCATATTTGCAGCATGGGCCAGAGGTACAGACGGAAGCTTATTTCCATTATGCAATAACACTGCTTTTAGACTTGCTTTCGAAGAATCAATGAATAAACGCCACTGAGAGAGATCAAAATCTATGTCCAACATTTTCATAATCTCATTTATGTTATTGCAAAACACCAAATCTCAATCCTGAGAAAAATACGTTCTGAAGTGTTGATCACGGTTTCGAAAATAGCTAACTTTTGTATTATGATGTAGCAAATTCCATTCTTTTAGACGTGATCCTAATAGTTCTGACTGCTTTTTTGACAAATTTAAATCCCGAACCAAATCATTTAGGTCTCCTTGAGTTATCAAATGTGGCTCGTTTACAATTCCTTTTAACTCAAAGTCATCGTCCTCGTCAACACATTCACCTGAAGTGGACGGTTGTGAATTGTTCTCAACAGACGTAGTTGCAACTGGTATTAGTTCTGGCAATTTTTTACAATGAGAGACTGGTCTTATAGCCGAAGATAAGTTAGGGTAAATAACTGTGGTTTTTTTCTTGTAATTTATACCTTTTATGTCTGTGAGACAAAAATAGCAATCTGAAACGTGATCTCGCTGTTCAGTCCATATCATGGGTACAGCAAACGGCATAGGTCGTGCACCTTTCTTCCAGTCAGTTAAATTTTTCACACACGTTATGCAACAGACATGAGGGGCCCAGGATTTGTCTTGATGGGCGACAGAAAAACCAAAACATTGGTGATAACACTCCAACACAAGATTCGTAAAATTTCGTCGTTGTTTTTTGAATGTTAGTTCTCCGCAGACATAACAAAAAGAGTTAGGATCATTATTACACTTCCTCGACATATTCACAGGGTTAATAAATCACAAAAAAGTGTTCAAATTCAACAACAAATATTTTTATAAGGATTTACTTGTAAGCGTTTCTGTTAATTTACTGCCGTAGTACTAGTTATGAGTATTACCGTATCACAACAAATATGAGGCTAATAGACATATGACAGCTGTCATGTAATAATGAGGGTAGACTGATAAAACAAAATTAGCTGTCAAAGTTCGTGTGGCAAAACCAGTGTTATCGATACCAGCAAAGTGGAACTTTACAGGCGGTCTTTAACATTTATTTATATAATTGAATCAGTTAAAAATAAGTACAGCAGACGCTCGATAACGTAAACACGGGATAATGAAAACTTGCGCTAATGTAAACACAAACTTCGTTCTATAGGATCAAACGGAACGCGCGATAACGTAAACAATGTGTACGCTCGATAACGTAAACAACTCTCGGCGCACGGAAACAGCGCGACGGTGAAATGCTGAAGCCTCGATGATTTATGTCGGGCGTACGGGGAGTCCCCGATTTATCATGTAGAGTGTAGGGGATTCACCTCTGCGATAAAATACGACAAACTCGGTCAGTCGTATGATCGTTTAGGATACGTTTATACGTACGTATGTATTTCATTTTTGAACTTAAGTGAATACATTGCACGCGTTAATATATTTTACGACTATGGCATCCACATCCTATAAAAGAAAGTGTTTAAAGTTGAGTGAGAAAGTGAAAATCATAGACGAAGTTGCACTAGTGTGACACAGTTAGCAAAAAATATGGAGTATCGAAAGCAACAATCTGTAAAATTAAGCGTATGAAAACTCAAATTTTACAAAGAACGTGCAATACATTTGGAAGGTCCGGGAAAAAGAAAAACTTAAAAAAAAGCGAAGGAACCTAAAATGGAAAATTCCCTGTATAAGTGGTTTTTAAATCAACGGGAAAATCATGTTCCAGTTAGTAGGCGAAGTACTTAAACAGAGAGCGAGACTGTTAAATGACAAACTGAAAGAAACTGAAAATTTCGTAGCTAGTGATGGCTGGCTACAACGATTCAAAACAAGATATGGAATTCGACTGCTGTCTATATCTGGTGAAAAATTATCAGCACAACCACAATTAGTGCAACCATTCAAAGAGAAATTGATGAAAACAATTACCGAGCTAGATTTAAGAATGGAACAAATTTACAACGCAGATGAAAGTGGCCTTTATTGGAAAATGTTACCAGAGAAAACCTATGCTGCATCATTTGAAAAATCTGCCCCGGGAAGAAAGTCGGAGAAACAACGAATAACGATTTCTAGTCCTGCACTAATGCTAATGGTTCACACAAAATAAAGCCACTGGTAATTGGGAAAGCAAAAATTCCGCGCTCATTTAAAAATGTTAATATCCCTGTTGATTATGACTGTTCAAAAACCGCTTGGATGACTAGCAGTATATTCCTGAAACTGGTTCTACAGGTGCATTGTCCCTCAGGTATGACAATCAATTATCACAAATGCTCTATTCATAATTTGAAGATGTGTTTTCAATTTGTAGGTAAAAGGTTTCCTAAAACAACAGAAGCTTCCAATAAAAGCGTTGTTACTATTGGATAATGCACCAAGTCATCCTCCCGAGCAACAACTGAGGAGCAGGGATGGGTCAATTTTCGTCATGTACATGCCGCCCAACGTAACACCGTTAATTCAACCGATGGACCAGAATATAATAAGACTCACCAAACTATACTATAGGAAGTTTCTACTTTCGTCTGTCTTATCAAAGAATCCTGAAAACTTATCTGAGGCTTTAAAAAAAGTAACATTACGAGAAGCTGTTTTACATTTACATATGGCCTGGAATGAACTTAACCAGCAAATCTATTCAAAAATGTTGGAACAATCTCTTTTGTACCAATAATGAAGATGATGAAGACGACGATGTCCCCTTAAGCGTAATTAGAGAACGTTTGCGATCCAATAATGATAATGTTATTAGTGTGTCATTGGATGTTGTTGATTTATTGAAAACATTGTTGACTCCTGCTGATATTAATTTATGGAACGAAGATAAGCAGACGAATGATGCTGATAAGGAGGAGGATATGGACAGTGAGGATGATGAGAACGATCCCATTGAAGTCAGAAGTGTAGTGACTGACGCGCAAGCTATACAAGTTTTTAACCAAGCTTTAGATTGGGCTGAAAGAAAAGAAGTTTCATACACGGATATTTTAGTTCTTCGTAAATTACGGGCGCAGGCATTGGAAGACAATGCTAAGCGCAAATTTACGCAGACAAAAATTGTTAATTATTTTTCTTCTAATTAAAAAAATACTTACGCTGTTAGAATATTTGTTTGTTATAAATAGTATGTATTAAACGTTTCTTTTAATAAATCAAATATTATATAAATCACGTTCGCTAATGTAAACATTTCGATAATGTGAACCACACTTGGATTAAATTAGTTTACATTATCGAGCGTCTGCTGTAGTTTCACTAACACAGTGATTTTCCAAGTTTACATATGTTATTTGTATATTAATGATGATAAACGACTTTATTGGGGAGCTTAGCTAAGATATTCTTAATCTCAACCGTACTAAACTAAAGCTTAATACTAATTTGACATACAAATATGATCTTCTTACGACTACGAATTGTATCTCTATGAAACTTTAAACATAAAGAAAAAAAATAGAATGGTAATAGATCACATGGTTTAGAACCAAAGGACATTTATTTATTTGAGCTTGATTAGTATCAGGAACATGTTTAGAAACAAAATGTCTTTTTGATACAGTTTTTGCCAATTCTGACTGTTATTAATACGATTCTCTTTTTCAGATGCTTTTCGAGATGAACCATTCATTAAGATTCTGATAGAAGAGCCCTTATGGATCATGTTTCTCAGCTACTATCGCAATTACCATTCGCTTTTAACTCATTCTTTGGAAGACAAGCAACACTACCACATCGAAGAGAAATTGTACACTGATAAATTGAATAACTTGTGCAGGCAGAAAGAAAAGCTCGAGGAGAAAATTATGGAACATTATAGGAAGTTGGATAACGCTTCATCCAAAAAGTGAGTCTTTAAGTCCTATTTTGGCTTCTTTTGAAAATTTGCTTGATCTAGCGGTCGCCAAAAAACGCTTGATTTGGTAGAATTTGGAATCGGAAAATGTTTGTCAAGAAAACAGACCGTTCAAAAATACAGTTTTTTAAACCTAAAATTTCTAATTTCAGAAAGGGATTCGGAGCAACTTTGGTGCGGCGAGTCAGAAAGGCGGGATCGGATATAATAAACAAAGTGCCAAGCAGGGTAAGTTTCGTTTTTGTTTTATTTTAGAACTTTGTATTAAAAACACCAAAAATCTTTTGGTGACAGGATATCCAAAAGAATTTTCTCATTTTCGACCTATAAGTATTCTACCTACCTTTTCGAGAATATTGGAAAAAAATCGTAGCTTTCCAAGTTCAAACATTTATTACATCTAATAATACACTTCTTACTACACAATCGGGCTTTCGCTCTGGCCATAGTACTACAACCGCACTTAATAATAATAATAATAGACGTCTTTATTTATCCACAATTACATTGTAGTATAGCCAAATTTCAGACTTACATGGCGAAGTTTTGCATGCTGCTACTCTTACACTTAACCGTATAGTCTCTAGCAGATGTTCAAAAGGATACACTATCCACAAACAGATTTGGTTCATTACATCGAAAGTAAAATTTAAAAAAAGAGAAAAAGGCATACTTTCCAAACCCAAATGCACCGAAAAATTATTAATCTGAATTAAAGATGGAATAAAAAAGAAATAATAATATAATAATAATATTTATTCACTCAATGTACAAAGATAACAAACAATATGAGTAAATAAATATAAAATCAAAACAGGCCAAATAGAAGGCATCGCCTGTACATGGACCAATAAATTTAAGTTGAAACTGTAGAATGCAAATGACAAAAAAGGACAAAAATTAGCTACAGTAGATTATGTATTTAGTTGATGTTCGTATTTATGAGTTTATGAATTTCAGTCCTAGATATAGAATGTAGCCACTTTTTTAAATTTCTTTTGAAACAATTTCCGGAACGTAAATCTTTTAAGTCTTTAGGTATAATTTCATAAAATTTAGGCGCTAAATAGAGATATGATCGCTGCATTATAGATTTATGCGGTTGAGGAACTACTGTGCCACGAATTTTGTACCTGGTATAATGATTATGTTTAATTTTTTGGTCGGTGTTTACAAATTTATGGTAGTGAGTGATACTGTGTAAGAAATAAAGCTGTCTTATATCATACATTCGAACATCTGCGTATAATTTTTCAGTGGGATAAAGTTTCGGTTTTTTAAATATCATTTTTAGAATACTTTTTTGAAAAACATCTAAATTATAGATATGTGAGGAACATGCAGCTCCCCATGCTAATATACCATATGTGAGATGAGGCTCAATCAGTGCATGGTATAATGTTCGAAGATATTTTTCTGTCAATATATTCCCAAGGTATTTAATTTTGTAGGATACAAATCTAACTTTTTTAAAATATAATTGACATGGATGTCCCATCGTAAGTGAGGATCCAAGACCACTCCAAGGTATTTTATGTTGGGCACTCTATTAATTTGCATTTTTTGATCATTAATATTGAAGGAGAAATTTGTGTAATTTGGCAGATGTCTAGCATAAGATCCAAATGGTAAAAAATGTGTTTTAGAGTAGTTAATGCTTAATTTTCTACTGTTAAACCACCGAATAATTTTGATAAAATCATTTTCAATTACATTTTTCAGATCAGACCAGTCAGTGCCTTCATATAATATTGCAGTATCATCTGCAAAACTAGTTATTTTGCCAACACAATTAATTTGGAAAATATCATTTAAATATATATTGAATAACAGCGGACCTAAGACAGTTCCTTGTGGGACACCACACTTAATATACATTTCTTTACTAAATGATCCTGATATCTGCACAGATTGTGGGCGATTTGACAAATAACTTTCGATCAGTGAGTACGCGTTTCCTCTGAAACCAATTCTCTCCAATGCTTCTAATAATAATTTGTGATTAACTGTGTCGAAAGCTTTCTTTAAATCAACAAAAATGCAGATTGAAGGGATTCTGTTATCAATATTTTGATGTATTTGATTTACAATTTTAGTTATTGCGTCCGATGTAGCCTTCCCTTCTGTAAATCCATATTGATTTTCACTTAAAATTTTGAATTTTGTGAGGTATCGAATCATTCTAGTAGATAAAACTTTTTCAAAAACCTTTGCTACACTGGATATTATTGATATTGGTCTATAGTTGTTAACATCTGTTTTTGTTCCTGATTTATGTATCGGTATTATATTACCTTTTTTTAAAATTGAGGGATATATGCCAGATTCAAAGCATTTGTTGATTAGGTAAGTGAGTGGTTCTGTTATGTCCTCAGCTATAATTTTCAAATGCTCGCTTTTAATACCATCGAACCCAGGACTTTTCCGATTTTTTAAGGACATAACAGTGGTGTATACTTCACATTGCTCGACTTTATCCAAAATAAATGAGTTCAAAGTTCTTTTTGGAGGCTGAGTATTTTGTACATTTGCTTGTATATTACTTGCTAAATTTTCGCCTATGTCAGTAAAGAATTGTACAAATTCATCGCATATCTGTTGAGTATTTTTTAATACTGTTCCCGATGTTGTATTTAACTCAGTGACACACTCTTTAACTTTTGTTTTCCCAGTAATCTCATCAATAGTTGTCCAAAGCCGCTTAGGATCACTTAAGTTATTATTCAATTTATTTAGGTAATGTTTTCGTTTGGTTTGCCTTACAAGCTCTATAAATTTATTTTTATATTGGTTGTAGCAGTCGGTATTCTCTGTAGTTGGCGTTAGTTTCATTACATTATATAGTCTTTCTTTTTCTATTGCCGATGTTATTAATCCTTTGGTAATCCAGGCATTTCTGCTTTTCTCTTTGTGACTAATTATTACTTTATTGGTACTAATATCTATTAGGTTTTTTATTTTCTCTATGAACAGTCCCGTTGCTTTGTCTATATTATTTATAGAGTATATATATAAAAATGAATGATTACATAAATTATATGTTTGGAGGGTTGAGCAATAATGTTTTAACTTTTTGTCGAAAGACAGGTAATGAAAATTCTTTATATACTTTAGGAAGGTCATTATAAATAATAGCAACATTGTAAGAAAAACTGCGTTTAAAAAGTGTAGACGTATGCAGGGGTATTCTAATATTATTTTCTCTGAGAGTTCTACAGTGAACATCATTATTAAATGAAATTTTTTTCTTCAAGTAATAACGTTTAGACGTAAGCAGCAATTTGTTAACAAAAACTGAATAGTGATACTTGACCATGTCATTAATTTTTAACCAGTTTAGAACGGGATATTTCGCTGATACATGATCAAATTTACGTAAGCCAAAAATGAATCGTATACAATTGTTTTGAATAACTTGAATAACGTTTTTAGTGAAATTGTCTAAACAAGTATAGTATACGATATTACAATAATTTAGTATAGATATGACCAATGCTTCACATAGTTTTTTACGCATCTTAAAATTTAGTAAATACCTGTTTGCTATAAGAGTGCGCAGCCGTAGGTAGGTTTTCTGAGATAGACTTTTAACATGTTCAATAAACCTTAATTTTCGTATCAAAAACAACACCAAGATTTTTTCAGAATCAGAAAATTGCAAGATTTGGTTATTTATCTGAATGTTCAAGAGCTGTGTTACATTGTATGTTTTTCTTTGTGCGCAAAATAATAACATTTTAGATTTTTGTGGATTAATAAGTAGATTGTGATCTAAAGAGTATTTAATTAATTTATTAACATCGTTTTGTAAATTTGAGTATTATTGACATTATCTGGGTTAAAATAATGAAGCAATTGCGTATCGTCTGCAAATGACTGAATCAGTCCAGAAAAGATGGAATGCAATGAAGATTCCAACTTTTCTGCACAATCACAGAAAGGGGGTTACAATTAGCTTCCGGTAGCTCAGTCGGTGGCATGAAGACATCTACAGGCGTGTAGCTATATGTCGACCATGGCATGGCTAGAGGATAGAAGAACAAACAGAACACAAAAATTTAACAGATTTATTTAACAAAAAAAAAGGCATTTTCATTACATTACAATTTTACAAAAATAACAAAATAAGTTTTACATCTTTGGCGCTGCTATAACGCTATCGACTTATCTTTCGCTGCTCCATTTTTACTCGACTGAAGCCAGGATGGCCAGGGGTTTGAAGGGGAGGTCCCAGTTATGAGGGGTGACCTCCATATAGTGGCTTCACAACCAGTTGTAGGCGAAGTTAAAGGCGATGGCGCTGCCAAGGTACATGCATCGGTGAAAATATTGGCCAAGGCTAGGCAAAGTGAAATGGAAAGAGAAAGGGGGTGGCCCCAATCATGACATGAGAATATCAATACTTTTGATTAAGTCGAACGTATATATGAGGAACAGAAGCGGCCCCAATACAGAGCCCTGAGGTACGCCTGACGGAATTATTGTCACTTGAGACATTTCTTGATTGAGAAAAACACACTGAGTTCTTTGATGAAGGTAACTGTCGAAAAATGAAAGGGATACACTGTCAAGACCTATGTAATTTAATTTAGCAAGTAAAAAGGCTTTCGAATAGTCTATAGAGATTAAGGCTAGTGCCATTTTCTTATCTAAGGCACTTAAAATATTGTCTTGCAGATTAAGTAGGGCAGATGTTGTACTATAATTTTTTCTAAATCCGGATTGAGTGTCGGGAAGTATAAAGAATTTTTCTAGGTAAGCGGTCAATTGGAACTTTATAATTTTTTCTAAAATTTTGGATAAAATTGGTAATAAACTGATAGGTCTGAGATCATTATACTCAGTGGGTTTAATTTTTTTAGGAATTGGAATAATTGGGCTTGTTTCCATGTGTTTGGAAAGTAGCCTTTTTCCAACAGTCGTTAAAGATGTGGACGATGTGATGGAGAATAACTGGCAGGCAAAGCTGGATCATTGACAGGGATATACCATCAATTCCTTTCGCATCAGATTTTAGGCTCCCTATTGCCTGCAATACGTCATTTGAACTAATCTTATTTAATGAAAAAATATATTCAGAGCTTAATTTATTTTTGAAATAGTTTTCGCAAACTAGTGAATCAACAGATTTGCAGCTATAAACAGACATAAATAATCATTAATTTTGGTAGGGTCAAAACTTGAAGGAAGGATTGGTTTACTACGAAAATGTATATCAAGTTGTGAGAGGCTTCCGTTACGATTTGAGTGAACCCCATCAGCTCAAAACTCAGTGAGAATATATTGTTATTAAAACAATATCACGATGTTATGATGAATAACGAGAGGCTGGGTAGAAACCATTTAAAATCTGCACATTGTTGTATGTTTTCAGAGGGTGGTCGGTACAAACACCTACTAACAGTTCACACTTACCTGCAACCAATTTAACCCAAATGCTTTCGAAAAAAAATCACCAAAATTTGTATGAATATCTACCTTTTCAGCATGTAAATTTGATTTAACATAGATTCACTCCCCACCACGAGATTCTCTATCACAACGGAAGAAACAATAGTTGCTAATATTAACCACATCATCTGTAATATTTTCATTTAGCCACGTCTCTGTAACAGCGAATACATAAAATTTTCTAATGCTATTTAATTGCAACCTTTACAGAGACTTATTCAGAGCATGTGACTTTAAGATGTATAGTTGCTTGATTTTGCTCGATTTCAATAAATCTTTTGATTCATTCTTATGCTCAAAACTTAAATCTCTGGGACTAAGCAATATGCGATAGATTTCTTTAATAGCTACCTGTAATTTAATGGGCAAGTATCCAGTTTTCGCGGTATAAACCAATCTTTGGAATTCCCTGTATATAGTTGTACGATGAGGACAATCATTATTAAAAAAAGCGTCATTTCTTCTTAGCACTAGTCTGTGCTTAAACCACGCGTAAAGTTATGCCTTATCTCACTGCGTGACCACGATGCCACTGTCCGCACTTTACAATGTCAATACGAATGAACAACTAAATCAACAGACGTGTTGCTGGCAGCTACTATGCACTCATGGACATGTCTCAAATGCAGCCTCCTGCAAAACTATTATTTACAGTACCCTTTGTATTTCTACCGTACTTTTTTAGCAGAACCGCCGTTCCTGGCACGAAGACGCAGTCTCTCAAATGAGCCACTCCCAACTGACGCTGTTACGAGACAGAAACATCCCTAACGCCCCCGGTTCCGGTGCGGACTCGAACTCTGACAACAGCGACAACACGGAAGACCAATCACCGCCGTCTATAAGCATGGTCGGCGGCGGGCCTTCCCCGTCTCCTTCCTCCCCCCACCACTCGCCTTTCCGAAGCAGAAACGCCCCTAGCGGGGGGAGCTTACACGGGATCAAGCCGAGAGATGAAGTTGCTTTGTTACGGAGGACGGGGTTGAGGGATACTTTGCCGCATAGGAACAGCATAGCTGGGGATCAGGTAAGGCTGTTTCGTGTTTGTTGAAGATTTATTTAGCGTTAATGCTGCAAAGTTATTTTTGTATAATGAATTGTTTACGCGTTTTTTTTAATCAATTTTCTGTAATTTTACAGTCTCGGCTATTAAAATTACATTACTAGGCATTTTGAGTGATTTTTTAATTTCACCTTAAACATTTACAAATTCGAAAACTGTTTAATATAAATAAAATAAGTGTTCATTCTTTCTGCTGCAACTATTGACTCGCACTGTTAAACGTGGGCGTCGCTTCAAGTCATTTTGCTCATAGCTCCCCTGCTATCGTTGCAAGCTTACAATTTTCTCGTTCAAGAACGTACATTCTTCTTTTCTCAGGTATTGGCTCATCATCGCGGTGCATCCGGCGACCTGTCCGGGCTAGGCTCCGTAGGGTCGCGTCGCACGGTGTACCTGTCTGAAGACGACGCCGTAGCTGCACCACCTTCCATCCCGGCACCCGGTGATCCCGTTGACGCTGCGCTAGAGGAACCCGCACCGGAATCCCAGATGCAACAGCCGCCGCTTTTAGTATACAATCGAGTTTCCACGACCATTGGGCAGATACAGGATCCGCAGTCGCAAAGGAAGGACGAGGAACAACAGGAGAAAGAAACTGGTAAGGATTTTTTTATGCTCAGATATGCAGGGAGGCCCAACGAAAAGGTCGCACACGTCGATGGTGATTTCTAGGGAGACGTCTTTTCATCTATAGCCGTACAATACAGGGTGATCCAATAATAAGATTTTGGATTTTTAAATTTTAGTGTAAAATACATCATTTACTGTGTGTTAAAACAGCTATATCTAATTGGCTTTTAAATGAACTTAATTTTATTTTCAACAGTTGAAGAGAAGAAACCGACCAGTGGCAAGAAGGAGACGACCATTTGGTATGAGTATGGTTGCGTCTAAGAGTCATCTGGATATGATGAATGTTATGATAATTTGAATCTATCTGGAATGACTTATGATTCACGTGAAAAGTTGGAGATGTTTCAATGTCCAGATATATAGTTTTTTTGATATTGTACAGACCAGAAACTTTTCAACAGCTATGAGTATATGGCTAATGCACAGTAATTTTCAAGAGAGCTTTGTGATATTTTTAAAAGTTTAGCGAAATTAGAGCTTTGATTGTCTGTTTTCTAAAAGGAATGTTGCAATATTACATAATCTTTAATAAGCAATTGAAAAATATAGAAAGCACTTGGTGATAATACAACGACTTACAAAAGTATTACCTGAATATGTAAATGCCATATATGTTTTCAAAATTGTTTTTAAATGTTCCTCAGATCAGTTTGTTTTATTCTTGTCTTTATGACTCAATCTCTGTTACAATTGTAACTTTCAGTATTTTATAAATCATTAATTAAATTAGCACCAGTGTTATTAGTAATTTTGGGGCCTTAGTACTTGTAATTTTGAGATCAGTATTTTTGAATTCTAGACTGTTATTTCCTGATTACACAATCTACCAATAGCTTGAGGTTACCTAGTAGATGGTTTTTAATTTAGACGTGAACAAGTTTCCAGGGTCATTTGGCCAATTTTTTTTAATCAGCACCCACTTTTTTAACTAGGATTTACGTATTTATTTGATTTGTTAATATAGAGTAGAGCACTAACTATGTTTTATATTACATCCAACTTGTATGCCTTATTATTAGCAAGTTGTGGGTCTATTTATACAGAAATGTATATTTTGTACTTTTTTATGCTTCACTATGAAATTTTATTATATAAATTGGTTTTAAAGTATTACTGGGCTTTTTATTTCAATCCTAAGAAATTTTTCAACCATGAAATTACTGTAAAAAGACTAGCGAGTTTTCGTAACAAGAAATTGAACGTTTGGTTCTGCCACCGTCTCATAGATGGCGCGAGTATCTTCAATGCCCTTTTTTGGCACCTCTGTATTGCCTATTTTGCGTATCTTCAGGCATTGATTGACATATCGACGATCTCAAATCAATACTTTGTAAGTCCGAAGATTTGGTAGTTCCAATGGATCGCTATTCAGAATTTTGGAGCTATAAATGTTCAGGAATCAAAAGAATACAGCTGGCAACACTGTTCGAGCATCATACGTACATCGAGTATCCGGAATTCCTTGGCTCTTTCGGTCTGTCATGAATCATTAAACGTCAAATTCACGCAAAATGTAAACAATGTCCGATTTACCAAAATTATTTATTAATTTGAAACCTTGACAATGGAATTTATCAATTCCACACCGCTAGGAACATGTTTTGCCTATAAAATTATTTCATATATTAGTCCACATCCCAATCAAATAATTTGATGAAAATGTGTTTGGATATGATGTTTATTTTATTGACGGTAAACTGCAAACACGCTATATGTGTATATATTTCATCGAATTATTTAATTCGTAGTGTTTCGTATCTGTAAAGCCGCAGGAAGTGAACTTCAACGATTATCTTCTAGACTACAAAGAAGGAATTGTTACAAGCCAAAACTTTACATACTATTACATTTACCATTGGTCAAATATCTTGATAATTCTCAGAAGCAAGTAAGAGAATGTCGTTATTTAACATCGACGTTAGTTTATCATTATCCTATTTTTTTAGATCTGGAGATGCGGATATTTACCTATCAGACTCTAATATGTTCCCTACATATGATGTTAAATCATACGATATTCATTCTGCCACTTGTGGACAAGAAGTGATTCAAATACATGAGGGGTATGCCTCTGAATATATAGCAGTTCTGAAAAATTGCTTTACATAATGTATTTTGCAGATTCAAAAGTCCAATAGCTGTTGGAATATACGGATATTTTCCTTATGGCAACAGTAGTTATATTTTGGAAGTGTATAGAGAACCCAAAAAGTATTCTCATGCAATAATTGATGACATAGTTCCTTCTGAAGCAGAAGGGGGCATAAGAAATGCTGAACAAGGTCCCCTACCAAAACCTCTAAAGAAAAAGTACAAAGATACAATCAAAACAAATAGTGTTTTTGCACTTCTTGAGGTTCTGCAACTGATGTTTCTGTGATTTTGTTTTATATAATATATAAATATATATATAATATATATAAATCGTTTTATTTCCATGTAATATTGTAATACAATAATTTTTGCATTTACTACGACATATTCTAATGGTATTTAAGGATAAGATACATCTTGAATAGGTTCTTTGAAGAATTGGGTCTATTAATAGGAGTCACTTGGATTATTCCTTTTTAAGAGGCCAAATTTTAAACTCCCTGTATAGTATATACATTTTGTAGTGTCAATCACGCATCTCAGTTCATAGAACTGGACTGCCAGTTAGTCTGATATATGTCACTAACTGAATCTTTTTTGTTAAACTGATTCATACCGCACATCACTACATTATCTGTCAAGTCAATAACGGTTATGTCATAACTGTCAATTAGGTTTATTTTGCAACCAATTTTTCAATATTATTTTTCTTCCCTACAAAATTATAGATATAAGCTGATATTGACTCAAAATGAATTCTTGCAAAGTGGCCGTTCCGGCAGACGATGGAGATGGAGACAACCGATGGCTTAGCATAGTAAGAAATTGATCTCGTAATTCACGTTTTGCAGCTGATGGATTCACATTTAATTTTTTTTTAGCATAATCGGTTTCTGTCTGAAACCAGAGAAAAAGATGCTGACGTGATATTCATAGGCGACTCTATAATCCAAGCCATCCAGCATATGGACGTGTGGAACGAATTTTTCGCCCCATTGCATTGTTTAAACTTCGGGATACACAGGGACAAGATAGAGAACGTTCTCTGGAGGATTGAACGAGGGGAACTAGACAATATAAAACCTAAGGTGATAGTACTGCATGTCGGTACAAACAATTTTCAAAATACAGCTGAAGAAATAAGGGATGGAATTTTGAATTTGATAGATGTGGTTCGAGAGAAACATCCTGATGTTTACATTGTTGTTGCTGTAAGTTTTTATTACTATTTTGGTGAATGTGCAGTGAATGAGTGATCTAGTAAATTATAGTTTCTAATTCCTCAAAATAGAATCTGTCGATTCGTTTTCACTATTCCGATTCGTTTGATTTGTTCATGATTCCGATTTCAGCATCGCTTTCACCATTTCGGTACCGTCCTCGAAATCAACTGCTGCGATTTGTTCGGCCTCAGAACCGATTACGTTCACGATTCAGATTCTTGCCTCAGAACCGATTCCGTTGATTCGTTCACGATTCCGATTCTTTCTTGAGAACCGATTCCTTGATTCGCTCACGATTCCGATTCTTGCCTCTGAACCGATTTCGTTGATTCGTTCACGATTCCGATTCTTGCCTCCGAACCGATTCCGTTGATTCGTTCACGATTCCGCTTCTTGTCTCGGAACCGATTCCGTTGATTCGTTCACGATTCCGCTTCTTGTCTCAGAACCGATTCCGTTGATTCGTTCACGATTCCGATTCTTGCCTCTGAACCGATTCCGGTGATTCGTTCACGATTCCGATTCCGTTGATTCGTTCACGATTCCGATTCTTTCTTGAGAACCGATTCCTTGATTCGCTCACGATTCCGATTCTTGCCTCCGAACCGATTCCGTTGATTCGTTCACGATTCCGCTTCTTGTCTCGGAACCGATTCCGTTGATTCGTTCACGATTCCGCTTCTTGTCTCAGAACCGATTCCGTTGATTCGTTCACGATTCCGATTCTTGCCTCTGAACCGATTCCGGTGATTCGTTCACGATTCCGATTCTTTCCTCAGAACCGATTCCTTGATTCGCTCACGTTTCCGATTCTTGCCTCAGAACCGATTTCGTTGATTCGTTCACGATTCCGATTCTTGCCTCAAAACCGACTCCGTTGATTCGTTCACGATTCTGATTCTTGCCTCAGAACCGATTCAGTTGGTACGTTGACGATTCCGATTCCAGCGTCGGAATCGAATCCTTCATGATTCCGATTTCGGCGATGGAATCAAATCGTTCGATACGTCCTCGATTCCGATTCCAGTCTTGGAATTAAATCGGAATCGAATCTTTCGATTCATTCACGATTTCGATTCTTGACTCGTAGTAAAAATAAAAAAAACCAATTCTAGATTGTAGACTGATACAATAGCGACATTTTGTATTCTTTCAGACGCTGCTTCCGAGAGGCCAACACCCGAACCCGGTGCGTGATAAGCTGTCCAAAGTGAACGATCTCTTGAAGGCCTCAATAAGCGGACCAAAAGTGCAATTGGTGCCGATCCATCAAGGTCTTATCCAGCAAGATGGGTCGATCAGTCACCACGATATGCACGACTACCTGTTGCTCACGAATGCAGGCGCTCGTAAGGTATTCGAACCTGTGCACGACTTGCTTTTGCAACTGTTGCAAGAGAACGAAGTGGAAAAGGATCTCACTCCATCTGAGTAACGTTGTATCAGGGATGATTGCTTCCAAAGTTGTTGGATCAGTGATACTGTGTATTTGCTGAGATTATTAGCGACTAAGAAATGTCCGTTTTGTATGGGATTTTGGGGTTTACCACTTTTCTTACGTCTTGGAATCATTGACCCGGTTTTTCAATATCTGGTTAACCTTTAAGTTTACATCTTTTTTTGAAATCACTTGTGTTTTTAACGAGAAAACAATTATCGGATGCCGTCAGATAAAAAAACAAAGCCAAAGATTCCCAATGCCCTGTTTAATATTCAATTAAAAATAGTGTTTTCATATATTATTTAAGAAAAGATACTTTTCATCGGGCTGTTAAAGAAAAAGTGCAAATCCCAAAATACACATCTTTCCTTTGATCAAAGAAACGTTTTCCTATATTGAATTGTGTGAAAGGTGAAAAGCTTAATGCTTCTGTGGTTTAGGATGTACTGCTTGCATTTTTGAAACTTTTGTATTGAATCGTACTTGATAACAAACACTTTGGCTGTTCACAGAAGAATTTATGACAGTGTTGATGAACATAATAATAATTATAACTTTGCTCATTCCAAAATGAACTGATCAAACAATAAAGTTGTACTGTTAATTTGATACGTCTAGCTTTTGATACCAAAGCAATATTCACTTATTTATTATTGATTCAATAAATTGATATACTCTTTTTAGGTTTACATAATATACCAAACTGATTTTAGGTTAAATAACCAGTGGGAAATATGTTTGTGCATAATCTTTATTGAGATATTTCTACTATTGACATTAATCTGCCTCCATATTGTTTTTTGAGAATGATATATAATAGTTAATCACAATTTGATTTTTCTTAGGTTCAGTGTGATATGATATCTGTTCCTGACTATTGAGAATATGTTAATTGCATTGAATCAAAGGCAGTTGCTCGTTCTGAAGGCATTATGTAGAATAAATCTATATAAGCTGTATTAAGGCATCAGGTTATTTTTATAACATTGCTGAAATATCATTGAAAATGGTTATCAATTTTTCTTATTTTTTCTCCCAATTTTGTGTGATACTTAAAAGACTTAGTATAAGATACTTACTTTTTTTTTTCAGCTAGGTTTAGTCATATGTCACATTCCACTATTTATTTACCAACTATTATTATGCTGTTGAAATACTTTGTTTTATTAGTATGTTTTTGTGTTGGATATGCAACATAAGCTTGTTATTTTTTCTTTTTGTAGTTCAATTTTGCTCACCATGTATGCAATTTGTACAAAAATAAAGTTTATAATTTGTGTATTGTGTTGTTTGATTTCGACTTACAGCAAAATAGTTATGAACGCAGAATTACGAAATTTCGAGCTTTTGAAGCTCTCTGAAACCTACTGTTTTTTACTATGTCCAAAAATATATAGAAACTTGAAGATTGATATTCTGGAATTATATATTTGTTTTTCGCTATGGTAGCAACTTTGTGTCAAAGTTTTCCCAAAATCTGAGCAGTACTTTTTAAGGACTACTTTCGTTATCATTTACTGGCAGCTCAGTGTTTTTTTGGAAAAACGCTCAGACCCGTCGATTTTGTTTTCGAGGGGGACACAAGTTTGGCAAAAAATCACGTTAACACCTGCAGCCCCCTGGGCGGGGGTGACACCAGCCCCAAAATCTTAAATAGAAAGGGGGGTCGAGTGATACCTTATTTTAAAGGTCTTTCAATTCCCTTTATAATGATGTAAAATACATGAGCTTCAGTTCAGTAGTTTTGAAGATTTATTGATTTAAAGCTTAAAGTAGACTTTAATAGGTACATCAGATTAGTTTGTACTACTTTCAGAAGAAATTTGACTAAAAGAAATTACTTAATAAGTAAAGGGTTTTCTTCACTACGCCCATGGTTTGTTTATCATTTTGTTGTTGAAAATAGCTATTGGAGCGTTTTTTGTGGCAAAAAGTGATTTCTTGGAAATATCTCGTACTTATTTTAAATAGGAATTTAGTAAATAGTTTGCGATTGATTTGACCAAACTTTGTTGCTAAAATAACTTGTAACGCATACATAAATTAACCATTGTATATTCCACAGCAGAAAGCGTTGAAATTATCGAGATATTTTTCGGAAATAATCAGTGCGCTAATAGAACAGCAGAAATATTTAATAAGCGACATGAGAACAGTAACGTGCATCGAAAATATGTTCTAGAACTTGTAGCTAAATTTCGGGAAACTGGGTCAGTCGCCAATAAAAAACGCAACATTGAAAATCCCATAACGAACGAAGCAATAGAAGTGGGGGCTTTAGGGCAAGTTTATATAGATCCTACGTTAGATTTTTTGATATTTTGGACCACTGCTGTGTAAAATCTTAGCGTTTTTTGTTTAGTACTCATATCGTTTATCTAAATTTGGCAAAATATTTGTGTTATTGTATGGTTTTCAGTACGAATCTTTGGTTCGATCAGTTGTATCAGTCTTTTAATAGTGCGTTTACTTTCATTTTTGTCTGCGGAAAAATGGCCGATGTTTACGAAAAAAATTAACTAGAGGACACAATACTAACATACAAAGAATGCCAACAAAATGCAGCGGCAGCATGCAGGTTGTATGCGCAAATGTTTCCTTCAAGAGATCATCCGGCCCCACGTTCGTAAATTTAGTTTTAGTTACTTTATGGCTAAGTGTTAATAAAAGTATTTTGTATTGTAAGCAATTTTATTGAGTTTTTTTACAATTTTCATCATTTTCTATCCTCATATACGATAATTATTGGCGAAATCCAACATCTAAAAAACATGATTCGAAAAGTAAAAATTGTGATCGGAAATGAATCTTTTAAAAGTGACGGAAGAGGTCTCGATTTTATAAAAAGGTGAATGTAGTCACCATTCGATGTCGAAATTTGAATTTCAAAAAAGGTGGATGCTCCCGCTGTTACCTGCATTTTTTGTTCCCTACCCCATCTTTGGGCTACGCCTTTGGTCTTCGGTACTCTGATGGCATCCAAGAAGTCCAACCGACCGGTTTCCTAGACCCTCCGACAAAAACAGACACCGCCATACAGTGTTGCCGACGCTTTTGAAATTTTTCTTTAGGCTCGCCCCATCAATGCATCGATTTTGAAAAAAGCAGAGAAACTGCTGCCAGGAAAATTGAAGGTGAAATTTCACGTTCGCACATCACAATAGGCTGTAACATGTGGATTATTTTTGAAATGTGCAAATTTAAGTTCCTATAACAAAATGTGTTGAAACCTTTTAAAATCCTTAGCATTCTCAGAACTTTTAAAATTTTGAAATAATCGGTATTTGGAATATTTTAAAAATGTCGAAAATCGTGCATATTTAGAAAATTTTGAAACTTTTCCAAATTTTGAAAAGTTATTAAAGCGTCAAATGCGAATTTTAAATGCTCAACTGCGAATTCTTCTGGCTCTCGCATTAGTAGATGGCGGCAGATTGTTTTTTTCCAATAATATCATTAAAAAAAGGCGAAGAAACTGTTTTTCTCTTTCATTAGGTTGTGCAAAAAAACTAATCAGAATATGTTTCCGTGCAGATGCGAAGATACGTCCTGGACTATTACAGCAGGTAATGGATGAGTGATCGCATCCAAATGACAGGTAGCATTCTGTTGCGAGACCGTAGAAACATTTTCGTCAGTTCACAGAAAAACCGATAGATCTGGCAACGCCGCTTCTTCTCGCCGCCCGCGAGCGCTGCCGCGACCGCGCCACTTCTTCATTCTCCAACGGCCTTCGAGCCAATACTCAGGAATCGCGTAGGCCGCGACTCGAAACCGCATCGCGCAAACTCGCCGGTTGGAAAAACGCGCGCGAAAAACTTCGCGAAGCTTTCGGAACGACGCGAAAATGAGTGAAAATCTGTGCGTGAATGTGTAAAGAGTGTTTTATCGTTCATGGGAATGTACCGATCACTGGATATCGTCGGCTTTTCAGCGACATCAAAGTCGGCCGCTTTTGGTAGGTTCGAATTTTTGAATGGTGCCGTGAAGGACCGGTTCCGTTTTCGGTTGAATGGATTTTGTACTCTTATCGAGCTTGCTGTGGAAATATTTTTGTGCAGGATTGTAGTAGGCTTTTAAAAGTTCTACGTTTTTAGGAATAGAACAATAAACGCTTCTGTTTAATAGTTTGTAAATAGAAAACATTAGGAATCGAGACAGGGGCGGCTGGCCCTGAAGTTCTGCAGAAGTGCCAAAACTTTTGTCTTAACACAGAAAAAAAAACAGTAGTAATTTGAGCATTATAATCGACCAGTTGTGTACTTGTCATTTTCGTTGCGACCGCAGCGTAACATTATTCATGGGCCACTTGAAAAGGGTCTGTGCACTACTTCGACACAAGCCGCACCCGCTTGCTTTTGTCTCTCTCTACAAAATCGAATGCGCCATTTAAGCATCAGCATGTGCTGCACGTTATACAGATCTAATGCGAAGTACGATATCTGATTGGTCGGTCGGTCCTCGGCTTTGTTGACATATTGGTCTTGTCTCGTGACGTGGCTTAAAATTTGAATGCGAATTTTTTATTTAGGTATTTTGGGTGTTACGTTGAGTGACTAGTGACTACTGACTGTGGCAGTGTAGAAGGGTAGTGCAAGATAATGGATGTGGTTTACGGACTTACCAGCGTGAAACGATTCTGGAAATACACATTTGAAGAAAAAATTGAGCTGAAGGTGTCAGGTCGACCGCTGCCGGACATATTCATAGAAACACAGGGCGTTAGTCGGGGCAAGGGCTATACGCGGCATTTCAGCAGGGAGATTTACACCAGAAATGACTGGATTTGTGGGTGCAACAGGAAGAATGCCCTTTTCTGCTTTCCTTGCTTACTTTTCGGCGGCGACAAAGCTTGGACGGAGGCAGGTGTTACAGATTTAGTGCACCTGAGTGAAAAAATTAAGAAGCACGAAAACTCTAAAACACATCTTCATAATTCGATGGAATTGGCTTTATTGGGGACTGTTAACATCAGAGCTCAGTTAGATTCAGCATATTGGAGAAATATACAACAGCATAATGATGCCGTTACAAAAAACAGGTACGTTCTATCAAAAATAATCGATTGTATAAAATTTTGCGGAGCATTTGAATTGGCGCTACGGGGTCACGACGAAAACGAGAGCTCCCAAAACCCGGGAATATTTCGTGGACTGATCAATTTTTCTGCTGAGCTTGATACAACCTTAAGCGAACACATAAAAAATGCTTCAATATTTGAAGGAACTTCGAAAGAAATACAAAACGATCTACTGGATTGTATTCTCGAAGTTTGTCATGAAGAAATAATCAAACAGATTAACAGAGGCTCGTATTTGGCGATAATAGCAGATGAAACAACGGACATTTCGGGTAAAACCCAACTGGTAACAATTTTCAGATACGTATTTAACTGCGAACCAGTAGAACGTTTTTGGAATTATCTGAATCCCGAAAAATGTGACGCTGATACTCTCACAAGACATATTTTGAGCGTCGTAGATCCATTAATAGGAAATTGCCCTAACAAACTGATTTCACAAAGCTATCATGGAGCCGCGGTAATGAGCGGACATAATGCTGGAGTACAGGCAAGAATTAAACAAAGATATCCATTCGCTCACTATGTGCATTGCTATGCGCATCAGTTAAACCTGATTATGTCCCAAGCTGCTTCCGAAAATGCTCAAGTTCGGGTGTTCTTTGGGGGTTTGAAAGATATTCCGGGATTTTTTAATAATTCTCCTCAACGCGTAGAGGTACTGAACAGAATTGTCGGGAAAAAAATTCCCCAAGGAGCAACAACTCCTTGGAATTTTAATATTCGAACAATAAATGTAGTGTTTGAGAACAGAGAATCGCTCATTGAATGCATGGAAGAAATAGAAGAAAATTTCACTAATGAAACCGTTTGCAAGGCAGCTTGTGGTATTCGCCGAATGTTAAGCGATTCTGTTTTCGTATTTTGGTTGACATTTTTTCATCATGTCATGCCTCACGTCGACATCTTGTTCGACCAGTTGCGGAAGAGAAAAACCGAGCCAGCGCAAGTTAAAACTGCTATCGATAATTTTGAAAAATGTATTGTCGATGTGAGAAATACAATTGATGACATAATAAATGAAGCCAAAAGTATTTGCACTGAACCCCCAGGCAACAAAAGGAGGCGACGTAATAATAGCAGTCACGATCACCGAATTGCCGCACTAGAAGTATGCGACATTATAGTGAATTCTGCAAATGACAGGTTTCAATTCAAAGATCATTTGGTAGCCGCATCCCTTTTTTTCCCCGAACACTTTTGGTAAGTTTCCTGATGACAAGTTGGAAACTACCTGCTTGGCTTATCCCGAATTAGAAAAAAGTCGTTTAAAGACAGAGTTGTCTGTTATTTATGCACGAAATGATTGCCGAGATTTACATGGAACTCTGTATCTTTTGAAAGTTTTGGTTTGGAGGAAACATTAAAAGAAACAAAAAGCTATTAGAAATTATTGTTACAACTCCTATGTCAACATCAGAGCCTGAGCGAAATTTCTCAACATTGAATAGAATCAAGACTTTTCTTCGTAATACCATGACCCAGGATCGCCTTACGGCGTTGTCGATGCTGTCCATTGAAAAGGAATTTATTTCGACCATGGAAAATTTCAACGGGAAGGTGATCGACAAGTATGCTGCCAAGAAGGAGCGCAGCATCGAACTGACATATAAAAAATAGGTAAGTTCGGATTTGCAGAACACCTGTTTTATTTTGTCACGAGCCGCCACTGATCGAGAGTAAGCTTTTGTTTTGGTCTGGAACGAAAAACCAAGGCAGTTGCATCTTGAACGTGTTAAAGCATTTTATTTTCGTGAATAGACGGGACTAAGTAGATCATCGATGCTGTCAAATCAAATCACAAAGCAAACAAGACGAAAAGCTTGAACAAAGCTCTAGTAATTTCAAATTCAAAGCTGCCGATTTTTGCATCTTGTGCTGCTTTTCACCGAAAAATGATTGTAGCTATCATTATATTCCACGGAAAGTTGCAAGTATCGGTTTAGTTTGTTGTAATACTCTTTGTTTTTGTTGGATACTTAAAACAACAATTTTGTCAAAGTCGAAACATTCGTTCAACCAATTTTTGAAACAATAAACACGCATACGTTGATGAACTGTTAAATCAAACAAAGCAAAAACCGCTAAAGCTTAATAAAAGCTTTGAAAGGTGCCAGGGGGAGCTGAAAATCCAGTCGGCACCTTAACTTTTGCATTTTGCTATGCCAAAACTGGCGAGAAAGTATTTTAATCGTGAAACATTTCGAAATTGAGATATTGTGTTTTTGGATGTTAAGTGACATGTGGGTTTTGATTCAGTGTTCACCCAATGTTACTACCTAGTATGTCCAGGATGAAAAAGCTTTGTATTGTTTGAAAATTTCCAAGATATTCAGGGGCAGATAGACAGATGGAAAAGAGTGACAATAACATCCAAAGAAAATCCCCTTTTTTGGAAAACTTTCGAAACTACAATACTTCCCAGCCAGTAGGCGCCAAAGGTAAAATATACTAAGTGACATATAAATCCGAACACCCAGTTTAAATGGTTTTATTTTAACAAAATTTTGTATAAGTACTTAATGAAGCATAATAAGTAAATGATAAAAATTTCATAATGATTGCACTGCTTTAAAGAACTTTAATAATGTGTGGATGCACCCTGATATGCTACGCATTCTCCAACGCGCCTAGGCATGCTTCTGATCAGGTGGTCAATGTCCTCCTGTGGTATCTCATTCCAGGCAACCACCAACTCCTCTCGGAGTGCTTCTAGAGTCTGAGAGGACGTTGCAAATTGAGCAATCTCCTACCCATCATATCCCACACGTGCTCAATTGGGGATAAGTCGGGAGATCTTGGTGGCCATGGTAACAATGTGACATCATTATGTTGAAAGAAGGCTATTGTGACTCTTGCAACATGTGGTCGGGCATTATCTTGTTGGAAAGTTGGATCTGCCAGGGTGTCAAGATAGGGTAAAAGATGGGGTTCTAGAACTTCGTGGATATAACGCTGCGCGTTCATGTTACCTCTGATGAAGATTAAAGGTGACCTGGAACCATAAGCTATAGCACCCCAAACCATAACTTCAACAGTGTGATGAACATGTCTTTCAACAAAAAACTGTGGATTCCTCCTTCCACCACATCGCCTTCTAACCCTGGCACGACCATCGTGCATGCCTAAACAAAATCGAGACTCGTCACTAAAGACAATACTGTTCCATTCCTGATCCCAGAGTGACCGTTGTCTGCACCACTCAAGGCGATTACGTCGGTGTTCTCGAGTTAAAGGGAGGACCCAGTGTGGCCGGTATGAAAACAAGCCAAAACTTCTCATTCGTCGGTAAACACTTCGCATGCCAATAGGTCTTCCGTGTTCTGCAAACCATTCATTTGCAATGGACCTGGTAGTGGAGAAACGGTCCCTTAAGGCCAATAATCTTAGGCGGCGATCTTCACGGTCTGTTGTTCTACGGCGGCGTCCAGTGCCCCTTGCTCTTTGCGTACGGCCTTCTCGAAGCCATGCCTGACAACACCTAACCACAGTGTCTACACTTTTTTGCACTCTAACTGCAATTGCCCGAAAAGAAAGTCCAGCTTCCCGAAGTCCCACTATACGGCCCCTATCAAACTCACTAAGTTGATGAAATCGTACAGGTCTCCGTACTCTGGGCATCGTAACCGATCGTAAAGGATTTAGATGTCACTTAGTATATATTAATTTATACTGATCTGTTTCTGTCACTTAGTATATATATGATTTTGATGTGCAATGAAATCGCAAAGCACAGTGGTCCAAAGTACCATCAACATTTAAGGTTAAATATCCCAACACAAATTATAATGAGAAAATGATTACCTAGACCTACCTTGTTGTGATAATACCATAATACCAATGCAAGGTTGTACTGTAACTAAATTATTCTTTTAACAATTTCATGTGTTCATTGATCCATAGTCATCCTGCTTTTTCTGTTCATGTTTTCAACAGCTCATACGGAAATAGGTAATAAAACTTTACAATAGAAAAAATAAAATTATCCATCATGGGTATTACGAGCTGTCCAACGTAATTTCCTGTGGAACCTTGAACGGGTTATCTACCTGCCCGACTCGGTACCTATTGAAAGATAAGCTCACAAAGAGTACCTAATCAATAGCCCGCTATCGACACTATAAATCGAGCATGGCAGTTCAAGAACCCATGGAAATATGTAGGCGTGAAATTTTGTAATAACATACGTGTACGGAATTTAAAATTGTTCACTGGGCAGCGTATTTGTGCCATATTACTAAAAATAAAATTTGTTATTTATATTTACGGTATCAGTTTGAAAGTAGGAGAATGTTGATATAAATAATCAATCGGGTAAAGTGTTGCAATAAGACGTCGTTTCAAGTAGAAATACTGGATCGCGATATCAAATTTAATTGGGAATATTTACCGAATGTGAAGATTATACAGCTTAGAAACGATTTGAATTGGGTTCAATCGTAAAAATATGTGGTTGTCCAAAACGGATGCAGGAAAGTAAACGCATATTAAAACAAGAAAGATTGATATTCAAATCAAGTTGGGTACTTTATTTTGAAGGTTCATTTATACCATTTATGTATGAAAAATAATATCGCTCAAATGTTCCCCACGACTGGATTTACAGACGTCCACGCGACGGTCGAAATGTTCACTGACATTTTGCAACATGGTCGGTTCTATGGCATTTATCTCGGCAATGATGTTGTTTTTGAGTTCTTGGAGGGTGGCTGGTTTGTTGACGCAGACTTTGCTTTTCAAATATCCCCATAAAAAGAAGTCCAAGGGAGTCAAATCGCACGATCTTGGTGGCCATGGCACATTTCTTCTGCGCGAAATCACGCGATCACCGAAGAAGGACTGCAATCGATGGATATTGACGTTCGTTGTGTGGCATGTTGCACCGTCTTGTTGGAAATAAACATCGTCCATATCCATTCCTTCAAGTTGCGGCAAAAAATAGTCCTCTATCATCACGTGATATCGCTCAGAATTGACGGTAACGGCGTTCCCGGCCGCATTTTCGAAAAAGTGAGGTCCGATGATGCCTTTTGACCACAATGCACACCACACAGTCACTTGTTGAGGATGCACCGGCTGCTCTTGATACGCACGGGGATTTTCGTTCGCCCAGATGCGGCAGTTTTGCTTGTTTACCGTCCCATTCAAAGTGAAATGCGCTTCGTCGCTGAACATGATTTTTGATGAAAAATTGGCATCAATTTGTTGTTCAAGTAGCCAATCTGAGAACGTTCGGCGCGAAAAATGGCCGGCCCGACGCAGCTCTTGCGTCAATTGGATCTTGTAGGCGTGTACATTCAAATCCTTGTGGAGAATGCGGAGCAAACTGGTTCTCGAAATGCCCGATTCTTGGGAACGACGCGTTGTTGATTGTTTCGGATCGTCTCTCACACTCTCCTTCACAACCGCAATATTTTCCGGCGTGCGAACGATCCTTGGCCGGCCAGAGCCTGGCAGATTTGCCACAGAACCTGTTGCCTCGAATTTACGCACCAGACGACCGACGGTTGTTTCGTTTGGGCGGTTGTTGCGATCGAAATGTTCACGAAGCGCGCGAAACGTGTTTTTTATTTTTGCACCATTTTTGTAGTGCTCTTGAATAAGTTTAATGCCGTCTTCAATCGAATACGACTCCATAGCGATCAATGGTAAACATTCAACTAACAAAATGACCTGTCGGTGACAGAATACAAAGATGGCGTCTATGTCAAATTGACGTTTACTTTCCTGCGTCCCTATTGGACAACCCTTTATATCTTCCAGTATGCAACATTTTTCAATACAGTTTCATTTCAATAAATAGCAAAAATGCTACTAGTTACTGAGAATGTGGAATAGACATTTCTGTACCTTATGCCTATACATTTAGAAATATCTCTAAAGCGCAGAAAATCGATATTTTCATGAGTTTGGCTTCGGCCGAATTTGTTAACCAAATAAAACAATAAAAGTTACAACATACTTAATAGTTAATCGGTAACCTTTCCTATCAAACTATCGAGATTAAACACTATACTGGAATCCTGAAAAACTAACCTAAAATTCAGAAAAATCGGTTACTTTGAAAATGATTGAGCTTTTACATGGGCGCCTAGAGGAAATTTTCGAGGCGATCAGATCATTTTATAAAAACGTACCTGCTCCCAAAACTCGCGCAGGCACCGTTAATGCGATCCGTATTTGAAGCAGTAGTATCACAACAGAGAATCTGAACTTTATCTTTAAGATTAAGAATCCCAAACTGCCTGAGTCTGAAGAGTTAACCAATTTGGGCACGGCGATAAATTGCTCTTTATTTTCATACGTTATAACAATCGGTGGACGTTCTTTTTTGGACTTGCGTGTATTCAAAGGTGGCGACAATTTGCAATCCTAGTGGACAGTTACAGTATCCGGTGGTACTTCGTTTTGGAAATCAAGCTTTATAGCTCCTGCGCGATCCTTTCGCTCTTCGGTACGAATCGCTTGAATGGAAAACTTGCTTATAGGACACCCGTCAACTGTTATGTCCAAATGACTCAATGAGCCATATTCATAAAACAAAACATTTTGAAGAAAATCCTCCAGATGGTATTTATAATAATTTGCAGCTTTTGCTTTTTGAGTACAAGCATATCCTTCAAAGCAGTGTCATAAGTAAAAGGATATCCATAATCTTCACCAAATACTTGGAATAGGAAGCATATCCTTCAATAATTCTTAGTGTGGTCAGTAGCAGACTCAATTTCGTAACGAAAGGTGGTCGAACGATGATGGCAGAAATTGTGGACGTTAGGGACGTTAAAACGTACAAACCTCGTTTACCTTCACTTGGTTGTGACTTCAAAAAATTATATCGGTTCGACGAAGCAAATGTACAATGGCATGCGGACAGATTTTTAGTTGAGAATGAGGAAATTCGAGGAGGATCACTTTCATGTATTCATAAAATGAAGATATGACTACGCTATCTCGGTGACCCTGGATATCAACAAGGTTTTGGTCAGGAACTGTGGATAGAGTTGTGAACAGCATAGTTGCACAGTCGAACGAATGGATCAAGTTTCCAACGACCAACCATGAACTGATGGAGGCCAATCGGATGTGGCAAAGCGTGTATAAATTTACGACAGCAATTGGTGTAATTGATCGTACACATATTGGAATCCTGAAACGAAATCGGCATGTAGATGAGTATATCAACCGAAAAGAGAAACCTACTTTAAATGTGCAAGCCACTTGTGATGCCAAAGAGATGTTCACAAGTGTTGGTGTCAGTTGGCCTGGATCAGTGCATGGTTCCAGAATATGGAGAAATTCACAGACTAGATCACAACTAATGAATAAAGCAAATGTTGTACTACATGGCGATGACGGTTATGGTATTGAGCCATGCCTTATGACTCCCTTCAGAAATCCTACTCCAGGTGCAGAAATAAATTATAATGAGCTTTTAAGACAAGAAAGAGTTATAATTGAACGCTGTTTCGGCCAACTGAAACGCCGGTTTCCTATGTTTGTCGCGTAAAGTTGGAAAATGTACCGAAAATTATTATTGGTGGTATTGTACTCCATAATGTTGCGAAGAGCTTGGGCGATCTGACTTTGAGTTAGTTGAACTAGGTCAACAAATAAGAAGAGACTTGAGTATTATAATAAATATTTTTACTGATTAAAGTGTATTTATAAGTTATAACAAGTTTTATTTTTGTGAACATCATAAGTTACAGGTAGCTTCTGACGCTGCACCATTTCTAATTTCGTTTTATAATACTCTTGTTGTAAAATACTTGTTTGGTACTGCTGTAATAGCACTAGACGTTGCAGTTCTTATGTAGTCAACCCTTTGGTGTCCTCAGTTTCGTATTTCTCTGTTGCTAATTTTCTTTTTGGTGGCAATGTCTTCTGAATTGCTGGCGCTGAAATACTGTTTCCTCACTGCGCTCGGTATAGTTCACTTCCTTCTTACCAGTTTTTTTAGATCTGTTTCTTTCTTCAATCTTGATTTCATGTTGTCCTGGTTTTGGGTAAAAATATCCCCTTTCTAACTGCGAAATTCCATCGACATGATGACTGAACGAAAACAGAGCGTTTTCTAATAGAACAAACGAACACTGCAACACACCTAATGTGCAAGTTTTGACATGCTCCAACGCAATTCGACACGTGTCCTGGTTTTGGCTAAAAATATCCCCTTTTAGAACTGCGAAATTCCATCGACATGTTGACTGAACGAAAACAGTGCGTTTTCTAATAGAACAAACGAACACCGCATCACACCTAATGTGCAAGTTTTGACATGATCCAACGCAATTCGACACGTGTCCTGGTTTTGGGTAAAAATATCCCCTTTCAGAACTGCGAAATTCCATCGACATGATGACTGAACGAAAACACTGCGTTTTCTAATAGAACAAACGAACACCGAATCACACCTAATGTGCAAGTTTTGACATGATCCAACGCAATTCGACACGTGTCCTGGTTTTGGGTAAAAATTTCCCCTTTTAGAACTGCGAAATTCCATCGACATGTTGACTGAACGAAAACAGTGCGTTTTCTAATAGAACAAACGAACACCGCATCGCACCTAATGTGCAAGTTTTGACAAGATCCAATGCAATTCGACACGTGTACTGGTTTTGGGTACATAAAACTTCATTTACAATTGTTTTGACGTTGCTCTCTTGGGACACGTGCATGCTCAGTCGGTTTCTAACCGTTGGAAACGTTACTTATACCATGCCTATTCTCCAATCTCGTACTCCTTTCTTCCAGAAGCTCACCGCGCGATGAGCCTCGCACCGAAACGAAGGCTCTAACGCCGCACCGCCGACATGCCGTTCGCGCAACGGCACGTGGAACCTCGCCTCGTGAGCCGAGTGCGACTTTTCGACGACGAAGGCCACCCGAAGGTCACCGATGGCGAGTTGGAGGCCGTCACGAACGGCACCCTTTGCAACGCCCTCCGGCAGTTGGCCTCCTTGGTCGCCGCTGCCGACTCTATTTTCGACGAGTTGGCCGATGAGTTGAAGCGGGTGCACGCGAGGTCGCAGCAGGTGAAGCAGAGGATCGATCAGCTGCAGCCCAAGGTCGACAGGGTCGATCCCAAGGCGGTCACAGTTCGTAAGTACTTTTTCGTTTTATGTCACCTTGGAGGATGACCTCTGAGGTCGTTAAATGCATACACGTTTTATCTCAATAATTTTTTCAAGGTCATCCTGATTGTTTTAATAATAATAAAGCATTTTTTGCTCTAAGAAAGTTAAAATACGTATTGAACGAAAACACCTGTTGAACATCTACTTGTCATCCCGCGTAAACTGTTTATCATGTCTTCATTTGGTAGAAAATGTAACCTCAGGGTGTGGTTCATTGTACTTTGATCTTTGAAACAAATGGTTGAGGTTCGGGCCCCACCTAAGGAAAAAGAAATAACAAGTAGTACCTTTAGGCATATCAAAACTGATTGCCAAATGATGGGTCTGTGGAGCTAAAGGAAACACGAATTCACAAGGCACACAAACATGGATTGAACAAAAAAGGAAATTAAAGGAAGCACTGGGAGACAAGCGAAAGGAAATTAGTTGGTGCTACCTCCCAGCTAAATGGTACAATCTTCGAACAATGAGGGGTTACGGAAATGGGGGACTGCTTCTCGTAGTCGTGAGTCTTACTTATAAATCTTTTCGGAGTGTTAATGCACGAAGTTCTTCTCAGATCGATGGTTAAGGTGTAGCTGCAACGACCACTAAAGGGCCCGACAACAAAATTCGGTTCCTATCAAAATCTCCCACAACCCGGCAAATTTCCAGCACTGGGTGTGAAATTGTTTCACTAACGCAGGTTGTGGCCGCTGAACTGCTACACGAGAGCACCCGAATCGGCACCAAGTCACGTTCAGCTCTCGTATTTAAGACAAAAAGATATGAGTTTTAACCTTACAACGGCAATTCTATAACGAAACAATTCTCGTACGCCCTCATTTGTCCAACATAAACATAAACCACATTCTGGCAATGACTTTTGAAGAGATGGGGAGTAGAGTCCGATCTTCCACCAAAAAAACATTAGAACAAGAGTGTTTTACGATAAAAATTCGATATTTTTAAAAACTGTTATAAAATTATTATTCTGAATAAGAAAAACGTTGTAATAGTTTACATTATCGAGATATAGTTAATTTTAAGTCGACCGTAAAAAGAAATTGTAACATACTATTCTATTGTATATTCCCAGCTCAAATATTTAGCGCTATATTGGGGATCATCTGTTGATGCCCAATCTAGGTTATTCCTTCAAAAAAGATTAGTCAGATTCTTATTGTCATTGCATCCTCTAGATCTAGAGTGTTGTCGAAAAACATTTAGAGATAAAAAAATACTAACTTTAGCCTCATTACTCTTGCTTGAAGCGTGCCTTCATGTGAAATCATGTCCTTCCAAATTCACTTACCTGAAAAAGTCCCAGAGATACAATCTACAAGGTTACATGAATAACTATAGCTTCAGCACACTGTAACAGCCCCGACTATCTATGTGGATCTACCTTCAATAATTTGCCCGCCGAGTTAAAAGCCATTAACGACTTCAAAGTCTTCATCTTTTAACATACTTGTATCCTCTACAGGAGTTGTATAATTTTTAATATACAGGGTGCGCATCGAAAACGAAACAGACGCATTTACGGGCAGCTCAGTTTTTTTTTTGAAAAACGATGGATTGGTAGAAGAGGTGCCATTGAATGGCCCCCAAGATTGCCAGATTTACCACCTTTGGATTTCTTTATGTGGGGTCATTTAAAAAGCAAACCAACCTTATTTTACACACAACCCTCGTAGGTACATACAGGTAGAATGTCCTTGCAGCCGGCACTCCGAAGTGAAAAAACGTTCGCAGCAACGCCATTTATAGACATATCAAATGACCAGCAGAGTTTCAATTGGTACCGCCGCGGGTTCCGCAGGTATTCGCATTCTTCGTAGATGTTTTCATTATTCAAATCGAGACGAAGCGTCGGATTCCCAGTACTGGGTTCTTTACGTTCAACCTGTTCCGTGCCACCACGGGAGTACCAACAATATCAAGCTGCTAACGTGGAGATGCGCGTTTTTATTTCCTACGGCATCGGTGAGGAAGTATTGTAATCGAAAATAAGATTGTATTTTGTTTTTTGGTTGTAATGACATTCGATTTCGCATGAACGCGTAGGAAGTATAGAGTCAATCTACTTGACGGCATCATCTTGTGTACAATTTTGAGGTACACTTTCCTAAAGAAATATCACTTACCTATAATCTTTAAGCTTTAAACACTAACCAATTTTGACGACGATCTCCACAGAGATTCATGAGTTCAACCAGGAGTTTTTGACATCCAATTTTTCGATAAGCCATTGTGAAATCTACACGAAGTTTACACAATGAGAAAGCAAAACGTACACATTGTGAACGTAACAACAGGTATTCCCGGCCACGCCTTGGACAAATAACTCGCCAGGTAAAACTGGTGGTGTTCTACCTGCCTCCGAAAAGTCGTACGCGGTGACATCGCACGGTTATTGTTCCTAGTCGGGACGTAGAATTTTGTACAGAACGAGGACGTCAAGCGGAACATCCTTTTAGTGTCATCCTCTTTAATGAGGATGAATTATTACAGGAAAGCGGAAAGGACCCTTTTGCAAGGCAGTTTCCAGGTCGTTTGTAAGCCACTTCCGAGAACAAGTCACAAAAGCACAGTTTTGGCGGTGAATGGCGAATGACCTCAAAATAAAAAGCGTGGGGTGCATTTTACTAAAGTTTAATAACTCTCCTCCCATAGATAGTTAATCCGAATTGAATTATTATGTTAATAGCTTAAATTTTATTATAATTCTATTTTGTGGTAATTTTTTTAAACTATTATTTATTTAACTTTAGGCAATTCAAAAATCGAATTAACAAAGTTTCTCATATATACCCGCGGTGCTCCGGTATTTACAGTATATTCAGATAAGAGATAGTCCGGACATAAACAAGACCACGTGATCATCGAACGCTGTAACATTCGGCAGGGACGTATTAAGAGTCACGCAGTACATATTTTAGATAGTAGATGCTGCTTTGCGTAACTTTGTAGTAAATTAGCACAATTCGATGTGTATACGATTGGTGATGGATATAGGATCATGTGGGGGTGGGGTAAGAAATATATAATGATGTAAATATACATAAGGGTTTCAAAATTTTCGCTTCGATTTCCAGCTTCGGATGCCGCCTGATGTTTGGTGAAATACAGTCGAATATAATCTCAAAATGGCGTTTAAATTACCCTAAATTAAACATAATCGTATATCTCTTAAAATTGCTTTTAGAATATTGATTAGTATATTTTTTGATTTCTAGGTAAATATGTAACCAAATTGAAACGTTCAAAACGTAAAAAAATGTGCATGGTTGAACATTGTCAGAAAGTAGATTCTTGAATAGGTTTTGCCAAAATGGGTTCAAAAATGTCAATATTAATTAAAAAATACAGTAGCTTTATAATTACTTATAACTTACCGAATTTGATGAACGACATCTTTTATTGGAAAGATGAGCTTGATGAGCTTTCATCATCGCTACTGCCTGAAGCACCAACGTCAATAATGAATGGCTCGACTTGTTCCTCTAAAATATTGTCCAGTTCCCACATTCTCTTTTCAACTTTGTCTTTCACGTGCTTAATACAGTTTTCCCATTTTTGCGCTGTTATTAATTCTAGTGCTTCTTTGAAAAGTCCTTTGAGGTCACAAAATTTAAAAGTTGTATTGTGCTTAGCTATATAATTTTTAACCTCTGCCCATATGAGCTCAATGGGATTGAGCTCGCAATGGTATGGAGGTAAACGGAGCACAGTTTTATTTTGACTTGCTGCCATTTCGTCAATGGCGTATTTTTGATATTCCGCCTTGTGATCCTTGACAATTCTTAATAATTGTACTTTCAGCATTGCTTCTTCAAAGTTGATATTTTTCGAGCGGAGCCAATTTTGAACATCAACTTTCCTTGAAGCCGTTGTTGGGGCCTTCTCCATTCTTCGAGAATGATAAGGCGCATTATCCAACACAATTACTGCGTTTTCCTCTAAGTTCGGTAAAATTTTTGAAAACCACTGTTCAAACGATTCGCCATTCATTTCCTCGTGGTAATCTCCAGTTTTCTTAGACTCAAAGCACCACAGACCGTCAACAACAAATCCATCCTCACTGCCAATATGGCAGATAATGAGCCTTTTCCCTTTACCTGGAAATCGAAGTACTAACTGGTGTAGATTTATTTCAATAAGCGAACCTTTTTCAAATGTTTTCATCACATTCAGCGAAAAAACATTGAGACATGAGTATCAGGTTGCTATAATTGGGATTATTTAGTCATATTGAAAGAAAGAATATTGAACGTCGTATGATTACTCAGCGCTTCACAATTTAATTTAAAGTTATAAACCTTTAAAAAATGAATGATCAGGACCTGAAATACGCGCAAATATTAATATTAACAAATTATAACTTTATAAAGCTTAAAGTATGAATTAAAATGATTAGAAATATTAGGAACGGTACACAATATAAAACTTAGTAACTTTTTTCAAGTTTATAATATTCGACATATTTTAAGATTATATTAAAAAATTATTGAAATATCGAAAACACATAAAAACATGGCTTAAAAAAGTTCTAACAAATGAAAATGACAATAAAACATCCACGCATTTTATCGAAAGTTATAAAAGTTTTGTTACTTGTAATATGTTTTATCTGCCCCCTGGAATTAATGTTTAGAACCTTGTTCCCAAGGTTTGAAAAACATCCGATTGTTGTCTATTACTCGTATTTACCTGCTGGATTTTTTAATCCGGTGGACAGTCCATCTAGAAAAGCCCTCCTGGATGAAGTTACAGAATCATCAACCCATACTTTACTTGTAGTGTGTCCTGCGTTTACCCACGTTTCATCAAGGTAATAAATCTTCCTGTTTTGATTTCTATATTTCCCAAATTTTTGTTAAATAATCCCTCCTCCATAGCACAATTTCTTCTCTATCCAGTAGTAAACTATTACGACCCCGTTTTTTCCATTTGAAATTTAAATGCTTCAGTAACGCATGG